AGCTGTCCACTGGCACACGCTCAACGCATCCCGTTCTTCCTGCGCTCGATCGCAAAAACCATGGCTCTCCGCAGCAGGCTCTGGGAGTTGGGGGTCTGAAAAACAAAAAACACTTGTTGAGGAAGCTTCATGTCCCGGAGAAAATACACAAATCCTGAGTATGAGCATTTAGGTTAAGTGTTGTCGCACTCCTCCATGGTACGGTGCTCCCTCGGCGGTTTTCGCTTGACATGAAAATTAAAAAAATAACACACCCTCTGAGCGAGATACATGTTCTGAGAAAGAGCGTTTCCGAGCGAAGATGTACATACAGTATTGCACGGCAACCCCCCAAAAAGACCGAAAACATGTATGAACAAGTGATATATATATATTTATCTATATTTCTATGATAGAACCAGATGTTGCCCAATTAATTCTATTCTATGTTTTTTTTCAATATTTTGGGTTGGATTCAAAGCACAATATTTTTTGGAAGATGATCCCGAATGACTGCTGAGGGGTGAAGCAACCCCCCCAGAGGAGACCCTCGATGAGTAATAAGCCCTTAGTAATTATTGGTGGTTAATAAGCCCTTACTAGGCTTGGTTGAATCCAAAAAAAAAAATCTGGATTTCTCTGGTTGATGGTCTGATTGTTTCAGCTTTTAAGTGATGGTTTGTCCCTATGTTCATGATTTTCATGGGTTGATCGTACCAATTGCATCCAATTGCTATATGGATCGAGGCCCGCATGGCTCGAGCAAGCAATCTCAGTCATGGATCAGTGAACGTCATTAAGTGTCCCTTTTATTGTGAATGGATATCCTGATGATATGGCTATGGTCCATATTTCTATGTCCCATATGATATCCATATGATTAACGTATTGAAGCTGATCAACATCTGGAAACCCATTGTGCCAAAAACAGTTTTGGGGTCAAAACTAGGTACCATTGTGCCATTGGTTTTTGAAGGAATTCCTGGCTGCAGGCTCTTGCCTTTTGTGGCCCTCCTGGCTGCTTTGTCACTATCTCAGAGATCCGCGATCCGTTGACCCAAAAAATGACACATGACTTGGCGGCGCCCGATGAGGTGCTGCATTTTCAAGGCGGGAAAGGGTGAGTTTTTTGCGCAACCAGTCACGTTCGCAGCTTCAAAGTGGAAGATGACGGTCTTTGCAACCCCAAAGTAATCTGATGAAGCACTGTGTGATTTCTGTATTGACATATCTATATCATATAATTTTATAGACTAGTATATATTATATATATATCATATATCATGATATATGTCTATTTCTATATCATATAAATTCATGTATCATGATCATAGACTAGTGACTAGTGCAGGCCACGGCCTTCACTGGAGCCACTGGAGCCGCCCTCCGCAAGCCGAGATGGGTGGAGTTGGACCTGAGCAAAAGCATGGGTGGCAATGCTGGTGGAATGGTGATTTCATGGGATATCAATGCATATATATATATATTTCTTATATTATCATATACATATAGTATATATATATGATGACACATATGACACTAACATGACATGCGGGTTTAAGTCTAGAAATGGGGAAATGACCCTCATTTATGGCGATTTGAGTAGGGGAAATGGTATAGTTGAAAAGTGGATGGAAGGGGGTACCAAATTTTCAGGCAAATATATATATATATACATATGTATATATATATACACATATATTTGAAGATATGTCTCATGTGTGATGATAGCGTATAAACATGTCTGTGTGTCTATCATACACACACAGATGCTTGGTTCTGTAGTAGTAGATTGTTTTTCCCTGATGAATCACATATATATATATACTTTACATAATTGAATTATAATATATATATAGTATTATGTTATATTATGTTATGTTTTGTTTTGTTATATTAAATTGCATTATTATATAATATTATATTATATTATATTATATTAATATCATATTATATTATATTTCATTTATAATATTATATTATATTATACCATATTATATTATATTATATTATAGTTTATTTTATTTTATTATATTATACTATATTTTATTATATTTTAATCTATGATATTATATATAATATAATATTATATAATATAATATAATATGATATTATATTATATTATATTAAATTAAATTAAATTATATTATATATTATATATCTATATTATATATTATTATTATTATTATTATATTATACATATTATAATTTGTATTGTATGTATATTATGTATGTATTATTCATACATTCTGGGTCTCGCTCACCGACCATAGTAGTGGCACTTAACCCAGGGCTCAGATCAGGCATTGGGCATTGGGGGGTTGCTGGGATCCTCTAATCAGGTAGTCATCCTGTTTCTCAAAATTGGATAAAATTGGGGTATACCCCAAAACCATTGGTTTCCACGGGTTTTTCATGGGTTTTCCATGGGTTTTCCCATCAAAACCATTTTTTTCATGTTTTTTTCCGATTGGGTTTTCCATTGGGGTCCCAAGGTTAAGACATGGTTAGACGACTCGGAAGCCCCCAAGTTGGGTTTCGCCCCCAGGTCGAGGTCTGCCACTGCGGCGTTGCCTTTGGAGTAGCTCAGCTCGATGTTTTTTTCGGAGATCTGGGTCAACCAGCTGGATATGGATTTAATATGATTTAATATGAATTAATATGATTTAATATGATTTGATATAGATCCAATATGATTTGATATAGATCCAATATGATTTAATATTATTTGATATGGAATTTATATGATCTAATATGAGTCAACATGACTCAATATGATTTGATATTAATATGGTTCAATGAATTCATTATCAAACATGTGGTCAACAATTAACAATGACTGATTTGTTTTTTTCACCAACATGGCTGGTGAATTTACCATCAAACATAGGCTTAAACCAACTGGATGGATAGATATATACATGATGTAGTATATTTTTGGTTTTCCATGAATGATGTATATATATATATATACATATAATGGTATAGATATATACATTAATTTATTATATATATATACATGCTAGCAAAACTGCAGGGGATCGAAGATTTGGTGATCTAAGCAGGGTTGATTTGCTGGATACTTCGCGCAGCCAAGGCAGGGAGATCTGATGTCGGCTCAGCAACCCAGGGGCTTGGAGATCTGACCCCATGCCAAATTTATAAACTGGTCATCTTTAATGGAGAGATCAAACATGATTTGGGCACCACAATGTTGAGAATGTTGAGAAACACCCATTGATGTCGTGATCATTCGTCATCTAGAAGTTGTGAGTGCATTAAACAGCCCAATTGGAATTTTAGAGCTGTTTTGAGCGGCCACAAAACTGATCAATTGTACTCGTAGGTTTCGAAGGCCCAGCATTGATGCACAGATGCACAATTGAAATTCTAAATTTCAATAATTGGTGCTGTAGGGGTTTCTAATTAGAACATATTGGAACTAGGATTTATGGATATTTATGGTGAATATTGTAACTGCCGGGGGGAGGGGAAAAATGTAAAAAAAGTTGATTCAGTGAAGTTTTCTAAACTAATATCATAGCAGTATAACAAATCAAAAATTATTCATTATAAAAAACATAACAGTCCAAAAAGCCAGTTTATATATTGTTAATTGCTTCATTTTTCTCAACAATATCAAAACATAATTACCTCATTCAATTTTTAAAAATCATAGCAGTCAAAGCATACTTACCTCATTCAATTTTTCAAAATCATAGCAGTCAAAGCATACTTACCTCAGTCAATTTTTCAAAATCATAGCAGTCAAAGCATACTTACCTCATTCATTTTTTCAAATTCATAGCAGTCAAAAGCATTATTACCTTATTCATTTTACAAAATCCTATCCATCAACCGTTCCTAAATTCCTTTTATGCTTCTCTGTTTTTAAATGTCTTGAATAACATTGTGCCTTCATTGATGAATTACATACATTACAAAAGGCAACTTTATCACGATAGTTTTGTATTTGTTCCTGTTTCTTTTTTCTATATTCTTCATCTTCTTTATATTTAGTTCTTCGTGTTTCATTCACTTTATCTTTATGTTTGTCATAGTTCTTTCTCTTGTATTCCAAGCATGTCTTACAAGTCTTCAATCCATCTTCAAAATTATCAATTGGTAATTTTTTAACACAGTATCTACAAAAATTGTCCATTACATAGAAATATGATTATCTTCTTAAATGTCTTTTCCAAGAATTCCTACAACAACCAAAAACAAAAACAAACCAAGCGAAGAACAACATTAAAAACAAAAAACAATAGACAACAATAAACATTATTCCCTACCCTTTAATAACCCTATCTTACAAATCCATAATTCTAATAAATAAATATTATTAGAAATATGTTAGTAGTAAATATCTTCAATAATTATCAATTCAAAATGAAATGTTTGTATTCCTATTATACTATCTTTATCTTGGTCTTCTTCTATGTCGGTTTTTATTTCTTCAACTGCTTTCTCTAAAATTTCATCTACATTATCTTCATCTACATATTCATCAAAGTCATGCATGAAGTAAATCTCTCTATAACTAAATTCATTTTCTCCATATTCCTTTTCTGGGAGTTTTGCTACTAATTGGACTTCAATATCAAGTTTAACTATAATTTAATCCATCTTCTTCTACTTATTCATAAATTGAAAATAATAATTCTTCTTTTTTTTCTGTTATGATGTTTCCTATACTTTTTAAACCGGATGGCACTCCCTCTCTCACAATACAGTATTCAATTACATATTTTTTTTCTTGGTTTCAAATGTCTTGTTATTTTAGGACCAAATTTTGATATTTTATGTTTGTTCCGTATTCTCTTCAATGCTTCACTACGCTTTATTGTCAAATATTTAGGGTCTCCAATTTTATAAGGAACGATCTTACGCAACGCATCAACAGGCAAACCCTTCATACAATTCGTCTTATAAAAACTTATATAAATAACTTAGACTTTCAGTATATATTCCAAGATTAAAATGTAGAATTCTTTGAAAAACTACTTAAAGATAAATTAACTAAATAAAATATATAATATTATATGATGAAAAAAATTATAGACTATCTATTGAGTAATGATTTAGCAGAAATACCAAAAAGAGGAAGAACAAAATTGAAATCAATAGTAATAGACAGCAATAAATTTAGATACAGCAAAGACAAACCCATATCTAATGTTTTAACAAAGAAACTATTAACAGTAAAGAAAACTAATGAATACAGAAGTTATGCTTTAAATGAGGCAAAAGATGCGTTCAGTGAAGGAAGAGTGAGACAAATACTAACCAAACACGCAATCAGAAACAAATTTTGGGTCAGAGATATTCAATCAGCATTTAGGAGATATGCTAATTCAATAGTTTTGGAAAATAAACACTTTCAAGGAGAAAGGGGATTAGAAATGATTGCACACCAAAAACCAAGACTATTGGAGTTTTTGAGAAATAGTAGAAGCATGAAACTTAACATAAGAACGGACGCATTGTTTGAAAAACCTGAGTACAATGATGGAGGAAATGAAATTGGCAGTCAAGAACTTATATATGCCTTACCTTCAACCCGCTTTAATATCAGTAATGAGGATGAACTGACGCAAGCAATAGAAGACAGTGCTAAACAAATCTTATTACAAATACAGAATTTAGAAGCATCGGCATCCAATTTAAGATTCAAGAAGATTTTGACAATAGCCATTCACTATGACAAATATGACCCAACAAGAGCAGGGGGATACATAGAACTACCTGAATGGATTAAACTAAAAAAGGCATGTATCAACATAAAGAACAAAGACCAAAAATGCTTCAAATATTGTATTCAATCCAAAGTCTATCACAAAATAAGCAAACATCACCCAGAGGAAATGTTCCACTATAATAAACTGAAAAATTATATTTTGAACTGGGATGGTGTACATTTTCCAACTGGCAATAGGGACATTGACAGATTTGAAGAGAACAATAAATCAGTTTCAATAAATGTGTTTGAACCCGATGACTGCTTAAATGATAATAATATTATATTGCATAGAGGCACTAAAAATAGAAATGCTAAATACGAAATTGATTTACTAAAAATTCATGATGAAGATAATAATCATCACGACGTATTAGTTAAAAATAAATGTAGATTATTAAACTGTCAAAACAGTAGCAACACAAATAAAAAGTTTTACTGCCACCATTGCTTAAATCCCTTTCAATCAGAAAAGGTATATAAGAAACATCTTGAAAACGGATGCATGGCATCAGAAGGACAACAAACAAAGATGCCTGATAAAGACACATACATAGAATTTGAAAAGCATAATACTAAATTGCCTTGTCCTTTTGTAATCTATGGTGATTTTGAATGTCTAACCACGAACTCCAATACAGGAACAAAAGGCACATATCAGGAACATAAACCATGCGGTTATATGTTAAATGTAGTAAGCAGGATTGATAATACATGCCAACCATACTTATACAGAGGTGAGGATTGTATGAAAAAGTTTGTTGAACAACTGACTGAAATTAAGAAAGATATATTTGAAAAAATGAATGTTAATAAACCGATGGATGAATTAACAAACGAACAAAAATTAGAGTTTAAATTATCGTCTCATTGCTCCATTTGCGGTAAGAAATTTGAACCTGACGATGAAAAGGCTCGCGACCACTGCCACTTCACAGGCAAATACAGAGGTGCAGCGCACGTAAAATGTAATCTGGATTATTAATTTAGATATTTTAAAATCCCTATCTTCTTTCATAATCTTAAAAACTATGACGCACACTTAATCATAGCAAAAGCAAATGAACTAAACATAGAACTAAACCAAAACAAAAGAATAGATGTAATAGCACAAAACAGCGAAAAGTTCATAACCTTTTCATTTGGCGCTTGTCAGTTTAAAGACAGTTTTGCTTTCTTAACAGCATCATTAGATAAATTAGTTAGACTGAACAAATATGAAGGAAATGAAACGCTTAAAGACTGGGAAACTCGTTTTAGATATACAAGCACTAACCCATACATTAAATCCAAAGCTGATTTGAATTTACTGACTGAGAAAGGGGTATATCCCTATGACTACATGAATTCATGGAACAAGTTTGATGAAACAAAACTACCAAAGAAAGAAGACTTTTACAGTAAACTATATGAAGAAAACATAACTGACAAAGACTACGCCAGAGCAAATATTGTATGGAAACATTTCAACATTAAAAACCTTGGTGAATATCATGATTTGTACTTGATGACTGATGTATATTTACTGACTGATGTTTTTGAAAATTTTAGGGATATGTGTTTGAACTATTATGGATTAGACCCAGCATGTTATATCACTTTACCCAACTATTCTTGCAATGCCTTTTTATCATTAACAGGAGTTAGACTTCAACAAATCCCCATAAAAAAATGTATGAGATGATTGAAAATGGGTTAAGAGGAGGAATGACGCAATGCTCCTTCAAACAAGTAGAAGCAAACAATAAATATATGAATCAAAATTATGATAAATCCAAACCTTCATCATACGTAAGTTATTTAGATGCTAATAACCTTTACGGATTAGCAATGTGTAAGAAACTGCCTTATGATGATTTTAAGTGGTATTACGGTAGAATGGATGAGAAGAGGGTAATGAAATATAGTGATGATGATGACATAGGATACATATTAGAAGTTGATTTAGATTATCCAAAAGGACTACATGATTTACATAAAGACTACCCACTAGCACCTGAAATCATGTGTATCAATGAGAATATGCTTTCACAAGTCCAAAAGGATATACACAAATATTATTATGGAAAAGATGCCAGTGATGAAAAGGCAAATAAATTAGTATTAAATGTGATGGATAAAAAGAAGTATGTTTTACATATATCAGCATTGAAATTCTATTTGCAACACGGATTACGTCTTAAAACAAGTCCATAGAGCAATAAGTTTCAAACAAGCAAACTTCTTGAAACCATTCATTGAATTCAACACTGAAAAGAGAAAGAATGCTAAAAATGAATTTGAAAAGGATTTGTTTAAGTTGATGAATAACAGTGTATATGGCAAGACCATGGAGAATGTAAGAAAGCATGGTGATTATGAGTTAGTCAATACGCCTGAACGCTTCCAAAAACTGGTAAATAAACCACTATTCAAACACCGACATATTATAAATGAAGACCTTGTGATTGTTGAAAAAGAGAAGCATACAGTGGAACTAAACAAACCTATCTACATGGGTATGTCTATTTTAGACTATTCTAAAATTCACATGTATTCGTTTTACTATGATGTTTTGAAACCCAAATATGATAATAGAATTAAGTTGGTATATACTGATACTGATAGTTATGTATTCAAAGTTGAGACTGATGACTTATATGAAGACTTTAAGGAGATTAATGAATACATGGATTTTAGTGATTATCCACCAGAGCATCCAAACTATGATAAAACAAATAAGAAGGTATTAGGGAAATTCAAGGATGAAATGAACGGTAAAATAATTACTCACTTTATAGGATTAAAACCAAAAGCATATTGCTATAAAGTATATGGTGATGAGAAAGAACACAAGAAGAGTAAAGGAGTAGTCAAGCATAAAGTGAGCAATCAGTTAAGTTACAAAACTTATGAAGAGACATTGAATAGAAACTGTAAAGAAGAAGTCAGTTTTAACACTATCAGAAGTAAGAACCATCAAATCTATAGCATTAATCAAACTAAATATGCTTTAAGCAACTACGACAATAAACGCTACTGGTATTCAGATTTTGAGAGTCTCCCGTTTGGACATTACGCCATAAAATATCTACACAACGAAAAGATATGTAATTGAATACTGTATTGTGAGAGAGGGAGTGCCATTTGGTTTAAAAAGTATAGGAAACATCATAACAGAAGAAAAAGAAGAATTACTATCTTTGATTTATGAAGAAGTGAAATTTTAGAGTTAAACTTGATATTGAAGTCCAAATAGTAGCAAAACTCCCAGATAAAGAATATGGAGACAATGAATTTAGTTATAGAGAAATTTACTTCATGCATGACTTTGATGAATATGTAGATGAAGATAATATAGAAGATGTCGACGTAGAAGAAGACCAAGATAAAGATAGTATAATAGGAATACAAGCATTTCATTTTGAATTGATAATTATTGAAGATATTTACTACTAACATATTTCTAATAATATTTATTTATTAGAATTATGGATGTGTAAGATAGGGTTATTAAAGGTAGGGAATAATATTTATTGTTGACTATTGTTTTGTTGTTTTTTTTTATGTTGTTCTTCGCTTGGTTTGTTTTTGTTTTTTGGTTGTTATAGGAATTCTTGGAAAAGACATTTAAGAAGATAATCATATTTCTATGTAATGGACAATTTTTGTAGATACTGTGTTAAAAAATTACCAATTGATAATTTTGAAGATGGATTGAAGACTTGTAAGACATGCTTGGAATACAAGAGAAAGAACTATGACAAACATAAAGATAAAGTGAATGAAACACGAAGAACTAAATATAAAGAAGATGAAGAATATAGAAAAAAGAAACAGGAACAAATACCAAACTATCGTGATAAAGTTGCCTTTTGTAATGTATGTAATTCATCAATGAAGGCACAATGTTATTCAAGACATTTAAAAACAGAGAAGCATAAACGGAATTTACGAACGGTTGATGGATAGGATTTTGTAACATGAATCAGGTAATAATGCTTTTGACTGCTATGATTTTGAAAAAATGAATGAGGTAAGTATGCTTTGACTGCTATGATTTTGAAAAATTGACTGAGGTAAGTATGCTTTGACTGCTATGATTTTGAAAAATTGAATGAGGTAAGTATGCTTTGACTGCTATGATTTTTAAAAATTGAATGAGGTAATTATGTTTTGATATTGTTGAGAAAAATGAAGCAATTAACAATATATAAACTGGCTTTTTGGACTGTTCTGTTTTTTTTTAATGAATAATTTTTGATTTGTTATACTGCTATGATATTAGTTTAGAAAACTTCACTGAATCAACTTTTTTTACATTTTTTTTTGGGGGGGGGCAGATTCTATGAATTCTCGGCTTCTCCGAGTCATGCAGCGAGGCTATGACTGATGCATCCACCATGATTCTTGCCGACGACGTGGAGGCGTGCCTGATGAAACATGATGAAACAGCCAGGAGCCGTGGCAAAAGCTGTAACTTGCAAAAATACATGTGTTTAATATATTTTAATATAGATATATAGCATTATATAGCATAGTTCATACATGACATAGTTCAATATAGATTTCAAATATAGTGCATACTAAATCTGTTGAAATCACATCCCAACTCAGTGGCAACTTAATATGGCAGACGCTAGGTAGCTAGGTCAAGTCATCGGGTGCCATCGCAATCCATCGGTAACCCCCAAAAAGATAGAACAGTAAATTACCCCACTATAGAGCAGTGACAACTCACGGAGACTCACTGTTCTATGATTTTTGGGTGGGATTACTATAAATAGACGATATTTACATCTACGGATGTGACTTATCCGTTTGATTTGTGGTTACTCCGTGGCAGCTTCAGCACTGCCCGCCTCAGTCGATCCCAGCAGTGGCCTTTGGCGTTTCGATTTTCGTTCGGAAACCGAGTTGGAAGGAGGTTGGAAAGGGCAAGCCAGAGGCTTTATTAATATACTAGGAGTATACAGTATAATTACCATTTGCAATAGGTCCTAATAGGTAAATCATCACACTAAATGGGCCATGGCTTCCACATCTGATTGTCAAGTCCCCGGTCTATTACTAGACAGGGCCGATTTCATGGGTGCACCGGAACCCATTCCAGATGGGACACATTTGAGATAGACATGCGTATAATCTTCCAGCTTGTGTACATGCCTTGCATCTAGAGAGAAGCAAAACATCGTTGTGAACACCATTCAACGACAAGACTTTGCATATTGTTGTATCGTCGCAAGGTTCATTATCTCTCCGGTGTTGATGCTGTATTGTTTCGAATTCAGAAGAACCATAGCACGTCTAGTTTGCTGTATGAAGTGGACCCCAAATCTACTATCAAATATATATATATAGATAGTTGGGGTATGTTGGGGTCTGTTGGGGTTGAGGGGCCTCCCAAATTCTAGGACTCTAGGACAGGCATGTTCTTGCTCAGAGGGCACACTATCTGAAAGCGTCTCAAACTTTGAAGTTGAGGTCACCCTGTCTGAAGCTTTGGAAGTTGACCAAGTCTACCCAGTGGTATCTTTATGTATCTTTCACATGCCACTATGCGATGAAGATGAAGCCATTTTGGGAGCCACACTGCGACGAAGATTCTTGCTCGGAGTCTACAGAATTCCAGAATAGCTTCTACAAACTCAGAATTCAGACATCAAATGGAACAGAGAATAAACAAGACACCATACCCTCTGGTAAACTAAGAGTTTGCTATTGAAAATGGCCATTGAAATAGTGAGTTTTCCCATTAAACAAATGTGATTTTCCATAGCAAAATGTTAACGTTTACCAGAGGGTAAATGCTATATGATCCATTCATGGTCAGTATCAGTCCCATGTCGAGCTGAGGTCGGGATTGTGGGCTACTCTACCTGGACCGCCTTTGGACCAGGCCCCGGCGCGCTGCGCCGTTGACGGCCGAAGGACTTTTTTTGTCGTCTAGGACGACATGATGCGGTTTGAAGATGGCTAAGTCGGCTAAGTCTGTTTGATCTTCAAGATCTGTATATAATATCAATATCTGATACATTCTTATACAATATATGATACTATATGTATCTATATGTAATTTATGGGTGATTTTTTTGGGTTTTTGATACTTTTGATTGCGTTGGTTGCCACGTCAAGGACGAAACTTGACGACAATTTTCTTCAGTGTGGTGGGTTCACCATCAGTCAGAACAATCGCAATCAGTTTGCCTTCCTCGGTAGAGCCACTGTCAGACGGCTATCAACAACAGGCGAAAGGCGGAAAGCTTGAACCGTACTTACCCAGATTGTTTGAGGTATTTAGTAGACGTTATAGAATGAAGGAGAAGCACTTGTAAACCACAACTATACTTTTAGTTGGTATAGTAACTAGTCATGGGTTTCTATGGATATGTGGATATTTATGGTATAGCTTCATGACTTGATAGCTGCGATTTCATCCTGATTTGACGTGGGCCCCTGACCACCAAACTGGATTTGGTCCAACAACCCAACATGGATCAAAACGGTACGAAAAGAAAACATGTTGACCTTACGCAAGATTCATGAAGATTCCTGAGAAAATGCAACATTTCTGTGTTGATATGTTTCTTTACGTACATTGAAGAATCATCCCACAAATCGTTAAACATCCCGGTGATGTGATCCCGAACATATAAATGGGCCATGACATGCCACCGGCCTATGGTTTCTGGTTACCATCAACCCAATTCAACTGTAGATATATTCACCAGAAAGATAGTTAGCCTCTACGCCAACTAACATCTATAAATAATTATCTATATATATATAGATAGATAGATAGATAGATAGATATATCTAGAGGGCCCCTTAGTTATAAAATGTTATAAATCCCTATAAATCGTAGTTCTTGGACTTCAAAACCCCCATGTTGGCCCTACATTGATTCTTGGATCAGGCTCCGCCGACCTGCGGGACCCCTTCGAGGAGCACGAGGACTAGTCGAACGGCGCAGGCGACCCGGGGCTGAAACCTGGACGAGTCTTTGAGCCTCACATGGGGTAATACATTTCCCGCGAAAAAAACAGAGAGATGATGGAGTATGATGGAGTAAGTGTCCCAGAATTGAAGTGATTCATATGAGATTGTCTTGCAATGCTGGTATTTCATCCTGTTTCAACTTTGAGGCTCCCCGTACCCCCTGAAGAATCCAGGTGAGTCAGGCCATTGCGCCCTAGGTACTGTGGACGTGCGTGAAGATTGGACAACCTCTACAGGCCCAAGGGCATGGTGTCTGGTGTCTGGGCACCTGGGCTGGTGACCTAGGTTCCAATTTTGACAGAATTTATGGCTTCCCACTTGAAGATATCTGATGATTAGGCTTTCGGATTCCGGAGACACATAATCAGAATTAGTTTCTACATCTTCTTACTAGATCTTACTAGCTCAATGGTCACTGTACTTTCCTACATGGCTCTTCATTCGCTTGTACATGTCTATCAAGTTCTATGGATAGACATCCACTAATCTATTGTGACAATTATACATGAGGTAATCATGAGGTCCTAGATATCCAAAAGACCTCATCGGTAGATCGATCGCATCCTTACAGTCCCCCCCAAAAAAGGGGGCTTCCAGAGGCGAGACGAACGAGACGGGCGGCAGCCTGGAGCCACAATTTTCTTGTCCCCGCGCGCCAAAAATTGATCAAAGTGCTCGACGTCAAAGACATTTCCATGGAAAACCCCCTGGTTTTGGGGGATCATTACGAGTCCATAATTTCAAGAAAGACCTATAATCAGTGTTTTGGAAAAATTAACAGCACATCCCAGTGCGATGTTTTCGTTTGCTTCTGAGTTTGTGATATGCGGAATTACACAGCTCGCATGTTTCTGGAAGGTGTCAACATATGGTACTTTCACGTATTTTCTTGGTTGGATATCTCTAATGTGGATTTGTGTGAGCAACTCGCTGACATGTTTGGGCCGTTTGCTGGTGGAAGATGAGTTGTCCTGTATGCCAGCATAGCCGCACAACTTTCAAGAGCTCGTGCAGCAGCTTGTGACAATGCAGCTCATGTGGTTATCCCACCTTTGAACCATTCCAACACATTTCCAGTCCCTATGCTCTGATTGAAATCCGACACTCAAAGTACTGTACACATCAGAAGCGGATGAGGTGGTCAACCGCCAACATTGAGGATCAAGACACAGCAGCCCATGTTATGAATTGCCGTTTGCAACTTTGAATTTTTGTCCCGGCGCATGGCTTTCCAACCCAAAACAGACTGAGTTTCAGCGGAGGTTTTCACATGTTTTCACGGATTCCAGCCATGGAGCTGATGACCAGACCTCAACTTGCTGCGCCTGTGCCGGTTCAGTCTGCAGGCAAACGACCCAGACCATCCAGTAACACCACGCAGTAATCGACATAAATGATGTTTATTAATGTCTGGGACCATCTGTTGACCCTGGACTCTTGCAATTTCTGGAAGCTCAGAGAAGTTCATGAAGCACCCATCCAAAATTGAAGTTAGTTTCAACATGTTTCAACATGTTTGAACGTTTCAACTACAATTATGTTCATATATTGTATATCTGGCTGGTGGTTTCAAACATTTTTTGATTTCCATAATATTTGGGATAATCCTTCCCATTGACTTTCATATTTTTCAAGATGGTTAAAACCGCCAACCAGATATGTTCAATGTGTGATCCCGATTTGCACAGTTGATGCATGTTGCCCCCGGCGAATTTTCTCCACGGATCTCCATGGCAGGCAGGGCCGCACTTGGAAGAAGCTGGTCCGCCTGGGCTCCAGCCCGGGAAGCCCGGTAGTGGTTTGGGGCAGCTACGGCAGCGCAAATCAGACAGAGGCACCTGGCTGGCCCATGGGAAGTTATTGAAGTTGGTGGTTCCCTGAATCAAAGTGAAGTGGCTGTGAAAGCCACTGAACCATCCACACTAGGAGTGATCTATGGCTGTGTCTTTTCAAATGGGGAGCCACATATCTCGAAATGGTGCATTTCATATTAGTTTTTATGGCTATTGAATGGACATAAATACTCCATTGACCAGATAGAAGAGCTTTCACTGCTATGAAATAGTGATATAATGTGATATATATATAATTTGTTCACCTGTTCGTTCCTTTTCTATGTTCTGCTCAAATTCCCAGTTCTTTGATTCTCCTAAGGCCGCGGCTGCCACTGCGGCCGTGGTGAAGTGCCGCCTCAGTGTCTCTCAGGCCCGGGATTAGACCGGAGTGATCACCATGTGGGTTTTTCACTTCACCAACCATGAAAAAATTGTATATCATCTGGTTATGACTAACATAGCCATGGAAAATCACCATTTTTTTAAGAACGGTAAACCATCTATTTCGATTAGGGCCACTTCAACACACATGGAGATTTTTCAGCATCAACGGGGATGTCACCACCAAGACTTGGGGAGTTTGAGCATTCGAATGGTGGATGATTTGCTTGCTATTTCAGATGGTTTCAGGAGATTTCCATAGGATGCTTGTGATGCTTGTTGGCCACTTAGATACTCCTTGATTGGGAACATGAAAGACCACTCTTGTGATAAACCATGTTTTACCCCCAACCACATCGGCGGAATCTGATGGAATAAAGTGGATTGACAAATTCAAGTGTCGTGCTGAAAATTGGTGGGGATAAATCAATGATCCGCAAAATATCAGTCCAGTATAAATATTAGAAGTCGGAAAGTCCATTTACATCATTTACAAACAATCAGGCTACTACAAACTGAACTTTGCTGATGGTGACGCTGTTCTTTCGTTATTACTTAATCCGCATTGTGGAATGTTCTGCACGGAGCATTTTTCTTTTAAGAAGCACCTGGAGCAAATCCAAGTACAATGGTGGACGAGTGGATGATCAATATAAAAGCCGGACATGACCCCTGTCACAGGTTGGTTCCCATTTCTGAAAACAGTATATATATATGTATAGATACACATTAACATATAATTATTATGTATTCTTGATTTCAGGATAACACCTGGCTTCTTTGAAAATAAACCTTGGTCACCAAACCTGTAAAAAGTGTCCCCTCTACATGTCAAATGATTTGTAGAAAAGGTTGCTGATACCTGATGTCACTGGTTGGGATTGAATAGTGTCAACCTTGGATTTCTATGCACCCCTAAGTTATTTTTCTGTCGTCTGTTGGCGTGTTCCACCCTGATTGAAGCACCCTCATTGAAGGAATCTCCGGTCACTGGCAAAGTATTATTTCCATGACTATCGGCCATTATTCGCATGTATATTGATCATATAAGATGTGACTTGAGATGAGCTTATACATGTTAATCGCTTTGATGTACTAAATTATACTATATGAAAATAATGTAAAATAAATCAAAATTATATAAATTGTATAGTACAATATATATATATATACATATGATATATAATATCCCTTTCTGACATATTGTGATCATTTTCCGGGGGGATCTCAGCCGTGGTCTTTTCGGAATTCCACCAGGTGAAGCTTCGAAGAAGGCGCAGCAGGCGCGCGCTGCGCGCGCTGCGCGCTACGGAGGAAGCAGCCGCAGGTGGGGCAACCGATCTAAACCTATCAAGGGGATGATTATCATTGATTAAAAATTGATATAATGTTGGGGATGGTTTCGTATTGGGTTGACCACGGTTGGAGATCTTCGGGTATGTTTTGGGAAGGAACATCCATTTACTATAGTCACCAGCGATTTTCATATGCACCTGAGCTTGTACTGAGATTTGAACCCAGAACGACATCACGAACCGAATCTCGTAATTTACCCTGGAAAAACCCATGGCCTACCTGTGATCTAGTTGGGTGACTGACCCCAAAAAAGCGAAAGAGAGGGGATGTATGCTTCCATTATATATATATATATGTATGTGTCAAGAATTGTCAACATATTATATATATATGTGTGTGTTTCTATTTTGGTGATAGTATCTCATCATACCATACCTGGTTTGTATGGATGCAACATACCCCATTCCGCCATCGGTGGATCTGAGGTGAAAACCGTTACAAGAGCTTGGAGGTCAGGCTCAAACTGGACAGCGTGTGGATTAGAAGGGCCAAATCATGGTGTGTTTGTGGGACAGTATACACTTAATGCACCGTTTACATCCGTTTACCATGGGGCCTTGTTTTGGTGCGCCTTCCCCAGAGTTCACACTGTACGCGGATCGCTCCGTTAACTGGCTTAAGATCATTGATTGACCTTGCCCCACAGGTTGGGGTGCGGAGCTGATGCGTAAATGTTTCTTGTACCGTGCAAGAAGATAGTTATTTATGTAATCCAATTTTACTATACATGTGCAAATCCAGATCAACATTCAATGGTAGCATCAAATCAGTGAGAAAGTGTCAGTGACCGTTATTACCCGTCACACCCCATGATGAGTGTTTGTAGCACCAGGAGCAGGTAGCACGACTAAAACAATAGGGGTGTCTTAAAATGGTGGATCCCCAAGTCACCATGGGTTTCAATACTGCATGGTCCAATGTTGGATGATTTGGGGTGCCCCCATTACTTAGGAAACCTCCATCTGTGGCTTTGCAGCAGGTGTTTCTGGAGGCTCAGCGAGAGTCTCGCCCTCTTACAGATCCCCTTGGTGGCCCATTGACACCGTGGGAACTCCAAGGTATTCAGCGTGGTATTTAAAGTGGAATATGTCTTGTCATATCCATTCTATACAGTTGATACCCGATAATTTGCTGATGTTTAGGCTTCACCTGAAACACACAAGTCGATTTTATAGTCGTATTTTGTTTTTACAAGTGTTTGACAGGCTGGGGCTGCTATGGGTGATCACAAGACTGTGGCAAAGAGAGATATGAGAACGTGTCTGAACAATTAATGCACTAAATCTGTACGAGAACTGTCACCCTGTATTGCCATGTGGAGATTGCAGTAATATAGATCCTACATTCAGACTTCAATCCTCTGATTGGCCCACTTCACAGAATGCAAGCAAATGGCTTTGGTATGGTCAAACATATGTAACATATGTCAAAACGTAAGAAGTAGGGAACCACATTGGTTGTATTTGGTCGTCTTAACGATTGAAAAACATTTGGGAGGCTACGGAGCACAGGAAACCTCAGCCCCAAGCTGCAAAGGTACAACGACAGCCCTGCAGATTGGATGTTGATTGCCATCTTCCGTCAGGCGCTGCGCCTTGCAGAATGGCCATGGGTCAATGTGTAGAATATACTGTGTACATATTATATATATATACAATATACTGTATCTATATAAATATATACACCGTGTATACATACGTATATTTTATGTGTATATTATATGATTATGTGTATATATATATATATATCTATCATATCTGTTTGTGTGTGTTTGTGGCAATCCCTTTTCCCAAGTTTTAAACACCCCCCTAGACTCTCCAGATACTTTGGTTTAGTGTTGGATTACTCCAGTTCTGGGCCTATTTCAGGGAATCCAGTATAGGTGGATCTTTATTAGCAGTCCAGATGGGTCGGTCAGAACCACTTGGTGGCTCCATCATTTTCAGCTCTGGGCTGATGATCCCAACTTCAAGGGTATCCAACAGTTGTCTTCAAGGGGGTTAAACATGTTAAAACCTTGATACCATCATCCACCAGCAAACTTCTCCTCCAGTTGCTCCATGGCCGGAAAATCCCCCATTTACTTCGAGGATTTTCCCAGTTCTCAGCTTCGAGCCCTGCACCAGGTCATGTCGGGAGTGGCCAAGTGGCAGTCTCCGTTAGCGTTCTGGGGTCCAGAGGCCAGAATTGGAATTGGCCATTTTTGGGTTCGATGGGGATCAGTAACATGACATCAGATATCAACATGTCAACCAAAATCAATTGGGGTGGGGCAGAACCAGTAGTCAGAGGGTAAACTAACAGCTATGGAAAATTGCCATTGAAATAGTGGATTTTCCCATTAAAAATTGTGATTTTCCATAGCTATGTTGAATTACCAGAGGGTAGTACTTGACTAATAAGCCTACTCATTATTTCCGCTCAACTACCTCCCCGTGGTGGATCCGTGGTGGATGTGCGAAGCTGCGAAGCCAACCGTGCGAAAATAACTCCCCGTCCTTTCAACTGGAGGGGCCCCCAAGATATGGCAGTTTTGATGGGAAACATGATACATGTTGTCCAAAAATGGTGGATACCCGAAACCTGACTTTTTGGATGGTGGACATGTCAACCACCGGGGGGTCGGGGTACCATTTTTTCAGACCAACGATGAGAGACACGTCTGTTCACTTTCGGCCGCAGGCCTATGATGGAATGCTGGAGGTTGCTCATGCCCAGCAGTGGGGAAGAACTTTGCAGCAGACAGAGGAGCTACATGGAGCTGCCAAGATTGCAGACGAATTCCCTGAAGCAAAAGAATCACAAGTACGGGTGAACTCTTACATAGTCACCATAGTCAGTAGCCATCAGGGACCACAGAATTCCTCATTCCCTTCCTGGGAAGGACTCAGCGATGTCGGTGATTGACAACTTGTTACCGGAAGAGGGCAAGGCATCGGCTCTACTTGGGGGGTGTGGTTGGGTGGTAGTGGTGTCAGTGGTGTTTTATTTTTGGTGTGTATATATATATATAAAAATCAATGGATTTATATTATATATATATGGTAATATATGCTTAATAATGGGATATAGATGGGATTCACCCTGGATTGTAGATACAATCCTCATAAAATGCGACAAATCTGTGGCTGTCCTAACCAAGACAGTGCTACATAGTGTGACATAGTGCTAGGCTGCACAAGATTTTACAGACAGCCTGAGAATCTAATTGAATGTGAGGATTATAAGAATTCTACCAATCACTGTAGTAATCTACGAACAGTTTCTAGGGACCGGACAGGGCTGCTTTGGGGAATGGATCGGATTTGAGATTGGAAAAGACGCTTCACAGACTTTTGGTGTTTTTCAAGTGTCCATGGGTTGTTCCATCAGAGTAGGGATGGGCATTGATTGTTCCATAGGGATGAACCATGGCCAAACACCATGACTGGCAATAGCAATTATACAGTGGATCCTATCGTGGCAGCCACTCTACAGATCATATGCCATGTTGAAAAGATATCAAAAGATGAATTACACTATATATATATGGAAGGGGATTGTCATCCGGCAATTAATAGAGATTTATGAACCCACTAACACCAGGATTCCCGTTGTGGGATTCTTGACCATAGGCTATATACTGGTGTCATGGTTTGACCATGGCACATATGAGGATATCTTGCACGATATTTTGTGGTGGTCTCAAGTTGCATCCGACCTGAAAAGTCCACCAGAAACTTGCGATGCCAGAACTGATTTAAACAAAAAAAACCTGGACACAGCAGATATCAGCAGATCCAAGAAAGAGACCGTGTGACACCGTCCTTTCCTGGTGCTCATTAAAAAAACAACCCTATTTTGGTGACCGCAGCATTCAAAGCCATCAACCTGGTCAGTGGCGCAGAATCCAGTCTGGGCCTCAGCTGTTGACCTGCCGAGGACTCATTACCTCATGGTTTTCAGATATGTTGAAGATATTTTGCTAATAGTTTTTTGGTGCTTTCAAGTTGGTGTTTCACGTTTTTTTTCCATCTGTGTTTTTCCATATGGATCTTCAATTTTTCTCAGATGTTCTACGGAACCATGATGAGGTGCGTCCTGGCCATGGGGCCGGGGACCACAAATCGCGTTCGCGGCTAGTGGGCTTTTGGGATGAATCCTAATGACTTGTTGGTTTACCAACCAGAAACATCGAAGATTGAACTCCTGGCAATTAAGGTCAGTGGTCGAGTATTGTTTGGGCAAAATGATTGGCTGGAGCATCCCCTTTCCCTTTTTCAATCCCATTTCCTGAAAGCTGTGTTTTTTTCTGTGTGGGTAGAATTTGCCAATTTGGAGGGCCAACAACTTTTGACCCTTTCTGACTTGGTGATTTTTGAGGACCAGCATGGACCAGTTGGGCCTAAGGCAGACCTGCTGCCGCTCCATCAATGGCACACTCTGCGACGAATCTGCGCCAGCGAACCAGGCAGTCATTCTGAGCCATTCTGAGCCAAATACTGCGCGAGAAATGATGGGAATTGAACATACTTTGAACTAACAAAAATAACATCTAACAGTATCTAACAGTAACATGATGTGACCGACAAACACAGTGACCGGAACCAACCATCGACCAAAACTATCCCAGAATGGGGACATGCTATGATATGGAATCTGGGTTGGAACTGGGTACAAACGGACAAACCCGGCAATGCAAAAATCACGTTGAGCAGAAACGTCATGAGGAAACTGGGGATGTTGCGTTGCCAGGTTAGATAGTGGGGTAGGATGACACTTAGAAACGCAATCAAACGCAAAATCCCCCAGTTGGTATAGGTATTGCAAGAAGTTTAATTACGAGATCAAAACAGTGCAATTATATGAACATTTTTGGAAACGCAGGGGTGGTGATAAAGTTTGCAGACTCTTGGGATATGAATCAAAGGGTTGCAACTGTCAACCGGCTCTTCGGAAGATACAGACGAGGTATGAGATCACTTTGCATCATCCGGTCCCATGAAACGTTGACATCATGTCATAGTTGCTACCCAACAGCAGGTAAAGTATCAAATGACTTTATATACTATGCGTTAATAATCATTCACAGTGTGCCTATATGGAACATTCTGTACACTTTGCAGAATCGAAGCTCAGTCAGCAAGGGAAAAGGCAAACAAAATCATATCCAAGATAGCCCCCCAAAAGCTTAAACATGGTTTTATCTTTTTGATGTAGACTCCTTTTGCAAAAAACAATAGAATTCAGTAAACTTCCACGACTACAACAGATGGATATGGGATCGGGATACAACTTTTTAATTAAAACAACAGAGGAACAATAGGGTGATTAACAAAATCACACAACATCTCATCGCACTGTAAAGGTTGATAAATTGAACACCAACGTAACGACGTGTGTTCAAGATTGACCGGGTCGGTTTTGGTAAACTCCCAGGCAAGATTAAATCAGATCGGTGGTAAACTGCCACTACTTGGATGGATAAATTGAAGTTGTTTAATGCCAGTAAACGTCCAGCAAAGATGGGTAAATTGAATGTTTAATCCCAGTAAGTAAATCCCAGTAAAGATGTGTAAATATGGTAAACTCATGTAAAACACATTCTTTCTGGGGAGCACACCAATTAAAAACAACAACAAAAATCTCGACAGGTTGCCCCCGAGATGGCTGAGGAGGTGGGGATGCGGGCACTTTTTCGGCTGGCAGAAATGTGTCATGGGAAACTGGCGGTTTAACAGCTGAAAAGCCTTGGTTTTGATTGTTTAAGGTTGAAGAATGGTGGTTTAGTAGTTTAGCTGTGGTTTGTTCAACTTGGTTTCACAACTTGGTGGTTGAACCATGGTTGACCTATGAAACATGCTGCTTTAACTATGAACAATGGTGCTTTTACTATGAGAAAATTATGAATTCACCAAGAAACGTAATGAAATTTGCATGATCTAACCACGAAAAATGATAGTTGCCACCTCCAGTAAACAAAGATGGAAAAATCATGAAAATCTGTGGTTTCCCAACGGGACAATGATCTACCAATGGTATATCTTCAATATCCGTGTTAGCTTGCTGGCGGTACGTGCATATTGCCGATACATGGGCACTATGCTAATGGTCTTATTGTATTTGATCCTGCATGACCGTCATGTTTGCTGAGTGTGGACAGTTGTCTATTGGCAAGACATTAGTATTGGCTTGTTCCGACGTTGCCTGAATTTCAGAACCCTTAGCCTGATGCAAGGGTCGATGAAACGAACCAAAAGGGGATCTATCCTGGGATAATGCCTGAAGTTAGTTAATAGTATAGAAAGGTTTTGGGAGCTAGATACATGATGATACATGCCTAGTAAATTAGTATAAGGGTTTACAATCCATTTACGAACCAGATTGCATCCAGCTCTGTAGTTTCAGACACCCCAGTTGGTTCATGATCACCTGGAGGTGAAAAACTATATTTCCATCCATAAACTGGGAATCCTCAACCATCGTAAAATTGAGATGAATTTCCATGATTTTCCAATGAAATCACCATGTGGGTTTGTCTGAATGTAGGGCACACTTCAACCCACTGGTTAATCATAATTATCATTAAAAGGCTACTTTGGTGGTATACATATATATATATATATGATATGATATGATATGTATATATATAGTTATATACATATATGCACAATTTTCAGACAAACCCAAATATATCATTTTGTGTTACATATCCCATTATATCCCCATTATGTCCCCATGTTTGCTGATTAAATCCCCGTAATCACCATTATATCCCCATGATATCCCATAGCAACGCAATGAAATCCCGACGAAATACCCGCCGGTACTCAGAGGTGGCAATGTAAAATCTTCTATAAATGGAGATTTTAATGGGAAAAACATACATAGATGGTACATTTTCCGTTGCGACGTTTGACTACCGGAGGGTAACCACATTTGCTGATTAAAGCCCAATATGTGTTGGATTTTCCTACAGCTTTGAGTTCCACTAGCCTTAGGCAGCCAACGAGGCAGCTCCCCGTCCTGCTGCGCTACCGCAGCGCTTTTGGGAATGGTTGGTGCTTACTACAAGTGGCCAAGTTTGGTAAGTTTAGATATGTTGAACAAAGATGAAAAAAGGCCATGTAACTTGAATTTGATGGTTGTTCATACATTTTTAATACATGTGAGTCCAAATTTTGAGTGGTAATTTCTTGATTTGATCATCTTGCCGGTTTCTGACCCCCTGATTCGTTCTGGCGAGACTTGCGTCTGAGGACACTGTAGTTCCTGCCTCTACCTTGTAAACAACCCACTTTCCTCACATCAAAGTTTCAACTAAAACAGTTGATTTGTGTTTACTTTTGGGTTTATACTACTCTAATCTACACTAATTATATATATATAGTATACACACACACATATATATAGTATACATATATATATATATATGTGTAATGGGGATGGTGGTAATCCATGGAATTCCACCATCAAAATCATAGTGGATGGTCCACTGCTCAGATTGAGCGTCTTCTCCGTGAGCTCTTTCGGCGGGGCTGCCGAATGCCCGGAGAAACCCAATGGTTTTTCTGATGATTATCCCTACATATCCCTAGAAAATGGCTATTTCATTGGGGCTATAGCCCATTAGAAAGACAGAAATAGATTGAACATGGATGTTTCCCATAGCTAAATGGATGAAATATGCTTAGGAACATACTTAGGATTATACTTATATAGCTATGTTTGTAGCTGGATGTTTCCCAGATAAATTCATCGGAAAAGCCAAAATCAGCAGGATGCAGCACAAAATTATCTATTTCAATTGCATTGTTTGCATGGTTTTATGAGGGAAAACCAGCGGTCGTTTTTGGACACGTCCAAGCTGACATGGCTCAATACTCTAGGTTTGGGATGCTGCTGGGTAGGCAAATCATTGATATGTCAAAGCATTTTTGCTGTCATGTTGTCATGTAGTTTGTTTTATTAAGTAATTTCAACCCCGGATTAATAAACCCCTAGATTGTTTAATTGGGAGGGTACCATTTAAGTATCATATTATGACTATTGGAAGGGTACCCCCCTAATATAATAGATTAGCACAATCCACTGCTTGGCTGTGCCCTTGTTACGGTGAGATTACTCTGACGGCTGCTGGCCGCTGGCCCCTGGCCCCGGAGGTTCTCTGGAGGAATACCAGTTTCCTTTAAACTGGATTTTGAGTATCTTATAGTATCTTTACATCTGCCGATTTCATCATCTTCCAGATTTCCCAAGTCCAAAAGAGTTTGAATTCATTCATGACCTTCCTTGATAGAACAGTTTCCTTGTTATTTGTAGATGAGTTATCCCACTGTTCCATACTGTTCCTAGATGTTCTTGTGTTGTGGGAAGCTGAGGCTTCATGATTTGAACAGCAATGGTCTTCTGGAGATTGAGGCGGGCTTCGGTGGTTCGGTGACCCACGGTGACCCTGGGCTGGCAACCTCGGAAGAGGCTTTTTGGCACCAGGATTTTCTTTCACACTGGGATTCAATGGAATGTGACACACACAGATATATATATATATGATATAATATGTATATATATATTATATATATGTAATTCCATAACATTTACCACAACAATATGACATTTGTACATTTACCAATATAGATATCACCACACCCAGTGTGCAGCTCAGGAGCTGGTGCAGCTGAACTCAAAGGCGGGGCCACAGGGGAAATGAGGACTTGAACAACGGGCCACTGGGGATTTAACCAACAGAACTAGGCCCTAGGCCAACTAGGCATTTTAAGCAACGCATGATGACATGATGTTTAAAACCCAGGAAAAATGAAGAAACGTGATGATGTTGAACGTGATTTAGCCGACACAACTGGGAATTCGGCCAACAAAAATGAGAATTCTGCCAACACAACTGGAAATTTGGCAGAGGATTTCGATACACATCAAACATCATCAAACATTTAAATTTATGCAATTTCGGATTGTCTGAAAATGGGGTAGCCCTTAGTTCCAAAGGATTGTGGATAATGATGTGTCTTATTCTAATGGCAATTTTGGGGAATACCACCCCTCTTATTGGACAACTGACAAGTTGGAACAGCTAGCGAATCAACGGGAATACAAGCAGCCAGAAATGAAAGGGGTTCTATGAATAGTTAATAGTTGATGAACCTTTGAAACAGATTGGTCTGTCCAAAAAGATTGGGAAACAAATAAAGCATAAGCATCATTTGAATATACAAGTGGAATCAAGTGGATAGAAAGATAGAGTGACGGATAGATGCAGATATGATAGAGGGATGTATATAGACATACAGCAGATAGATGTAGATTGATGTAAATGCAAACAGATGAAGATAGATCTATATAGAAATAGATAGAAGGATACTATTTTAGGGATGGATAGGTATGGAGATGGGATGGATAGAAAGTTTGAGTAACCAGCCTCAAAGCTCATGAAGATGGGCTGCACTGTTTGGGCGCTCCGATTCTTGGTGCATTGTTGGTCGCATCATCGTCCAGTTGTTCTTGGCAATACATCAATGTTCAAGAAGTCAATAAGTTATAAGAAGTTGGTTCCAAATTATATTGAACTCTTGAAGTTAACATGCATGTCTATCAATGTCCACCATCAAAGATTATATGTATTTATCATATCCACTATGTCCACCATCAAAGATGTATTTATATATGTAATTATCATATCCACTATGCACAGCCATTCATACCATGTCCACTTGGTCGTAGGTAGCCTTGCTGCACCACGGGAAAGACACGAATCTGGCTGCCGTAAAATCCAGGCCCGAAAAAATGTGTTCATCCAACTACCGAACATCAACGGCTCTTTAAAAGGTTTGGTTGCCAGGTTCATGATACATATCATAATATTCTATTGTGGCTTATCATATATGTATGGTTATATATATAGTACTTACATATATATATATATATAGTACTTACACATATATATATATATATATATGCATGTATATACAATAGAAACAGTGTATATAACATCCCTAATTAGAGGGTACATCAAACTATTGGAAATCACTTGGCTTCAAGGCCATCACTTTTTTACTTTGTAACTGGAAGTTCCAGTTCCAGAAAGTCCAAGTGGGTCACCTTTCGTTGACGTAAACGTGACACCCCCGTTGGATGCTGGATCCCTTGAACTTCCAAATTTGGCAGCAATCGGCCAGTACTTAGGGACTTTGGGCTCCAATAACAACACTAACAAACAACACCAGAAATAGGTTTTGTACTACATGAGTAGAGTTTGGTTTATCATCGGTTTTTGTTTGATTAAACATAGGGCGCTGCCTGGCGAGGAAAAAACCAAGTGTTTAGCATATCGTCCAACAAGACAGCATGGCTAGACGGTGGGCTATTTATCACCCATTTTTCAGACTCATTTCCGAAATCTGGGCATGGCTGGATGAATACCCCATTTCCAGGAACATGGTAATGGTAAGATCATGTCCATTACCGGCATTGCTGTCATGCAATTTTCAGACCCATTTCCATTACCGGTCGGCAGGTATCGACAGCTCTTCAAGGACCGTTTGGATCCTCACGGTCGACCTGTCCCGTGACCTAAGCCTTGGCCATGGTGGCCATGAATAGAGAAGTCATTCCCCCCCAGGTGGCGTTTTTTGGGGTGACGTATATGATTGTTTATTCAGTTGCATTATGGTTTCGGAGGAATCATGAAAACATGTATATTATACAGTATATATACAGTATACTTTATTTTTTAGATATTATCCAAACATGCTTTAGTTATGATTCGTCAAATATGGCATTTTGCCCAATGGGTCTGGAATGGTGAGGCATTGCCCACTTGTCGAAGCCAACATTGTGGTGCACCTAACCCCCTTTAGCTGACCCAGATACTAAAAGTTAACTCCTATACTGATGAAGGTTCCTTGGCTTAACCCACCTTAAAAGGAATTAAAGTACCCTGTATCAACATCAGATGATTGTTGGGGGTAACTACTTCTGGTTCCTTTCTCTTCGTACATCCACAGCCAGTTTGGAGGTACCAGACTTTTCGAAGATACGTGGTGCAGGCTGGATATGGGCGCCTACCCTCCAATCAACAAACCCTTGACTCTATCAATTAACAATCCCACCAATATTAATCCATATTAATCCATATTAATCCATATTAATCCACATTAATCCCATGTATCGTCATTTATCACAAGTCTCTTGCCGTCTACCTGGAGGGTCCCAGTCACGTTAGATTTTTAGAGAGATTTCACCACTCTGAAGGTCCTAAACGGTATCGACCCGGACCCCGCCGCACAAGAGATGATGCTGGAGCAATTTGTCGCGGAGGCTGCAGGGGGCCTGGGATTTGTGGGTCAATTTTCTCAAGCTCATTGGCCAACCAAAGCCCATAGTCTTCAGTGAGGTGGACATCACCCGAAGCCAACACTTCTGAGTTGGAAACAATGAGAATTTGCCCAGATGGCGGCTCATCAAATTTAAGCTGGCAAATATATGATCAGGTCGGTGAGTAGGTCACCAGCTGGGGGTTTTGCATTTGGCTTATAATTAACCACAGATGGTGAATGATGGTTGTAAACCATGCCGGCGACTGCGATGAATATCCAAGTAGCCCATTGTTTTTTGCTTCAAGGGGGCATCGACAACCTGCGAGATGTTGGGTATTGCATGGTGATCCATACAGTGATACGTTGATGGCTCAACATTTAGCCTCTGGTTATTGAACATCGCTATGGAACATGGCTCGTTTGTAGATGATTTATGATGATTTACCTATTAAGAAGTGTGATTTTTCAGTTTGCTACGTCAAATTACCAGAAGGTAATACATACCCGAAGAATGGGTGGTTGGATACCAAAGATAACCATTTGTGGGTCCCTTGGTATGCCAATGACTTGTCCCGTACTTGCCCAATGTGCTCAACTGAACCAACCTTGAGATACTGCATGACTGTTTTCCGCTTGAGCCATTCAAAATACCCTCGTTGATTGGTTAATATAGGGATTTATACTACCTAGTTCATTGGGGATTATGATAGCCCATAGTAGGGAAACCTATCAACCAACTAGCTTTATCAGATGGGATAGGGGTATTGTTCATGGCTCACTTGACTTATCTTCATTTCCACCCAGGCCAAATCTGCCCGGGCCGTATTTCATGTTCCATCGTTTGCCAGTACTGCGGACAAAGCTGGATACTCGGAGACAGACACAGACCTGCCTGATGTAACTGGACATGATTCGACATATGCGAAGATCATTGAAGATCTGATCAATGGATTGGTTCAAGGAACGATTCACGTTGGAAACCATGGTTTTACATGTTTTTTACCCTTAAATTCCCTGTATCCAATTCTGGGAAGTGAAGGATTGATGGAGCGAGGGGTTGATTTTTTCCTGGCTACCAAGGCTTTTCTTCCGCATTTGTCCTTCCATGTGAACTCCTTCCCAAGGAGAGACGTGTTATATGTTTTCATGGCTGTTCCAAGTCTTCCGGGTCTAGTTAAACGATGTTAAACGATGTGAAACGATGTTAAATGTCAGTTGTGTTAATCTAGATATTATATATACATATAAAGTGTAATATAAATATTATATATGCAGTGTGTGTAACGTTTGTCCCGCTTGGAGAGAATCGATGATGACACATGCTTGGATCGAGCGGACCACTTGAAGCTACCCAGCAGGATCCCGGATGAGGAAACTGTGGAGATTCCTTCAGAGATGAAGGTCTTGCGCTCCACATTGATATATCATGATCATTCATGATCTGTATCTAAGGTTGCTCCCAAAGAAAACACAACTCAAAGTGTAAGGATTGTTCCACAATATGACCCCAACAAAAATCCATCGTTTGAACATAGGTCTCATGGTGTGTGTGTCAGTAGATGAAACAAATAATTCCCGTGCCGTTCTTTCTGTGCACATGCCAGGCAGCTATGGGTGGCGCATGAACACTTTGGGATGAAGTGCTCGTGGCGCAAAGTAGATTGATCAAGAGCTAACGACGGAGCTTGCTGAGCCGACTCCTTTTGAGAACCTCAGCGATTCCGAGAGTAGGACAGAGTAGGACACAAATTGATAATATCTATTAATTAAGATCATAATTAGTGCTGCCAACTGAAGGGCAGTTTCAGCTGCGATTTGCAACGGGGCCACCACTGGGACCGTTGCGGCAGACACCTGAGACCATCTGAGACCTGAGCCAAGCTGGGCTGTGAAGAAATTGGGTCCCCGCGAAGGAGGTCTCATGAGGTGTTCAAAGCTGCTTGGTGGTGTTCAAGTGTTTCCTTAAGTATTACCCTTTTGTGGGATGTAAATACAATTAAATACATTACATTGTTGACATGTGTATACATGTACATGTGTTATTTAGCTGGGGGGATTTCCATTGGGGGGGTGATGAAACACATGAGGATTGCTGTGGTGGATGATGTTCGATTCCCAAGTGGAAACAGGCCCGCTTCAGATCAGCCTTAAAGGCCGACAAGTTGGGCTGCCCAGTGCTGCTTGGATACCGCGTGCAGGTAAATGGTTAAGCCCTTCGCAGTTCGTATTAGACACCCCTCAGAAACCCGGGTTTGATAGGGGATTTGCTGATATTTGCACAAATTTGCACATATTTTGAACATATTTGGGACCATAGAATGGGGATGTTGATTGTTATGGGATTAGGATCAATAGTCATAACTCATTTTCCATTTGTAGATGGGATAACCCAGTTCAGGAGACTTGCGGAATGATAATCCCTGGGTACTCCGTGGCTTTCCTCATGTTTGACCCAAATTGAAGAGACTTAGCTGGTTTGAAGTTTGAACTTCATAATAGTTCCCATCAATTTCCTGAGAGCTTAGCATGGCTTGTTCCATGCTTGCCATGATTTGGATGGTTTTTTTCGGTGTCCCAAGCATTTTTTTCGATGTGGTGATGTGGTTTTCTGGAACATCAATCCGCAAAGAGGGCAACGTCTAAGTTTGCTAGTTCAAGCACCAGGATGTCTGGTGGTTTTTCTACCATTGCCTGGGTGTAAACAACTCATGATTTTTTGGTGCTACCATTGGTGGATACTACCATTACCATTGGTGGATACTACCATTACCATGATTTTTTGGTGCCACGTAGTAGATGGTTTTCCTCTGAAAAAAAAATGCCACGATGAATTGTCGGATGACCCCTGCAATCAGCAATGGGCAGTGACTGGGATTGTATAGCCATGGGTACTGTATACCTTCTGGTAATCTAGCGTGTTGAAAAACCACATAGACAAAACACCTTATGAAACATGCTATATTGGAGGACGGTCATCAATCCGTGTTCATCGGGATTTTGAATAATTCGCACAACATGGGCTGGATGGCCATACATCACATTCACCTATGGAACCTGACCATGTCACCTAAATTTGGTACGAAATACATATTTGTTTATATATATATTTATATATATATATATTTATATATATATATACATTCCATCCCCATTATTGATTCCCCATATGTCATATCATATACCGTTAATAAAAAATCATCACATCACTAAATCTACAGAAGATGCTTACAGAAGAATTAATTTCATTTTATTTCATTATATATATATTTCATTATATGTCATTATATTTCATTAATTTTGTATAGATATCTATATATACATATACATAGATATACATATACATAGATATACATATATATACATATATATATATACATACATACATACATACATACATACATATTACATATATATATATATATATTATATATATATTATATCATTTCAGAATCCATTAAATCACATGTGTTTCCCGGAAGGTCCTGCAACTTCAGCCACTTTTTCGCTTCGGGGCCTCGGCGAACGCTCCCAGGTTTGGGACCGAGCTGAATGCCCTGATCACCGCCGCAGGCTCCTCAGGTAGACCTTGGATGGGTCAACAATAAGTGGGGATGGGTCATGATGTGTCTATGTTATTATGTAATATATTTATACATGTACATATATATATATGATATTACATTATATGATGTGTCTATATATTTACGAATTCCGAAATGGATCGAAATGGTAGATGCAAGCCAACTCAAATCATTTTGCATGCGGATCTATAGACAGGCTACAACCCACGATGAGTATGCACAACGTAGTTTCAACATGTTTCAACATCCAAGTACCTGGTCCTGATGTATCCTGGGCTGCACTTTTCTTGTTGCCTTGTTTAATGCAGTCCAGGCCAACTACAAATGCTAACAGGTAAACCACCTCTGTCACCGTTCAGAGGATTATGAACTTAGGAAGTAGAAAGTTGTGCAGATGAATGGCGAATGTATACATGATAATTGCATGTTCTGGAGTAGAAACCTAACAATTCATACATTTATAGACTGTAAAGGAGTATATATGTTTCTTGAATGTAGTGTCATTTGGTACATCACATTTGGATCCCTCAGATGATGATTGTATGCTTGTCAGTGGGACAGGCCGTTTCCCTCAGCGATGATTTGGAGATACTGACGGGGACAACCCACAGCCGCAGACGCTCAGGTTTTCTTTCCGTTTATGGTGGGCAAATGTCAAGTGGAGGAAAGGAAGCATGAGGCGGCGAGAACCGCAAGCGAGCATTGGATGAGTGAGTTACGTAGTGAAAACGTATGGCCAATTGGGTGACATGGGAAACAGTTTTGACAGGCTTTGACACATGCCTTAGTTGGATTATATACATACGTATATATATATATAGTATATATATATGTATGAATATATATATATGTATGTATGTATGAATATTTATATATATATCATTGTTCAACATCATCATCAACATTATCAACATCATCAACATCATCATAATATATGTATACATACAACATGATTTCAACATACATACATTACATTACATTACATTACATACATACCTACCTCCCTACCTCCATCCATCCATCCATCCATCCATCCATCCATCCACCCACCCACCCACCCATCCATCCATCCATCCATCCATCATTATATCATATCTATCATTATATCTATCATTATATCTATCATCATATCTATATTTATATCTATCTTTTTATTTGTCATTATATCTATCATTATATCTATCATTATATCTATCATTATATCATCATCACCATATATATATACATATACACATGTATGTTTCATTGCATGTATACATCAATATATATATACATCTCTGTATATACATATATATACATAGGTAGATATGCACATATCCATATATATATATTGCTTTTCTGATTATATACTTAGCTATATATATGTGTGTCATCATGTTTAAATCATGAAGGATGATGCAAATGTATACACAATATTTATTATTACTATATACTGTGTATATATATATATATATACACCAACATCATATACATATTTATGTATTTATTTCTGTATATATATATATATATGACTGTACCCTGTATATATAGTTATATATCATAATAAATAGTTATATATCATAATATATATACGTCATTTTACATATACGTGTATATCATTATACCTATACATATATACCATTATACATACATACATACATACATACATACATACATACATACAGCATTATACATATTTATATATCTATATATTTATATCATTATATATATATGCATTATACTTTGAAAGCTCTCACCTTGAAATCTACACGTTTAACTTGTTCAGAAGACAGATGGAAATACGCTGCATCTATGAGGTAGCAGCCTCATCAGCAGCCATAGCGCCAGTATCTAGGGTTGTTTCTCACTTGTAAGACCCCATATTGATCATACATCACCATTGAAACTCGCTACAAGTTGGGGAACGTTGGTACGACAGAGGCGCCGGAAGAAAGGGTACCCTATTCCAATGGTTTATTAAAGGGTAATATTGGGGTACACTACATTTTCAATCACTCTGGTAAAGGAGCCCACAACTTTAAACACACTCCAGTGCTGGATGTCCCTGTCCAACTCCAGTGCTGGGTCTGATTTTCGAACTGCTGAGTGATTTTCTTGGATCTCATGCCTGCCTCAGGATCTAGAACAGATCCCGGAAGGAGAGGCGTAGCAATTCTTGGGAAAACTGGGATTGGATGTAGCTGAAGGCTGACAAGGATGACTACATTTTTTGACATATGGCTTTGCGCAAAATGGAGGCTTCCCCAAGAATACAATTTTCATGGGGGAAAAACACTATGTGCCATGGGATTTTGAGGTAGCCTCGACAAACCTCGTGTCAAGCCAGGCTTGGAAGTGCGCTGTGAAGATCGAAAAGTGTCGCTGGCTGGAGAGGACAGGCCTTATCTGGGATCATCACAGCTGGTTATTGAGGCAGTGTCTGGGATGGTTCTTCCAACTTCAAATTTCAGCAAAATTTGAGGTCAGTCTGGCCTCACTTCAAAGGTGTGTTTTTGAGATCCCCATACAGTGGACCCACCGCCAACTGACGTTCAATGGTCGACCTGTATGGTTGATTCTGCTCTGTCAGTGGCTCAAATTGGTTTAATTTGAGCCCAAATCCCTGGTTGTTGGCCAGTTGCCGGATTTTACCAACTGAATCTAGCTGGTTCAGTGGGAATCATGAACTGAAGATGCGAACCCCACCCCCTAGGCTTGGGGATGATGCCACAAGACTCTTCCACGTGCTCGTTGGGTGACTGTAACAGGAGCGGCTGCGTTGGAATGTGTCCACATCTCAGCACTGATTAGTGGTGCAAGAAGGGGTGCTAAATGTGCGAAAGATGAAACATATAATAAATGATATATATATATATATGTATAAAAATATAAATATATGTATATATATATATGCACATGCAATGAGATAAACCCACTTCCTCAATTGGGCGATGACCTACCCCCTGGTGGATCCAAGGTGCTGGCCTTTGCAAACGACCCATGCAGCGGATGTTCGGAGAGGCGCCCCTCAGTGGCCAGGGATCTCCCAAGGAATCCTCAGATGGCTGTGTTGACGAGGCATAGGATATACCACCCCAAACTAGACGACGGATGGCCCGAGAGCGTAGAGGAGCAGAGTCTTCTGTTGTTAGTATGGAGACACGCTCTTTACACACAGGCTCTTTTACACACAGACGCTTTTACACACAGAAGCTTTTACACACAGACGCTTTTACACAGACCCTTTTACACACAGACGCTGTTACACACAGACGCTTTTTACACGCAGGCGCTTTTACACACAGAAGCTTTTACACACAGACGCTTTTACACACAGACCCTTTTACACACAGACGCTTTTACACACAGACGCTTTTTACACGCAGGCGCTTTTACACACAGAAGCTTTTACACACAGACCCTTTTACACACAGACGCTTTTACACACAGACGCTTTTACACACAGACGCTTTTTACACAAACACTTTCACACGCAGACGCTTTTACACACAGACGCTTTTTACACACAGGCTCTTTTACACACAGAGACTTTTACACACAGAGGCTTTTACCCGCAGAGACTTTTACACACAGACGCTTTTACACACAGAGACTTTTACACACAGACGCTTTTACACACAGAGACTTTTACACACAGACGCTTTTACACACAGACACTTTTACACACAGACGCTTTTTACACACAGACGCTTTTTACACACAGACACATTTGACACACAAACACATTTACACACAGAGGCTTTTACACACAAACACTTTTACACACAGACGCTTTTACACACAGACGCTTTTACACACAGACGCTTTTACACACAGAGACTTTTACACACAGACGCTTTTACACACAGAGACTTTTACACACAGACGCTTTTACACACAGACACTTTTACACACAGACGCTTCTACACACAGACGCTTTTACACACAAACGCTTTCTACACACAGGGGCTTTTACACACAGAAGCTTTTACGCACAGACGCTTTTACACACAGACCCTTTTACACACAGACGCTTTTTACACACAGACGCTTTTTACACACAGACACATTTGACACACAAACACATTTACACACAGAGGCTTTTACACACAAACACTTTTACACAAACACTTTTACACACAAACACTTTTACACACAGACGCTTTTACACACAGACGCTTTGACACACAGACGCTTTTACAGACAGACGCTTTTACACACAGAGACTTTTACACACAGAGACGCTTTTACACACAGAGACTTTTACACACAGACGCTTTTACACACAGACGCTTTTACACACAGACGCTTTTACACACAGAGGCTTTTACCCGCAGAGGCTTTTACACACAGACGCTTTTACACACAGAGACTTTTACACACAGACGCTTTTACACACAGAGACTTTTACACACAGACGCTTTTACACACAGACACTTTTACACACAGACGCTTCTACACACAGACGCTTTTACACGCAAACGCTTTCTACACACAGGGGCTTTTACACACAGAAGCTTTTACACACAGACGCTTTTACACACAGACCCTTTTACACACAGACGCTTTTACACACAGACGCTTTCTACACACAGGGGCTTTTACACACAGACGCTTTTACACACAGACACTTTTACACACAACGCGTGACCACAGCCTCGTTTGCACACAGCGCTTTTACCACACAGACGGCGTTTTACACACATAGGCTCTTTTACAGACAGCAGAACAATTCTCTGCACAAGTAACATCGCAATTTTTGCGTTTTTCTCCGGCAGTGGGTTTTTTTTTTTGTACGATCGACCCCTCATTTCGTGTGGGGGCGAAAGGGTTGCTTGAGGACAAGTAAAAAAAAAATCGCCAAATTTTTTCCCTCATTTTTTGACGATCGACGAACCCGCATTTTTCGTCGTGAGAAAGGGGTTGCTTTAGTAACAATACAATCGGCAATTTTTCCTCAGTTTTTGAACGATCGACAGACCCCGCATTTCGTGGCGAAAGGGTTGCTTTCGGTACAAGTAAAATCGCAATTTTTCATCAGTTTTTGACGATCGACCCTCATTTCGTGCGAAAGGGTTGCTCCAGGACAAGTAAAATCGCAATTTTCCCTCAGTTTTTGACGATCGACCCTCATTTCGTGCGAAAGGGTTGCTCCAGGACAAGTAAAATCGCAATTTTTCATCAGTTTTTGACGATCGACCCTCATTTCGTGCGAAATGGTTGCTCGGGGGCAAGTAAAAACGCAATTTTCCTTCAGTTTTTGACGATCGACCCTCATTTCGTGCGAAATGGTTGGCCTTTAGTAGGCCAAGTAAAATCCGCAATTTTTCTCAGTTTTTTGACGATGCGACGACCCTCATTTCCGTCGTGCGAAGGGTTGCTCGTGGACAAGAAAAGCGCAGGTTTTTTTTTTCAAAAAATAAAAAAGACAGAAATAAATTTTCTTCTCTTCAACGATCGAAAACCCTCGGCGGGACTACAACAAATACAATTTCGGTGCGAAAGGGTTGCTTTAGGACAAGTCAAATCGCAATTTTTCCTCTAGTTTTTTGACGATCGAACCCTCAGACCCACCCATGTTCAGTTGCGAACAAGTGCCAATAGGTTTTAGCACAAGACATCGCAATTTTTTTTTTTCCTCAGTTTTTGGCGATCGACCCTCATTTCGTGCGAAAGGGTTGCTCCAGGACAAGTAAAATCGCAATTTTTCCGCAGTTTTTGACGATCGACCCTCATTTCGTGCGAAAGGGTTGCTCCAGGACAAGTAAAATCGCAATTTTTCCTCAGTTTTTGACGATCGACCCTCATTTCGTGCGAAAGGGTTGCTTTAGGACAAGTAAAATCGCAATTTTTCCTCAGTTTTTGACGATCGACCCTCAAAAGGGTTGCTTTAGCACAAGTCGCAATTTTTCCTCAGTTTTTGACGATCGACCCTCATTTCGTGCGAAAGGGTTGCTCCAGGACAAGTAAAATCGCAATTTTTTCCTCAGTTTTTGACGATCGACCCTCATTTCGTGCGAAAGGGTTGCTCCAGGACAAGTAAAATCGCAATTTTTCCTCAGTTTTTGACGATCGACCCTCATTTCGTGCGAAAGGGTTGACGTTTCGTGACTCGCCGCCGGCACCACCCTCGGCCTTAAGAGAGAAAGATAAAGAAGGCGAGAGAGAGAAAAAGGGGAGAGAAAGGAGAGAAGATGTGAAGGTGAGAAGATGTGAGAGAAGGTGTGAAGATGAGCAGACGTGAAGATGAGCAGATGTGAGAGAAGATGTGAAGATGAGCAGATGTGAGAGAAGATGTGAGAGAAGATGTGAGAGAATATGTGAGAGAAGATGTGAAGATGAGCAGATGTGAGAGAAGATGTTAGATGTGAGAGACGGTGTGAAGATGAGCAGATGTGAGAGAAGATGTTAGATGTGAGAGAAGGTGTGAAGATGAGCAGATGTGAGAGCAGATGTGAAGATGAGCAGATGTGAGAGAAGATGTGAAGATGAGCAGATGTGAGAGAAGATGTTAGAGAAAATGTGAGAGAAGATGTGAGAGAAGATATGAAGAAAGATGAGCAGATGAGAGAAGATGTGAGAGAAGATGTGAGAGAAGATGAAGAAGAGAAGAAAGATGAGCAGATGAGAGAAGATGTGAGAGAAGATGAAGAAGAGCAGATGTGAAGATGAGCAGATGTGAGAGAAGATGTGAAGATGAGCAGATGTGAAGATGAGCAGATGTGAAGATGAGTAGATGTGAAGATGAGAAGGTGTGAAGATGAGAAGGTGAGATACAGACCCCCACTATTGGAAGAACCCTGCGCTCAGACGCTCTCGGGAAAAAATGTCACAAAATGCTATGTCACTATGTTCAATTGGGTCCGGGTAGACGATGTTTTAAAGCAATTCATTTGAGGTACGGATCACCATATGTTCAGACAAAGCAATATTTCTTCAGCTTTTGGATTTTGGGGCGTTAAACATGACCTGAAACTTTGCTCATATGGTAGTTGTGGGATGCTCAGAACTTATCCATGGCGCAGGTGCTTGGGATGCCTCTGTCCATGGAACCAAACATGGAGGAGCACAAAAACTGCTCCAACTGAACTCCTGGGTGTTCACAGATGTGTGATGATGTGTGTATACATCAAGAAACATGATTTTGGACATATGTTAAGAACAGGATTAGATGATATAAAACGTATGCGTATTATGTAATTTATGGTCGCAAAAAGAACACTATTAACAATGGTGAATTTCCCAAGTTTCGCTTATCCAAGTTGCCGATTAGTTGCTGACGTCTTGGCACGTTGTTTTTACCAGGTCTCCAATCAGCATATTTTGACACCAGATATTTGGGGATTGAAAAAAACTATTGAACATTGATATATATATATAGTTGATTTAATCACCATTTATAGTTGATTTACCTATTAAAGATGGTGATTTTCCAGTTCGCCATGTTAGTTTACCAGAGGGTATGTGGGGATTGGATAATGTATTTTGATCCGGCCAATGGGTGTCTCAGTGGGTCCATTTCCCAACATGGGTGATCATGGTCGACATGAAAAATTGACATGCTTTAATTGTAATATACACATATGTATGCATATATATATATATATGAATGTACATATGTATACATATATATATATACATGTACATACATATACGTGTGTATATATATATATATACTACACGTTTAATACTTCATGTGATAAAGCCGATAATAAACCATCCGAGTAGCCAAGCACGCCAAACACTTCAGGGTCACCAGGACCTTAGCTGTACCATGGTCTTCGGGAAGAAGCCAGTGGAATGGGACAAGGCCAAGATGGGGCTTTCATGGAGGTCAACCATGAAAAACATGGATTTCACCATGAAACATGGTGATTTAACGGAGGCTACCATCAAGAATAGGTATATTGATGTATATATGGTGTATTGTTGGTTTATGATCAACCAGCTATAGGTGAATGATAGCCACAAAGGGAGACATTTTGGAAATTTGCCCTCCTTGTATCTGGGGTATTGGGAGCAACCCTGCAATTATTTCAGGGTGTATGAATCGCCAACAAATTGGTTTCAACGGCTTCAAGTGAAAAAACAATGGTATATATCATGGTATTCTCATGATATATCATGATTGTCATGGGAGTGGCTTGAGTGGATTGTCATTGTTTGGGTTTCCGGAGAGGGCTGTCTATAGGATCGCACCCTTCGGGTGGTGAGAGATCCTGATGAGTCCAGGTTTTTCGCCAAGTTGGGTGGCCACCCAGTTGTCAGTTGGATTATATTCCTTATAAACTTTGTAACTCCCCATGATCCAACTGATAACTGGTTGGATACTAGATTATGGTTTATGGATGTTTATGGATGATTATTATTTATTGAATTTTATTGATATTGATCTACCATAAACATCCATAAACATGCATAAACATCCATAAACATCCATAAACATCCACAAACATCCATAAACCATGGACGTCCCCATTATCTATTGATACTAGTCATGTTTCGTGTACCATAAACCATGGGTTATTGACGGTGATTGGAGTTCTGCTAGCACAAAACTGAGCTCTCCGAAGCTCTGCTCCGTCAGGATGATTTGCGAGAACAGCCTTGTTTCAGCACTTGTGCCACTGCCAGGTAGGGGTCTTGCGAGACGACCGCGGAGATGTTGACATTTCTTTGTACTAAATGTTTGCAAATGTTAAATCAATGGATAGCCTTTCATGGATAGTCCAGTACGAAACTTGACCAAATGGGTTTGAAAATCGGCTATAGCATGCTATAATGCTATACCTATACTAGATCATGATGGTTTATCATCATTTTCACATATTGTCACATAGGAAACGAGCAAAAAAGGAGAGCCATCACAGGGGGATACCCCGGATGGGATTGGATCCCCGCAAGGTCACAAGGCAGCTGCCCCAAGTTGACATGAAAAAGACATGCCTTCGCGACGGCAACGACCGGGGAAAGGGGATATCATGGGCTCCAGAATTGTCAAGTGCCACTGGGAATGCCATGGATATTCCGAACGTGAAAGGATGTGAACATCCATCTACATTAGTTTTGGAAGGATGGTTCTCAGTTGTTCAGGAGTACATGATGGGATATCAGACCCTATTCAGGGTGGCTTAGACCCAAGGGCGCGCGTCACCGTTATGATGCTGGGTTGATATCGGAAAATCATAAATTTACAAAACGCTTCAGATTGGTGTATGATAAGAATTAAAGGTCGAATGCCCTTGCCATGTCTGTGTGCACTAAGGATGGTTCTGGATTGCAGATAAGATGTAAAGTGAGTCCTGTGTAAGAATGCTGTTGATTTTGAGATTAATTAACATGATCATCAAAGGGCTAGGGAAATAGACCAGATGCCTCATGAGTTGATATGCCAACTAAGCAAGATTTTATTGGTGCCGTTGAACTGGCATAGCACCGGGAATTTCCCCGTGAAAATACGTATAGTATGTATGCATATATATAGATATACACACTTGTTCCAAACTTCATGGAACATTGGGCTGTTCCATGACTATATTTTGTTCACCAGAGGACACGTCCTCATTGTTTGTTGAACACGTGTATGTATCGATACACATTGATAGACATCCAAATACATTAATATATGATAATATATGATAATATGTATATATATATATAATGTGGTAAACCCAATGCCATAAACCTATATACCATTTGGGAATGGTTTATACAACCCATCTAAAAAAGTTGGGGGGATGGTGTATGGCATTGGGTTTATTTAATCATATATTTGACCATCAAATACGGGAACTAATCAATATGACATACTGATATACTGCGAAATAATCAATCAATATATCGTAGAATCGGATGGAGAATCGGATGATGGGAAAGTTTACAGGAAACTCCTATATGTGATGGTAAAAACCATGGTTTTCCGGTTAAGATTTTCCTGGTCTAAAACCAATCCATTGATATATGTTTACCCTCTGGTAATTTAACGTAGCTATTGAAAATGACCATTAATAGTGGATTTTCCCATTAAAAATGGTGATTTTCCATAGCTATGTTAGTCATTACCAGAGGGTAACCACCAAGGGTCTCATCACTGCACTGGCCCTTCAGCTCCATTGATTCGCCTCTGGGTGCGGCAAGGGTGGGGTGTGATGGGGTGCGCGTCCTCTGCAGCGTTGCCGCGGGACCCGCAACAGGAGGGGCAGGGTTTTTGGTCCCTTGAAAACTGCTTTGGAACCAGTTAGGATGGTCAAATGGTTTCCAAATATTTGGTAATTGGCGAACTTCTACTGTAGCTGTGTTTTGGGACCAAATTTGCCGAGTTCAGCATCGTTTTGGCAAACGAAACGCCAAAGGCAAGGATTTTGAGATGCAGCGGTTGAGAAATTGATCAAGTGGCTCTTGATTAATTGAACCCTCCAGTCAACAAGGCGCCCTCGCCACCTTACATTCCGCCAGAGAACAAGCAACTTGGATGAACTTGGGGAATGCAGAATGATGCTTGCTCGATGTCGTTCTACAAAACATTCCAAAACGAAGAGGTTTGATTTCCTACATTATTATTAGTTTTGTCATTTCATGGTATGTTTCAAACAGATTGACACCCACATACTCTTGTTCTCCCCTAAATTAAAGAAAAACCTTATACATGGAAGTTTTCCCCTATAAATGGAGGTTTTAATGGGACAGTCATCTATGACTAGCCTCCCAGTCACACTTTTTTGACCGGCCACTAAGTCCGCACCAAGGGCCCCAACAAGGGGCCCCGCAGCAGCTTGGCAAAATCTAGAGGTTTAAACCCATGGTTTTCCCATCTGTTTTTTCCCAAAATTGAAGGCTGGTTTCAAACCTGTAGATGTTCCCTTCAACCAATCCTGGTTGGTTAAAAATCCCATAAAAATATCAACCAGGATTGGTTTTTACAGGGAAATCTACAGGAAAACCATGGTTTTTACCATCACATATAGGGGTTTCCTGTAAAATCTTAACCGGAAAACCACGGTTTTTTTTACCATCAAAACCATCGGAATATCGGGGTTTCCCAGACCTGTTTCCAATGGATCCCCCTGAGGCGCCACAGCGAAGGCGCCGGGACGCTGACCACAGCGCCCTTGGTGCGGAGTTTGGTCTCCTTGCGGCGGGACTCCTGCAGCGTCCGGAGAGCCCAGTGGTTATATATTGTGTATTGATATTATGTATATAATGTGATTGTATATATATATATGTAATTCTATGGTTAAGATTATATAATATTATATGTATACATATATGTATATGTTTTCGAAACTGGAGTCGAAGTCTTTAAGATGAATATATGCACTACATGCACATATGGTTGCAGAATTGGCAGGATCTGAAGTTGGACGGATCATATGTTGAAGTTTGTCTCACACCAGTAGACTCAATATTGAATCTCAATTTTGGAGATTTATATAATATGTTTAGAGAAATGACACCCCAAGATGGTTCAAACATTTTGTATTTACTACTGGATGTTCTTCATTCCCCAAGATTTCCGTAGTGATAAACACAATCTCTGAGGTGCAAGAAGAGTCAGGAGCGGGAATTGGCGAGTTCAAGGCAGTAGAAGCAATGTGGCAAGCCATACTGTAAGTCCATCTACCTTCCCTTTTAAGGGTCTGTTTTTTTGATACTTCCCAGGTGGTACAGGTGTGTGAATATAATAGTTTCTGCCCTTGTGTGTTTTGTCATTGAGCCGCCCACTTTCAAAGAGCCTTGAACCTCACCGGCCGCTCGTACGACAGGTTAGTTTGGGGGTGGGTACTGTACACCCTGAGTTAATGGTTGGTGAAGAACTTAATGTCTTCATGTTTGGTAATTTGAACTTGATGATACCCCTTTTTGTCCTCGGGCATCTAATGTCAGTCACTTGTATAGCTGGTGTATGTGGAGATTCGCCACAGTTGCTAACCATTGATTGAGTCATGGGATTTTGTCGCAGACTCCACACAATTGCAGGTTTTTTTTGCATTTGATTTAAGGGGCGGAAGGGATTGTATATTGATATGCATTGATAGTTAAACAACATATAGTTCCCATAATATAGTTATTCATATATATATATTTATTTATTTATTTAAATACATAATCTATCCCAATCTTATCTCGTTGTCATACTGTAATCTCAGAATACATACTATAGTCAAATCCCATAGCATATACCCATATTATACCCACCTAAACGAACTCCTTCCGTGCCAGGACAATGGTTCCTGAACTTCGAATTTGCTTCGCTGGCCACCGGAACCGCTACGGCGTCCTTTCTGGCGAGTGACGCCGAGCAGGCGGGTTTTGTGAGCCAGATCCAACTGATTTCAACTGTAGGTATACCCTCTGGTAAACATACAAAAAACTATGGAAAATCACTATTTTTAATGGGTAAATCAATTATTTCTGTGGCAATGTTCAATAGCTTTGTCAAATTACCAGAGGGTCTTCACCACAAGACCAAGTTATTGAAGTTGCAAACCAACTTACCGATCCTGTGGGCCCACATTGCAACATGTTTGGCATGTGCCCATCTTAAGATAGCTGGTTTCCATTGGAACTGCGGACCGAACTCGCCGATATTGTTTTGGGAAAGGGTGAACGTATACCCATTCAACAGCGTTTCGTTGATCATTTTGCATCATCCTAGTGTGATTTCCGGCAGGCTGAAGCTTCGTTGTCTGCGCCCTCGGCATCGTCCGCAAGCCAGTGCCAGTGGAGCTACGATGGAAATAGGGGTACCCCCAGTTCTCATCTTAGATTGGGAGTTTCCATGAAATAAACTATCCATCCAGCTATTGGGGTACCCCTATGACTATGGAAACCCACCAGAAGAACACCAATTATGAAAGATGGTTAGGAGGGAATGCCAAATGGCCGAGGATTTCAGATTGGTGAATGATGGTGAATGCTGGAAATCCAGAGGAAATCTGCTGGGAAATCTAATCTGGTTTAGTCGCAAGCTGTGTTAATTGTGCTTTGCTAACTGAGCAGAGCATCCGCTGGTATGATATACAAGAATAATCAAGAATATAATACATTATAACATATTATCATACTGTATAGTATATTGACTATATAGGTACTACGCAGTCAATGTGATGTATGTAGTATATATATAATTATATATATATACACATTCATATTATACATAAGATAAGAGATATATACATATTCATCATATATACATTATATATAATATTTATACACATCTATACATCTATCAAATACCTGAGTATGCCTATGTACATGCAATATACCCAATGCAGAAAAAAACATATGTATACTAGACGTATATACAGCTTGGTCAACGTTGGGCACACCAAGAACTGGATGGATAAACAAAAAACAGTTGGTGATCGTGTTCGTGGGGGGGATAACTTGTATTTTTGACATAGGCCAAGGTGTAGCTGTGCTTGTATGTGTACATGTATATATATATATATATATATAATGCGTATATGTATATACATACACACATACACACATACATGCATGCATGCATGCATACATACATACATGCATGCATGCACATACATACTTACATACTTACATACTTACATACTTACATACTTACATACTTACATACTTACATACTTACATCCATCCGTCCATCCATCCATGCATGCATGCATGCATACATACACACATACAGACAGACACACACACATACAGACATACATACATACATGCATGCATACATACAGACATACAGACATACAGACATACAGACATACAGACATACAGACATACAGACATACAGACATACAGACATACAGACATACAGACATACAAACATACAGACACACAGACATACAGACATACAGACATACAGACATACAGACATACAGACAGACAGACATACAGACATATAGACAGACAGACAGACATACAGACAGACATACAGACAGACAGACATACAGACAGACATACAGACAGACAGACATACAGACAGACAGACAGACATACAGACCGACAGACATACAGACAGACAGACATACAGACAGACATACAGACAGACAGACATACAGACAGACAGACATACAGACAGACAGACATACAGACAGACATACATACAGACAGACATACATACAGACATACATACATACAGACATACATACATACAGACATACGTACATACAGACAGACATACATACATACATACAGACAGACATACATACATACATACAGACATACAGACATACAGACATACAGACATACAGACATACAGACATACATACATACACACACAGACACACATACACACACACATACATACATGCATGCATGCATGCATGCATGCCTACATACATGCATAGATACATAGATTCATACATACGTACGTACGTACGTACGTACATACCTACATACCTACCTACCTACATACATACATGCATGCATACATACATACATTCATACATACATACATACACACACATATACACACACAGAGACATACATACATACATACATGCATGCATGCATGCATCCATCCATCCATCCATACATACATTACATTACATTACATTACATTGCATTACATTACATTACATACATACATACATACATACACACATAATCATACATACATACATACATACAGACAGACAGACATACATACATACATACGTACATGCATGTATGCATGCATACATACATACATACACCGATAGATAGATACATACATACATAGATAAATACATACATAGATCGATACATAGATAGATAGATGGATGGATGGATAGATAGATAGATAGATACATACATACATACATAGATACATATAGATACATATAGATACATAGATACATAAATATATAGATACATAGATACATAGATATATAGATACATAGATACATAGATACACACATGCATGCATGCATGCATGCATGCATACATACACAGACATACACATACATAAACACACATACATATAAATATATATATATACACACATACGTGAACAAATTGCACACACACACAAATAGAACACACACACATATATATATATGATATACATCTCATATTTGTTTGGACATGCTTCGCATTCCACATCTGTAAGGCGGACAGTTCTGCCCTCGACCTCAGGTCAAGCGCATCGCTGCGCTTTGGGGCAGAGACGCGGCAAGCCGGGTCGCTTTGGCAAGCAGTGGAAACAAGACGCTCGGGGGAATGTTGTTCTTTAAACAAACCCCAAAAAATAAATAGACTGTAAAATCCTATCAACATATCGATACATCACGTTTCTATATGTGATATAACCAATAGTATGCGTGATATTTCCAGAAACGGAGCATTTAGCGATTTAGCGCAGATTTATGACCATTTTCAACAACATTTTTTGATATTTTTCAGGGCGAGGGTAGCCAAACCCATCTGAAGTTGGTTGTGTCCCAGAATCAGATGAAGGGACAATTTAAAGAAACTTAAAACAAGTTCCAAACAAAAACACGCTAGTTGTTTCCTTACAACATATCTCTTAAAACAATCCGTTACGTGTGTGATGTTCGGGGGTTGGAAAATGATTGCAATCAGACAATGGATCCCAGTTTTATCAACTCTGAAAAACGCTGGATGATTACAGAGCCTGGCGGTTGGCTTCACGGTCCAATGATGTTTGATATCCTGTGACATTTCAGTGTTCGATCAGACTGGCCGGTTTTCCAGGGAAGATCAAGCCACTTCTAGCCATCGTGGTAGCCATGGACATAGGTCAAGATTTAGGATCTGGACACCACACATGTTTTTTTTGTTGAACCATCCATGTTCAAAACATTTTTCTGCCTACATCAGTTCTGACCAATAACCATATGCAGCTATAGATTATAGATGGATGTATCTACCAAATTGTAGGATAACAGGTTTTTTTTCTGGATGGTACCTGTGATTGGGAGAATGAAAGATGGCCACCAGTCATTGCTTGGTGAATGGGATGGTTTATGACATTGAGTTGGTTGGTCTGAAATTTTAGGGGACAACCCCAAAATCCAGCCGGGTTAATCACCATGTTCTCCATTTAGATAGGCATATATAGGCATATAGTGGGGGTATTTTTTTCATTTTCAGACATATCCAAATATCATAGTGTTGGTATTTTTTCACGTGGTCTTGGAATGTTCAGGATTTTAGGATATATATATATATTTGCTTATTTAGATATTGGATCCCAAATGCCGTACTTTGTGCATGCTATGTTCACAAGGATCGCTACCAATCTTGTTCAATGTAATGTTTTTCAATGGATCAGCGGATCATAGATGAAATTGGCTTTAGAGACGGATGTGCGGTGGAGAAGTTTTGGCCTGATCATCCCTAACTTGTGGCCCAATATCCTCTATATAAAAATCCCTGAAATTCCAGAACCAATAATCCGAAGTTTGATACAACGAATTCCAGCATATCCCATGATGCTCCCATAAAGTGATTGGTTTTAGTTATATCAACAATGTTATATGTTATAACATGTTATAAAGTGATTGGTTATATCCCCAGAACATGTAACTTTGTTGCTTAAATCAGCGAGTCACCGTTTGGGAGTCTAACCGGTCGTCGAAAAAAGGCGGCTCTTCTTGTCTGCAGACCTCCCGGCCAGTCTGGTGGATCTGCAGGCCATGGGTGTAGGCAGATGTGATACTTTATATATCTTTATATCATATATCTTTATATACTATAGGTATATAGAATTGATACACCCACAATAGGTGTGCATATAATTAATTATATATATATATGCACAGTAACAGTATCAGTACATTCTATATATATATATAACTATATATGTTGAGTACTTAAAGTGACGCAACTCTAGCCTTTTTTTCCGTATTTTAGGAATCAGGTCAGAATCAATCGCCAGGAAGGTGTGCATCACGTTATTCTGGATCTTCGTGCGGATAGCGAGGTCCCAGCTGCCGAGCCGCAGGGATTTCTGCTGGACATCCGCCGTGGAAAACCTCAAACAACAAGGTCATCCAAGGAATCTCAAAGGTGTTTGTAGCTTTTGGATGCTTTTGGGGAGTTTGATATAGTTTGATATAGTTTAATATAGTTTAATATTGGAATTTCAACTTACTTAGATTCAGACATCTAGATCCTCTCAGCAATACCTCTACTCGCAGGTCGCTTCTTGGGCGATCCTTACGATTAACTGATTAACTAGAATTCTCGGATTACTTGCTTTGAATCTCATATATCCCAGGTTTGGGAATTTCATTTTTGTTCTTTCCTAAGGGGTTGGAATCCCCATAAAATGGATCGCGGCACCTAAAAATCTCAATCCACAACCGACCGCCCGGAGGATCCCATGGCAGTTACACTGCAGCGTAGCTTTTTACGCCTCCCGCCCGAAGGGTCTGGTGAGGCGTGCGGCGTCTACCGATTTGGGGCCAAACCCCAACTCAAAAAATACAGTCTGAGAAGGTGTTTAGAGCCGTAGGGTCCCGTAGGGTGGTATATGTTTGGACAAGGGCTATTGATTTTAGGCAGAATTGAAGGCCTATAGGACCAAACATGGTTGTAAATTGCCAAGTCTTGGGTCATTTCTCAGGTGCCCCAGCTGCATGGGGAAGTCGCCAAGGTTTCCCTTGGATCTTTTGGGGTGTTCCTCCCAAAGTGAATCACCATAATCACCTGACCTCTTGAGAATAGTTACAGTACTCGACCTCAGCCGCAGGTGCATGTTGAAAAACAGTACCTTGACTGCGGATGCACGGCCAAGGGTTTGTGTGTGTCACATTTTGTCACATTGAAGTGCTCCAGCACCTTGAATGTTTCATTTGAACATGCATGGAGTACCCCAAAATCAATTGGTGTATCACATGTTTATCAACATGGCCATCACCATTTTCAGATGAACCCATGTGGTTTAGCAGCCTATGAATGGGAAGACAGTCCACCACGGGTACTGTTGATCAATCCATATCCTCCCACTTGGAATCGGCTGATCTAGTCCCCATTTCCTGGGCTAAGGTTGGTGCAATGCGGGACACTCGCCGAAATGCGAAATGCTGTTGTTTTGTTCCTGGTGGCTGAAATCGCCTGCAGGTACATTGAACATCAATGTTTATGTGATACCTTGCCAAGATTGTGTTGCTTTTCAATCAGCGCATGATTGTTGGCCGAATAAATCAAGACAGTCAATTTGAGTAACGCCCAACAATTGTCCAACTGCTACACGTGGAATCCACACAGATCAATCAATCTGGGTTCAGGTACCCTTTGGTAAACGAACACGGCTTGTTGGAAAATGACCGATAGTGACATGGGCAATTCATCAATGATTCAAATTGAGGGCTTGGGGCTGCAGGAAGAACACCAGGCTGCAGTGCAAACCCCATTGGAAACCCGGTTTCTTTGTTTTCCGATTTTTCCGACCTCATGTGAAATTCTGATGTTATGTATCCCACTGGATAGATATACTCCTCCATTGATCAAGGCGAACTGTTGAACAGGTGATGTTACTCTATCATACTCTATCAATCATTCGGAAACGCATTTATTTGTGATCCCATGCAGTTCGTCATCTGGTTGGTGGTTTGGAACATGTTTTATTTTTCCATATATCGGGAATAATCATCCCAACTGACTTTCATATTTTTCAGAGGGGTTCAAACCACAAACCAGTCATAGTTAGCCATTAGACGCACTGATCTCCCGCTCCAAGGAGCATCATTCGACCCTTGGACGCCCTCTATGGCACGATGCCAAACCCCAGGAGGGTGCACGCTATCCTGAAAACATCTGTAAAACCATCGTAGATATGGATAGATAATGATATATATATATATTATATATATGGGAGCCGTCCGTAAAAGCAGGTCACAAATTTATGAATTGATGCGTTTACTTTGCTTTGCGCGATTGCTAAAACCTGCATCGCGATAGGCTGAGCGATTGGTTGGCGATTGGTTATACGGCTACCACCCTATTACTACTACTACTACTACTACTACTAGTACTACTACTAGTACTACTACTAGTACTACTACTAGTACTACTACTAGTACTACTACTACTACTAGTACTACTACTACTAGTACTACTACTACTAGTACTAGTACTAGTACTACTACTACTACTACTACTATTACTACTACTACTACTACTATTATTACTACTACTACTACTACTACTACTTTCGAGACCAGAACCATGCCAATAATTGACATGGCCGATCCGCGCGCGCGGAATCCGCGCAGATGTTTTCAGGTCAGAAGGACATTCAAGCTAGCTCCAATTGAAAACAGGTCAGAAACAGGTCAGAAACAGGTCAGAAACACCAAAAAGGCAGCACTTGCCTAGCATCCCATCCATCCATCCATCCATCCATCAGCTCTTATCATTGCTACTAATACTACTACTACTACTACTCCTGCTACTACTACTACTGCTACTACTACTGCTACTACTGCTACTACTACTACTACTACTCCTACTACTACTCCTACTCCTACTCCTACTCCTACTCCTACTCCTCCTACTCCTACTCCTACTACTGGTATTACTGTGAGTTTTCCGGACCGTTTCCGGACCGCGCAATTTTCTTTTCTTCTCAAATATGAAAACGAATGCGTTCATGGGCGGATCCTTCTACTAGTGTTGCTACTACTCTCAGTATTACCACTAGCGCCGCTACCACTGCAACGCCGCTACCACTACTACACCGAGGAATTTTTGCCTTTGCTTTTCTCCACTTGACAGAAGTTCCACGGAAGGGTCAGAAATAGTCAGAAACCAGTCAGAAACCGGCCAAACGCAACCTCTCTCTCTCTCCTTGCCTATTCCCTCACCCTCCTACCAGAACTCCTACGCCTACTCCTATTCCAATTTCCACTACCACTACTGCTAGTGCTACTGCTACTGCTAGTGCACTGTGAGTTTTCCGGACCGTTTCCGGACCGCACAAGCTTATTTTGCTCCCAAATTTGAAATCGAATGCGTTCACGCATGGATCCTTACTCTCATTACTAGATTTGCTACTACCCCCAGCACTACCACCACACCCGCTGCTACTGCACCACCCTGCACCACCACTACCACCACTACCACTAGTACACCTAGGAATTTCTGCTCTTGCTTTTAAATCCAATTGACACGAGTTCCGCTGAAGGGTCAGAAACGAGTCAGAAACCAGTCAGAAACCAGTCAGAAACCCGTCAGAAACCGGTCAAACGCAACCATCTGTTTCCCCCTCCCTCCCTCTCTCTCTCTCTTTCTCTCTTTCCCTCCCTCTCCCTTTCTTCCCTTGCCCTGCTACTAGAACTCCTTCTCCTATTCCTACTCCTACTCCTACTCCTACTCTTACCCCTTACTACTACTACTACTACTACTACTACTACGACTACTACGACTAGTACTACTAGTACTACTAGTACTACTAGTACTACTAGTACTACTGGTACTACTGTGACTACTGTGAGTTTTCCGGACCGTTTCCGGACCGCGCGAGCCTATTTTGTTCCCAAATTTGAAATCGAATGCGTTCACGCATGGATCCTCATTATATAATACATAACTTATATTTTATGTATATGATCTGATCAACGAAGAACAAACCCTTCCGCGATTGCTCACTGTGGTACCGCGGTTGCTACGCGATTGGCTGAGCGATTGAGGGCTGTCCGGGAAAAGGTATTTTGGACAACCCCCATATATATATTCTGTAAAACATTTGTCTACAATAATCTATAATATATATATAATATAACATGGATCATAAATATATTAAATATATAGATATAGATAGATGAATCAATACATATATATATAAATATGCACACATACACGTATAAAACATGTTGAACCCAAAACATTGGGCTTGGAAACTCAACCAGTGGGAAATGGGGCAAGAGCCACGGCTAACTGCGGTCAATTCCAGTTCCGTTCGTTTCTTCCATATTACAACCAGTAGGCCCAGTTGTACCCTAAATATCCAACTTATAGGTATAAAGCTACAAGGGATGTGCGGTACCTTTTAAGTCTATACGTGTTTTCATTTTAGCTGCATTTTGGCTTACATAGAGCTTACATAAATTAGATAGCTTCAATTTAGACACCTTAAATATTGTGGGCAACCCAAGAATAATCTATCCCCAATATCACAGAAATGGGTGGTAAAAATACCTCGATATGGTCGGTTAGTTGGATCGCTTTCAGGAGCAAAGCTGACAAAGATGAAGGTCTGGCGCGGCTGCGGACGCTCTTGTGTGTCAACACAGCTATGGATCTTCATCACAAGAATATCAGGATGTATTAGGTAGGCAAATTCTATGTCATTGGGGTATTAGAGGATGTCATAGGTATGATGTTGATGTTCATCCTAACTATGTAATTATATACATACATACATACATACATACATCCCATCCCCATTTTATGGCTGGACTATCACGAACATCTTCCAACTGGGATGCCCATCCAACTGCGGTTATTCGTTTTGAGTTACCGGCGAAAGGGCAGATGTTTGGGGTGACACATGTGTTTATTCATGTTGATCGGATCAGTGATTGCCTACTGTGACTTGATGAAGATACAGCAATTTTATGTACCCTCTGGTAAACTAACATAGCCATTGAAAATGACCATTTATAGTGGATTTTCCCATTAAAAATGGTGATTTTCCATAGCTATGTTAGTTTACCAGAGGGTAATTTTTGGAAACCTGAGGAGTTGAGGTTGTCTGAGGTATCCCCCAAACACCCCTGGTTTACCCTCATTTGTATCCTCCATTTTCAGAACCCCAGGTTGAGTCTGCCATGGAAACGTTGTTCAGGCGGTGATTGCGTCATTTGCCTCTCCAATCCGAGGGAGGCTTTGGAACCCATTTGCGAATGGCTTATACCTCCTACTTATGGTGTTTTGGGGGATGGTTGGTTTATTATTATTTTACCCACATTATATAAAAACTGTTTTGACATGTTTTGAATATGATTGTGCATACCTATCAATTCAGATCCTAAAATAGAGAGATGAGGACTGTGTACGGAATTATTTCTGGGAATTTGAACAATACAGGGAGTGTTGTAGTATGTTGTAGTAGCAATGCAAGATAATGCATGGCAAATCGTGTGAGTTCATGGGACTTGAAACGATCTTTGAAGGTGCTCATCAAAAACACACCTTCTGAATCCGGCAATGGCAGGTTGCAATCCTCCATTGCCGCGCTCTCAGAACTGAGGATATTGCCATGGCATACCGGCTTGACCTTGTCCCTTCTGTGGTGATATTGTTACTCATCACGCATAAGTTGGTATAGTTGGTGTGGTCGTGAAGTTTTAATTCAGAAGCCAATTCTTGAGATCCAACCGCGAGTTGCATTGCCAAAGATTGGAACTTACGCCACATACATTGAAGGTTTCTACAGAAACAAAGTAGCAGAAACTGGCAAAGATGGAGGCAAAGGAGGCGGACCTGACTACTGTAGATGTATTTTGATGTATTTTGCACATTTTATTATTGGTCAAAATTATAGTCATAACCTCTGATAGATGGATTGTTTAATGTCCTAAACATCACGAATGGACCCATCATATCTCGATTGTGATCGGATTTACGCCAGGTTTGCTGCAAAAAATCCCATTTGAAGCTATATTCATAGTTAACTTTCTCATTAACACTGGCAAGATATTGTGGAAAATGAATCATTTTGATGCTCACTTCAAATTGTAAAAAATGTGTTGTTTAAATCTCATGTGTGCTTGATATTTGGGCTGAGGTCGACATGTTTGCCTTTGCTCTTCGTGTGCAAAAGTCACCTCTTCAACTTGGTCCGGTTCTGAGAAGCACCACATCGGATCCTTATCATTGGGCCTTAACAATCTAGCTTTGCAAGCCAACAGCAGCAAGGGTTGAGGTCAGGGTCTCATCCATGCAAACATATTCCATCCATCCATATATTATAATTATATTGTATATATATATACGTATATATATATATACATAATATTATATAATTATGTATATATATATATATATTAAATACAAAAATACCGACCTACATTTACATAACATTAGATTATATACCACATACATTCATATTTTTTTACATACACACATCTATCATTTCCTTGGTGAAAGATTCTCTGGTTGCGGCCATCTGCCGCAGGTCCTTCCAGTGTCCAGTCTGCCGCGGCCGCGTTGCTTCTTGGTGACACCGAGTGCCACCGAGTGACAGCTGCCACTAATCAAAGCAATCGACCGTCATTTATATATCTGTATTGTGTATACATAATGATAGTTACTTATAGTTAGTGTGTATATATATATAGAGTTAGTTATAGTTATATATGATATGTATATAATTGTGTATATATATATATTCGATTTATGGCTGATTTTCCTGCATATATGTTGTTTTTTACATGCCTTTCGGGGGATCCATTGCCACGTTTGATTTCTGGAGGACGATATTTTTGGGGTTCACCTTTGGTAGGGGGAGAAATATGGGTTGAATCAGACACACCATGGATTTACCATCTGGTTATGACTAACATAGCCATGGAAAGATCCACCACTTTTAATAGGTAAATCATCTATTTCTATGGGCCATCGACAAACCATGGCGAACTGTTAGTCATAACCAGAGGGTTTTTTTGGATATAATTGAACTGGTGGGATCAATTTGGCCAAGCAGAATTATTTGGAGGTCTCTGAAAATGTGTTGTATACCCTCTGGTAAACTAACATAGCTATCGAAAATCACCATTTTTGATGGGTAAATCCACTATAAATGGCCATTTTCAATAGCTATGTTAGTTTACCAGAGGGTACCCAGTATACCCCCCAATAGCTATTTTGGAAGTGATGATGACAAACCAGCGGATGTAATGGGGTAGCAGGCGAAGCAAGTTGGAAAGTCAAGATCATGTTCCTGGGCTATGGGGATTCTATGCCTTCCAGTAGCTACCTAGGCGAGACGATGAATGTATGCTGATTTCACTACAACCGGCGCTTCTAAGATATACAGTATATACAACTTCGCAAAAAAAAAAAATGTAGGGCCCACACCATTGTTTTGTTGCTGCATGGTGCTGTCCCCCGTGTGTGTAAATCCATTCTTAATCCCCCGACTTTGAAGATGGCAGTTTTTGTGGCTCCAACATGTCAGATTGCTCTAAGTTTACATAAGTTTACAGTGCCATTTTGCACACTCAAGGTTTGGGGGACATGTCAAGACACGTCAAGGCATGTCAAGACATGTCAAGGCTTTGGGATCCCACTAACCTTCCCGGTTTGGGTATCCACCCGGCAGATCGCGACCGAGGCCGCCATGGTTGGTCTGAGAGAAGAGAGCTGATATGATGGGTGCGTTGCGCGCTTTTTTGGGCTGTTTCACATGTCCTGTCGATGGATCGATGATCGGCAGTAAGCACAATGATATCGCAGATTTCTTGTCAACCGTTGATGAGTTGCTTATAGTTCTTAGATTAGTTTGTTGCTTCTCAAAAAACAAACATGTGATGTTCACTTGGTTTGGGCATTGCGGCATGTCTCTTGCTATTCCTTTTGGGTCGTCGATGCAGCCGTAGAGGAGGCTGTTCCAAGCCGACAGAATGAGTACCGTTCAGTGTACAGGGCTGCTGGTGCTCAGCATCTCATTGGCATCAATGCACGCCGCGACATGTCTCAGTGAAGCCTGAGTTTTCAGATGAAAGATGATGAAAGTCCAATTGGTGGTTTCCATAGTCATGGGGGTACCCCCAAATGGATGGTTCATAATGGAACATCCTAATCTAAAATGGAGGATTTTGGGGTACCCCCATGACTATGGAAATCATTAATTGAAAATTGTCGCGCATCACTGCAGAATTCATGATGCACAAAGGCCACACGCACAGGTTTTTGTACGGTCTGCTCTTGACCAAACATATCAGAATTCAGGATTATGTCTGGAGGGAACATTGGGTATTTATCACAGGTTTTAGATGGTTTTGGTGGAACCAGTTTGATGCTTTGGCACATGCTTTGCAGGGACATTTGCTTGAAAACAGATTCTTCTTTGCTAGTTGTTTGCTGATCGAATACTGCAGCAACAACACAATAAGATGCAATAAGAATGCCGCAGCCCAAGAATTGCTTCGCAACAAAGACATTGCTAACCTAAGCATGATGGGAGCTTTTCGGTTTTCCTTTTTCACCACTGTTTGAGATGTGACATCCCAAGTCGATGATGATTGGAGGATGTACTCAACCACCAATCAGTTTCAGCTTTATCCGAGCCTTTGAGCCTCGAGATGCACCATGCGGCTGGCTTAGAACATCCATTATTTTTTGAGGCCTTCTGATACTCTGCATTCGATCATTGAATCATCCTTAAAACATGAACTATATACAAATAACATCAAATAACATCAGATAAATGTTTCAGGTGAACACATAGACACATAGAAGATCATAGAAGACAGGAAAACAACATGTAAATCTTTAAATCTTAACTTTAAAAACAAAGAATCCTGGACACGGTCCCAGGTCATCTCCAGCGCCTCGACCGAAATACTCCGAGAAGCCTCCGCAGGAGCCCAGGGATTTTCCACGATTCGGCTCTTGGGGATCTCCCCCATTCAATCCCAGTCATGGAAACTCCATGAAACTCCCATTTCAGTGTGTGAAAAGCAGCCAAATCGATGGAATATGAATTGCTGATAATTTTCTGAATATATTCAATATATATATGTATATTATGCACATATATATATATATGATGGAAAAATCGACCTTCAGAATGGTGCCCAGAACAATGGAGCCCTCGGAGGACAGATGGGGGGATGAACACGTCTGGACCAAATCACTGGACAGAGCCGCCCGGCGCAGCATCCCTTTGGAGAAACCGGGGCCCCAATTAAGGGACGTTGGTTATACCAGGGGAAAGCCCACATTTGGGGACAAAAATCATATAAAATCATCAAACATGATCAAAGAATGGCCAAAATGAATCCAAATGATCAAAAGCTATTTCGCATGACCATATTTTTTGGGGATGAATTAGGGATGGACATCCAGAATTACCAGCTATTTTGATGTGAACACCTGGGCACCAAAGGCCAAGAGTGCGAGGGCGAGGACCGGATTCTGTCGTGGTTTTAATGACAAGATCTACCTGGTAATCAGCCACATTGCTGGCTGGGTAATCCCCCTTTGAATGATAAAATCAAAGAAGGTGAATTGTCACGAAACAATTACATATATGTCAGGTGCCTTAAAATGACATATGGAATGTTATTGTGAATCCATATTCTTTAATACAATTACAAAACATCGAATGTCATTTTTTATGTTTCATTATTTTTCCATATATTGGGAACAATAACCCCATTTGACTTTCATATTTTTCAGAGGGGTTGAAACCACCAGCCAGCATAAATCACAGCTCACAAATCAACACCCACTGAGGTCATGTGCTATGCGGTGGTGTCTTCGTGGCAATTACGAAGCATGTTTTTCAGCAATAGACTGATGTATCAATGGATATTTTACGGGAACATGTTTACATGAGTTCTCGGGTTTCTACAAAAATAAACGGGAAGGTGGGGGGCGGGTTCTGTATTTGTTTTTCCTTTATGCAGTCCTAGGAATGCATCATTCCCCTTTCTGTTAACTACATTTTGTGTTGGGATGATGTTTATCAAGACTCCCAGTCATGGTTGTCTATATATATTATTGGGTTCCCCACATTCGAAGGAGAATGCAGCATAATGGACCAAGGAGGGTTCACTGTAATCTTGAAAACACTCAAGCTGGAACCTTTCTTTATGTTCTTGATTTAAGTTGTTTAATATTCTGCGGGACTCAGGAAGCTCAACTACCTTCAAAATTGATGAGAACCAGAATCCTCCAAACACCATAGCGTTGGTTGCTTTAAACGAGCCGTTTCCCAGTCACATTTCGAAGCTTTGACTTACTGGAGCGATGACGGGTTGGTATCTACGGCATCTGTGGGTCAAAAGGTACCCTGGATCTGGATGCATCTGGTACCATACTACCCTCAATCATAGCTGCTGGATGGTTCTTCCCCTCATGAGGTCAGCGTCACATCGGTGGACGCCAAGTTGGGAGGCTTCCAAGTGCGGATGGTGTGTCGCTGGGCCTTCCGTTGCTTGACCGATCCAGCGTGCTACTGGTAGAGTTTTGCACCCTTTGGTTATTTAACATGATATGTTAAATAACCATATAAATTACTGTATATATTATATGTATATATATATTTATGGACTAAATATATGGTTAAGTATCTACAGTAAGTCATCTAAAAAACATATGTAAATACGGCTATTTAACAGTGTGCGAACTGGAACTCCCATATATTTGTAGATAAAAACAATATGATTTACCTATGAACATTAAGATGTGCCTTATCTATGTTAGATAACTCTAGACTCTAGAGGGTATCAATGTTTTCCAATGCTTACCAATGTTTGCCCTCTTGTGTTAACAAACATGGTTGGCTCGGAAATCAAATGTGGCTAGCTGGAAAATAACCTATAAAATGTAGGTTTTAATGGGAACATCCCCTATACATGCAGTTTTTTTGTTTTTTTAATAAATATCACCTACAAAGAAAGGTTTTAATGGGAACATGCTCTATAAATGATTATAAATAATGGGGGAATTTCCAGCAAGCTGTGTTTGATTACCGCAGGTACATGTAGTTTGTTTTTTTATTCTGATTAAACACATGTGCCTCAATCAGCAACAATGGGGCTTTGAGTGATTTAACAAGCAAACATTGGGATTTTTATCCCCAACGCATGACAATTTGCTGCATATAGCTTGGATGTGAAGTTTCGTACAACTTAATCCTTTGCCACAAATAGTGATATGTATGGATGCCTGCTAATTATTAGACAATGTGTAAGACATGTAAGATTGGCCAATTATTGCGATGTTTCATTTTGTTAATATCTTATTATATAATTTATATAATATTATATATATAAATGATGATTAAACCAACCTAAATGGTGGATTGTATTGAAACAACATAGTGGGAATATAGTAATATATCATTTAGTGGATTAATGTCGGATCCAACCAACAATACCGCATGAGTTGTTCACACTGGGGAATCTAATCCGATTTGCCATTTTGGTGGTGAATATGAATTTCCAAACAACTGGATTTTGGTGTACCATGTTTTCCGACAAATCCCTGTCTAGCTGATGTTTTCCAAATTATGATGTTTCAAAGACCCTTGGGTAATCTAATATATATAATCTTACATTATCCGGGCGGTGGAACATTCCTCGTTGGTAGATACGTTTATTTCAACAATATAGGCTAGGTCCAGTTGATATCATAATGTGTCATAACATCATATTTTTAGTGACTTGGAATGTTTGATTGCTAGAGGGAGGGCATTTGGTGGTTTTCCGTACATGGCTCGTGTTAAACAACCTGAGGGTAATCTGAAACGATTATGCATGAGCTGTGAGTAGAACTAGCCAACTTCCAACTTCCTCGTGAGACTATCTATTGCTCAGAGACCTCTATTTCATGGGAATATTTTCCTGGAAATAGAATGTTAGCTTCTTTCAGATGTTGTTCCATGTAATTTCCATTTTCAGATTTTATCCCCCCAAAAAAAATGTGGACTTCCTGCCCCAGGTACCAGCAACGCCTATAAAGAGACTGAGATCAGTTACCGTGGAGTCCCTGGGCTTCGCATTCCTGGCTTGCAGGTCACAGCACAAGAGAGCCGGTCCCTTGCAGCGATCAAGAGACAAGACACGTTGTGAGTTGATGATGGAAGGTTAGACCATGTACCCGGCCTGGGATTTAATGGGATTTTATGGTGGTTTAATGGGATCTAATTGGATTTAATAGGATTTACCCTCTGGTAAACTGTCACAAAAAACTATGGAAAGATCCACCATTCTTCATGGGAAAATCCACTATTTCTATGGCCATTTTCAATAGCTGCGTTAAATTACCAGAGGGTAAGATATGTAAGGTTAGACTCAATTAATCTGGGATATTCTGGAATTATCATTGTGGACTGTCCGCTAAGTCACTAGGCAACTATTGAAAGATACTATTTGTATACGGTGACTTTTCCGTAGGTTTTTGACATAGATTGACATAAATTCAGATGATAAGGCCACTCTAGACCACTACCTGGAGGATGGTAATGAAACTCTTAATCATCGAGTCATAGAGTCACAATTTCTCTGATAACTGTGCTTCTGTCTTTCTTTTCTGTTGGTGTTGTTTTAGCGTTGATGGCTTTCATTTGCTGGTGGGCTGCTATTTGTGTTCAGATATTTTATATTTATAGCATTGTTTACATACCAATACTGTAAGTTGTACTATCATTTTGGGGTAATCAGTTTTTACATGTTATTTACCATCATATCAATGTGAATTCCTTCATAGGTGTCCGCTTGTTTAACAGTCTTCAAAGGAACATGTTGGCTCCGCTTCGAACAGCGAAGCCATGCGAAGCCTCTGGATCACCAGCTCCCAGGATCTGGAAAGATCTGACCAAAACCACCGATGCCACGATTACTTGGAACGGAACCTCCATTTTTCTTTTGGATGGCTACAAGCCATATCATTTGCAGGACGCTGTCAAGTCAAGCAGCTGTGGCAAAAAAAACATGTCTCATTTCGTATTGGATGGAAGGTTTACATGACTAGTCGACATATATATATATTATACATATATATATAATAATAATAATAATACAACTATGTAACTATGTATGAATATGTTCATACATACAGTACATACATTATTAGGTTCACCAGAAATTTGTGTTGACATGAATTCCGAATCTAGCTTCAAAAGCCTGCAGGATTTCCCCTTTGATCGTCACATCATCAGCTTGAAGCATTGCGACTTCGTTTGGCGGACAGAGAAAGATGATGACGACTTTTTCGATTCAATGCAAATCGTTGCCTGGACGGACGATGCGGAGAATATGGTTTTTGATGAACATGTTACCACAGTATGATTCAATGTGGTTGATAAAACAATGCAAGCTATGATATAACATGCGCTAGAAGAACTTCTTGCTGTGGAGAAACACAGTCAACAAAACATAATTTTCCATTTTTTTCTCAACGTGGTGTTCATATGCAGTGAAGATCCGACATTGAAACTCCAAGTCCTCCAAACAGCTGGATCACTCTGCGGGAATGACCAAAAGCAATACCCCACATATTTGGCCGGAGAAAAGACCATTCTATTGGGATGGGGATGCAGATGGGATACACAGTAATCTGGTCCAAACATAGAGTTTACATGCTGTTTCCATCCGCTTTCCTTAGTCAATTAGTCCGATGCTGATCTTCTCAAACATGTGACCGGCTCCCCTACTCTACGTGACGCGTGTGACATAGATGTGACGTGTCTTTCTCATCCACCACCCATGAGCGCACCATGGCGATGCGTCCAGGTTTGGTTGACCGTTGAGTCCAAATCAATTTTACCGGAGTGGACTCTCGGCTGATGCGGCCTGGTTCCCACAAAATCCTCGGGGATCTGATGCCCCCAGGAAAAAAAGTGAGTCTGGTGAATTTCAGCTTTCAGGTGAGAAGTAGGACTTGGCAGAGATAGTTATTAGAATATCAACAGATAGATTTTTAGGCTCAGTAGGCCAAGAAGTACCAGGGATACAAGTTGCACAGCCCACTCCTAGGATTGCTGGGGAGTCCGACCTTATGGCCATCGCCCCCGTGCGGGAGATGTTGGGTGCTGAAGTCTGTAGCAAGTGGCCGCCTTAAACGCGAGTCATTCACCAATTCCACAGCTGGCCACATGGGGTGTGGATGACTCGCGTCATGGCTCAGAAAAGACCCTACCCTCTGGTAAACTAACATAACTATGGAAAATCACCATTTTTAATGGGAAAATCCACTATAAATGGCAATTTTCAATAGCTATGTTAAATTACCAGAGGGTAACAATCCAGAAACAAATCCAACACGCGCATGTGTGGTCAGGTTTTGGATTGATCTGCGGATTGAGAGGGCCCACAAATTCTATGTGCGGCAAATCTTCTTTGTGACTTACTTGATACTTGGCAGAGGCAGACCTCAGTTGCAATTGAGGACATGCCCAGGATGGGCCATCAAGATGTGGAAAAACTGAGGTGTACTGAAAAGATGCGTAAGCCACCAAAAATGGGAAGACAACGCACCAAAAAATGGAAGATGGCCAGTTTGCTAGGTCCATACAAGATTATAAAACATTGTGTTGTTCCGGGGTGTTAATGTGTAGAACATTGTAGAACCATATGTATTAATGATGTAACATAATGTAACATATCTCATATTAACATACCCCATGCGATTTATGCCGGGTTCAACCTGGTGTTTTTCCCTGTGATTCAACCAGCATCGAAGGATCACAATCGCATCATGCACACCGCTCTTCATGCCTTTGGAAGACATGGGCGATCGGCTGCTTAGACCAAAGACATGGAGAGAAAGCTGCAGACTGGCAGACCATGGCTTTGTTCCTTCTCCGTGGGGCATCCCATATTGTCATTGTATAATGAATTTTTGTAGGCCCTACATTCATAAACTCTTGATTTCTCAACAGTGCAGCCTGTTGGTGTTCAATGAACAAGATTCAAGGGCTGATGTATTCTATCACCTCCTTTGTTTTTTAGGATACTATTGCATTTGCTTCTGCAGTCTTACTGATGCCTTTTTGCTTTGCTCTCTCTTTGGCGGCAACTCTTCAACGATACCTGTTTCGCTGAACAATTCAACTGAGATAAGTAAGTTCAAAAAAAATATGTCGGTAATTTATATTATATTACTGACATATATTAAACATTATTAAACTAAATAATACTATAGCTATAAAATGCTATAAATATGTATTCTACATGTCTATTACTACCAAGTCATTCTGGTAAACTATGTTTTGAATATGTTCTCCTAATTCTATTTTGCAAATGTCCAGCAAATGAATCCAAAAGATACAGACGGTGATCCGCCAACAAAAAATATTGGTCACCGAATACGTGTATATATATACGTATATATACGCATATATATATATATGTATATATATACGTATATATATATGTATATATATATACTGTATATACGTCTATTAATTAATGTTTCTAATGTTTCTATTTTCCCAGACCAAACATATATGGAGCAGGGTAGCTTTTCAATCCTTTTCAAAAAAATAGTTGGACCCCTGAGGTTGAGCGTCTACGGTGGCGGTTTGTTGACCTTGGTGGCGTTCAAATATGGCGTCATGGATCATCTTCCAAGTGTTCCATATCCCACCTTCACCGACAACTTCTTGCCGCTTGGACATGCTTGGACCGCTAGATGGAAAAGATTGGAAAAGCCATGGCAGAGGGACCCCGGTTCTGCTGGATCTTAGGTGAATATTGTTGCACTTTTACTGGTCAAGAGTTCCTTTAATTGTTCATTTATTCTTGGGAACAGCAGGCTATCAGAGTTGAACATCACTTAGTGTCACTAAGTGTCACCTGGCGATACAGCAAACCTAAGAAGGTGTTTCTACTCCTTTGGCCACATATTGTTTCCCAACGTTGGATCATCGTATATCATTTTCACCCCCACCTGCCTTTGCTCATGGGTTTTGGAAGGATGTGGCAGATCGTGACCATCGTCTTCTCGACCTTTGCATCTTTGATTCTGTGGCGATTGCATTCGCAAGTCAAGAACCCGGACAGCTTGGGATGAACCATGGACAGCTTGGGATCCCCGCGTGTTTCTAAAATGATTTCTGGACAGCTTGGGTTGCTCCGACCTATGAATCATGGTGAATCATGGCCATCTTTACCCAGTTCCCCCGCGAGCAGCACTGGGGTATCGGGAGCAGCCCTGAACATTGGGGAACCCTCCAATTTGGTGTATCATTTGGTGTATCTGGGTGTCTTGTCCACATCAATTTGTTTTGAAATGTTTTTGAACATGTTGAAGGAGATTATAGCACACCAGCAAGGTTTCCTCAAGGGTTTGAACTGCACCATGCAGTGTTGCACTCTTCCAGGATGTCATTGATTGGATTGAGAACGGAATATTCTTTGCTGTTTCTTGTCTGAAATAGTGTTGTGCATTGGACTTGGAAGCGCACATCAATCAGTACTGTTCTGAGTTTCCCCATGGGTTTCTCAGAAGTTTCCTGTGTTTTCCCCGTGACTGCAGGTGGTGCTGGGCTGGTCAATTATGTTTGGAATTGTTGCATGCTGTAAGCCGTCTCGCCGAAAAACCTGGGAGAGTGTGAAGAAGACCCTCGGCCTGTTGGGGCCATGTTGATGGGATTTCCTCGTGGGGCCTTGACATTCAGCCTCAACCTGCTCATGGAAGAAGTCAAACGTATACCCCCTTTGAAAAGGGGTCCCGGTTGGACACGTGCATCTTGTTCCCACTAGGGTTGCTGATGACAGATGATGAAAAATGAGGGGAACCCATAGCAACAGCAACCACACCTTCAGACGCACTGCTTTTGGCAAATGGTCCCGATCCATACCATGATCCATACATATCCATACATCTCCAAGGGATAATTCATACACTTGAGCCATACCCAAAAAATGTGGCCTTCAAACAGGCCACTTTAGTAATTATACAATTATGTTATGGTTAAAAGAGATGGGCTTCTCCCAATGATTTTGGGAGAGGTGCTGGCTAACTCTATGGGCAAAAGCAACACTTTAAGAGAAGTAAGTGGACAACTCTACAGCCAAAGACCACTCTTTCAGTGACCATCCTGACATGCCACAAAATGGCAAAAACCGAAGAAACACCAATGTTTTTCAAAAATCTGCCAGAAAGATTGAGTTTCTAGCCTAGCCGAAATTGCACTGGCTAGGAAAGCACATTTTTGTCCTGTCTGGAAGGAATGCACAGTTAGTTTCACCACGTGCTAGCTAGTAGAGTTGTCCCTTTTCGCTTGTCTGTTGCTTTGCTGCCCCTGATGCGCTATATAAATGGAGTTGTCCTTTTCGTGGCTATTGGTTTCTCCGAGTTTCTGCAATGTTTGGTCGGTCCGGAAGGAATGCACAGTTAGTGTCACCGCGTGCTAGATAGAGTTGTCCCGTTTTGTCTGTGCCTGTGGTGCATCTGTTCTGCTAGAATCTGCTAAATAGAGTTGCCCTTTCCGGCCTTTTCATGGCTTTTGTTTTCTCAGGGTTTCTGCCGCGTTCTGGTTTGTCCGGAAGGAATGCACAGTTGCTTTCACCAAGTGCTAGATAGAGTTGTGCCGTTTTGTCTGTGGCTGTGGTGCATCTGTTCTGCTAGATAGAGTTGTCCTTTTCGTGGCTTTTGCTTTGTCCTGTCTGGAAGGAATGCACAGTTAGTTTCACCACGTGCTAGCTAGTAGAGTTGTCCCTTTTCGTCTGTTTGTTGCTTTGGTGCCCCTGATGTGCTATATAAATGGAGTTGTCCTTTTCGGGGCTATTGTTTTCTGCGAGTTTCTGCAATGTTTGGTCGGTCCGGAAGGAAGGCACAGTTGGTTTCACCAAGTGCTAGATAGAGTTGTGCCGTTTTGTCTGTGGCTGTGGTGCATCTGTTCTGATAGAGTTGCCCTTTTCGCGGCTTTCGTTTACTCTGAATTTCTGCGATGTTCCGGTCGGTCTCTGTCCCTTCCCAATGCCCTCAGCCATACTTGAGGGGGAAAAAGTGGCCAACTCTGTTGGCATTGGGCCTGTTTTTTGCTTCGGGCGGATGTCATGTTGCCGACTGGATTCAACATTTTTCGTGTGGATAGCTCTATTTCCAAAAGTTATTTTTTTCATTTTGGATTAAGTGGATAACTCTAGTTGAGGTAGTAATACCTTTTTAACAGATCTGGATCAAACCTCTTATACGTAACCCACTCATTCCATACGTCCGGATCACCGCGAAATGATCCATACCCGTTTTTGGAGCCATACGCATATCACGACCATGACAAACCCAAGGACCTCGAAATTGCTTGGATGTTACACTCTAAGAATGTCTGGCCATGGTTCTTGCCATCCATGTAGTTTACTTGGAAATATTATGACACCTTTGAATCTCTTATTTCACGGACTTTGCAAATATGATAGGCTCAAGACTGTGCTGGACTCTATGGGAAAAACCTCCAATGAACCCTGGACATGTATGGAGGATATGCAAGTCTCAGGACTATATATAATATATATAGAACTATAAAGTATATGAAATGGTTGTATCCATATCCGGAAAATGATCATAAACCAATGTAAACCAGTTGAATTGGGGGTATATCATCGGTATATCGAATGTTCAGACCAACCCATATCTATCATTATCTATCTCCATGTATCTCAAAGGATATCACCAGCGGAATCCAGCACATGCCATGGACACTGGGTGGTAGATTAGTGGCTTAGTCTGAAAGCACCATTGCAAGAATTGTTGATAAATTGGAATATGATGGAATATGTTCTAATTTGCATTCATTTTCCACGGCACATATATTTGGATATCCTTTGGATGGATATCCTTCGTACATCATTTGCCACTAAAAAGTCGCCATATTAACTAATCCATCATAAGTAGCAAGTCTCAAGTCATTTTCCTCGTTGTCAACCATTTAATTTTCTTAATTTATACAGTATTACTTTCTGCAGTAAGGCATGGAAAATTGACCCATGGGATGGAAAAATACCTCCTTGAAGCAAGTTTGAGCACAGGATTCAAAAGGGACGATGCCCATGCTGCAACATACTCATATCCATCATGGTATAGTCACCATAGTCCCAAGATGTCCGAAGCATAATATGATGACTACTTTAATATATATATATATTTATTTAATGCTCAACATTAATGTATACATTAATATTATAAAATATTATAAAGCAATATAACTAATATATGTTATGACATGATATATATATATATGATATTTGTATACACTAAAAATACCATGTTCCTTTGTATATCGTAAACATTGTTTATACATATATATATGTGTATATATTCTACGTACGTATATATTATCTACATATATATCTCTATATATATATATTACACACACAGAAAAATACAGTACCTGCACCAGGGCCGTGCCGGGGCTGAGTGCAGCCGTGCAGCCTGCGCGAGGCAAGTGGACAAAGACGATCCTTCTCAGCCGGTGGAACAGTTGCCCGTTGGATTCTCCCACGGTGACATCATCGGCAACCGCACGGAAGACGCCAAGCTGCTTCCAATCTCCGAGAGATCTGAATCACCAGGGCATTTCTGAGCTGGACAATGCGGAAGATGGCACCATGAGTATTCAATAGAGACACAAAATCATTTTGATCTTGTCCTTTTTGTCCTTGTTGTCACCAGTTAGAGTTATAGTTATGACATGTTATGACTGAACCATCTCGTGTTTTCTGGACTATTCATTTGGGCCATGTACAGATTATTTCCATTCGTGACACAGCTTCCGGCCGTGGATTTGGATAGTGAAGTCCCAGTGAATCCCGGTCATTTCTGGGGGGTTCAATACGAAGTCATGGTAAAATTTGGATGATGAACGGCATTTTAGGAAACCTCCATATCGAGGTAATTTAGTTGGTTTGATATGTCCATGAGTTTTTTTTAGGCCATTTTTAGTTCTTTGAAACGGCAGGAGAACAATCCGTCCACTTGGGGCACCTCAGGGATTAGGTCAGCCAGTCTCAAAACCGGCCCCGAATCCGATAGTGCTCCCATGGCCGAATGGTCATGGTCTGCGACCGCTGCCACCGCCGCCAAGCGGCGGTAGGGCGTCTGCAAAAAGGGCATGGCTGATGATTGGTTGGTTCAGAATGACCAAAGAACCAGTATTGCACATATATATGCTATATTTGTGTATCTTCTGTATCATCTATGTATGATATATAATTACATATTCATTTACATATATATATATAGGTGTATATATATATATATATACTGAGTAGGGGGAAATGAACAGTGAACAAAAAAGTGTGCATATGTGTATATATGTATTTATTTATTTATATATTATATTATCATGCATGCGTATGCAAATAGATAATATACCTTTTTCTGTGGATGCCTGCTGTATTTTCAAGCATTTGTCTTTGCCGCAATCTTGCATGCTCGAACACTTCTGTTCGAAGTCGTTTAAGACTCACAGTCACAACTGGTAGCGAAACTAATGCTGTCTTCATAGTTGTTGACTCCCAACAAGGTCGCAACCTCAGATGGTGTGCCAAGAGATTGCCTCTAGCTGGTGAAAGAGGACTGATGGGTGTTTATACTGAACCACTCCAGGTCCAGAAGTGCCATATCCCCCAACTCACATAGACCATGCCAAATAGATTGGAACGGTCCGCTACTTTCGGTTACTGTCCTCCCAAATTTTGGTCATCAATCTAATTCTGAGTTTCTTTCCCTCTTACTGTAGTTTTTCGGGGATGGTGTACCATCATATGGCTGATCCCACGCAGTACTGGTAATTGATCAGCTGGTGAAGCGACTATATATGGTGATCCTATCAAAGTTGGTAATCAAACCATCCTGGTAATCAAAGTTGGTAATCAAAGTTGGTAATCAAAGTTGGTAATTGATCAGCCTATTTTTCTGAAGCTTTGCTCGCCCAGGTCCTGTTTCAAACCCACCAGGGCTGCGAATTCAGCTGAACATTGAGGTCCCAGTGATGGGGTGAAACGGGGGTATTTTCCACCGTCATGTTTGATTGCCAGAGGGTAGCTGATCTTTCAATTACTTCGTAAAGCTACCAAAGGAAGGTTTACCCTCTGGTAAACTAACATAGCTATTGGAAATCACCATTTTTAATGGGAAAACTCACTATAAATGGTGATTTTCCATAGCTATGTTAAATTACCAGAGGGTACTCAAAACTGGTCTGGGGGGTTGCTGTGAACTGGACTCCAAACTCTCCCGCCAGGCACACAGATTCATGAAAAATGGCAAGGCCACTGAAGATGGCTGGTGGGCTGGTGGAAACGTGCTGACCTACAGATTGATCAGATTGTTTATTTGAAAGATATTTCACTAGACCCAGATGTCTACTCTGAATATAAGTAATATCAGCATCTTGCACGCAAGCCCTGAATAGCATGCCGCCAGCTGCAGGAGAAGCGAGCAGTCAACTTGGAGGCTGGTACTCTCCGTGGGTTGCTGATCGATTTTGAAGATTACAGCCCACATATATCTGGAATATCCTGGAATGATCCGGAAACTTATAGAGTGATATTAAAGTAATATTAAAATATATTGTCCGGATACTTCCGTGTCGAGTCTAATATAAGTACACACATGGCGGTGGAGGATTTTGTCCGGGCCCCCAGCAGAATACGAAATGACAGCAGGGATAAAACTTTTTGAGGGTTAAAACATGCACCCTAATGAAAAAACTATGAACAACTATACCATCCATTGCCATGGACCATGGATATCCATAGATGGATATCCATTCGCTTAAAAAATCTCAAAATGCTGGTATTTTTCCTGCACCGCTGCGGTGCGTCTTGCTAAGTGGCTAATGTGGCTCTGTAACTCACAAGAGATGGTCATAAAATCTCGGACACCTAAAACCACCAACCATGTTCTATTTGTAAGTCCCAATTCAAGACACCATGGGACCCCGGATTTCCACGTGTTTCCATACCCGCATCTATGTTCCGAAGTGGATTTTCGCATCCAGCAGTTGTTTTTTTCTCAACGTTTGGAAATGAGTAAGGATGTATTGGACATGCACTCATCATTTCTAGAGGGTAATCAGTGGAAATGACTGTAGCTGGAGCATTATTATATGCATTATAGCATTGTAACTCAAAATTCTGGACCTCCACAATCAGTACCTCCATGGCATCCAGACTTTTTTTGCCGCTTCCCAATCTGACCCGGGACAGGATGTGATCGAGAGCATTGGTATGGGTCCTGCGCAAATTGCCTGGGGCATCCTGGGGGGTGGAATTTGGCTGGCGGACGGAGCTGAGCTTCTCTTAGTGAGTGCAGTAACCAGGTGCGCTCAGCGATGGGGATTATGGGGATTTGATCCGTCGGCGATTATGGGTCAACATGAAAAGAGGACACCGGTGGACACCCTACATGTACTACAATGGGTTGTCATTATTTCGGTTCACGGTCCCTTTTTGGGATTTCGCGACAATTACATTTTTGGACGACAAACACAAATTGGACCTATGAAGTTGAAGGTGGTAATTACCGCAAACTTAAATATATCTTTGGACGACAATTTTCCATTGGGATATTGCGAAACCAACCAACTGCCGGAAGCTTTCGTGAAGAATCAAGGCCCTGGTATCATAGCTTTGGATGCCCATTCTGGGAATGAATGACCGTGACGGCCACTTCTGGGTGAGTCTAATTTTATGGGGTCTATCCCCCACCCATGGTGATCTTCATGGGGAAAATGATGATTCACCGCAGGATGGAATGGGGTGAACCACATTTTCAGTCGTTGACCAGGTCTCTTCAGAAGGAATGGCACCTGACCGCCTTCATGAAGGGCTTCATTGTCAGCAGCCCTGGATTTCTGAACGTTGGATCAACATGGGGTTGTTGAAAAATTGGTTGCAGCAACAATTACAATCTCAATTGGAGAATCATGAAGTAATTATGATGGTAACTGTTATTGCTAAAATTAAATATGACTGTCAAACATAGGGTACAACGGGTACAACCACAATAATAAACATTATGTATAATCACTTGGAATGGGGGGTACATACTATATCTGATATATGATTATATGTATCTTGTGACAGAAAGATCAGAAAAGTTGGATTGTATTGTCTAAGAGGTGAACAGCTAATTACCCAAATCTGGGAAGTTAAGTTTTGACCCGGCGAAGAAGTTCCAAGTTGCTAAACATTGTTGAACAGGGTTGGATATATAAATATCCATCTTCATCCATTTTGCAGATAGTCGTCAGACCACATAAGTCAACATGTAGTCACAGAGTCATCAAACTAACATTTAGTGAATTTAGTGCCAAGAGGATATGTGCCAATTGGATCCGATTGGGCAAGCATCACTCATAATATCTTCACTTTCACTAGGTATTCAAAGATCCCAAGCCCCAAAGGTCGTTACAGCAGAAATTCAGTTCATCAATCCTCCAGATCATCTAAAGTCTACCTTCAACAATGTGAGGCCCCAGTTATGGATGGCAGCTGCGGCAACTGGTGAAACACCATGTTTCACCCGGTCGAAAGTCAAATTTTTGAAGCTTCACCATAAATCTAAGGCACTACCGGACGAAATATTAAAACCCTTTCTATCCAATACAACCCCGCTTCACCCTCAAAGTTCAATGTGAACTCAGGTGCCCGCGGAAACGTTGAGATTTGTGGGGCTTCAACACAGAGTCCGTAGGGAGTTTTCGTCCATCTACAGCCGTATCTTCAACTAGAGTTCTAGAAATCATCCCAATTACCCAAAAACATTCCAAAAAATGGGGATTTCACCATGGCAGTCCTCCTGTCATTCCAAGACATCCATCCTAACCGCAGGTGTCCGCGGTCTATCTGGGGATTCTCCTGGGTAATGCTGCCAGTGGAGGATTCAGCCATCGATTCGGCCGCCGTGAGATGATCGTCCTCTCGTGCCTTGGGGATTTAACGAACGAGGCGACGACTGAGGTTTGGTCCGGGGACCATGGTAGTACCATGGATTTCGTTGTAGAAAAGCTATGGTTAAAAGATGTTAAAAGGAACATATATATATAATGAACAAGTAACCAACTGAAAAGATAATATATGATGATATATAGTTCTTGTGGACTATCAAAGATTGACCATGGTCTGGATGGATTGTGCTGGATCCAATGGACTTTTGATTGTATGTTGCGGGATGAAAATGAATTAGAGAAGATATAACATGGAATAATAGTGGGAGAATATAGGTTATTGTGAAAAATATTAGTGGGTATAATAATCATGGGATAATACTGGGATATACTGGGAAAATGGAATGAGAATAGGACATATAATAATAGTGAGATAAGTTAGTAGAGGATAAAGTGAAGTATTGTAATGTATCCAGAATGGATTTCTCAAAGGGGCTGATTTAGACCTGCGTGAATCAGCCTTTTCCATCACACCACAATTTAATTCTGTGTTGTGGTCATTGAAAAACGTTAAATCCCAAAACCTTTTGGCAGTGAAACAAAATCCTAAAACTGAAGATCCACCAACTTATTCATAAGCAATCAGGAACACCCAGTTTATACTATTTTATACTCATAAACATGCCTCAGACATTCTCCTATATGCCACATGTTGCCTTTCTTTGCTTAGGTACTGTGGAATCTTCTTTTGTGGATCCCTGAGTGGAGCCTGTCATACGACTGTGGCTTTCATGATGATGAGATTTCTGGGTGGCATCTTCATTGGCATAGGCCACGGCCGTGAAGAGAATGATGTCATTGAGTTATGATAAACCACTATGATCCACTATCACTATGCCATCATAAATCCCTCAAACACGACGCACAAAAAGACAACTCCTACTAAAATAGTGGTAATTGGAACTTGAGTATCCTTCTTTGGGGTTGATAGCTTCGAGGGCTGCAAATCTTGAGAAGGTTTGACATGGCCACAATGATGGAGCCCGACCCTGCAGGTACACATGATCAGGAAATAAACTTGGTGTCATAGAATGCAACATTTTGCACCAGATCCAGCCAGCCAACACACTTGAGCACCAAGACATGTACATCTGCAGGTTTATGGGTGGTGGTTCATGGGTGGTACACCACCAGATTTGGGGAACTCCATTCACCTTTGGAGATCCCTCTCCGTTGCAGCCGAACTGACCTGCAGGTCAGCCTGCGTGGCTGTCCATTAGTGCAGAGATCACCCCAGCCTACTGGCGCATTCCGATGGCTGCGGCGTCACAGTCCCTCTTTGTGGTGGGAGAGATGTATCATGGCAGATCATGGCAGCAAGAGTCCTGCCAGCGATGCCGAAAATGGAGCTGGTTCTAACTGTTGATCCAGGTTGCTTTTACTATGGCTGGTTGGTGGTTTGGAATATTTTTTATTTTTCCATATATAGGGAATAATCATCCCAACTGACTAATATTTTTCAGAGGGGTTGAAACCACCAACCAGATGGTTTAATTCCATTTTTTCTGTGAAACATAACCATGTCACATCATATCCATCTGTGGTTTGACCGACCATGGCTGGTGCCAGTCCGTCAGGTATATCTCCTTTCTGTTGATGATGGATGATCTCAATATGCAGGCGCCAAAAATGGATGGCAAAATGGTCCATAGAAATAGATGATTTTCCCAGCTATAAACCGCTATAAACCTCCATTTATTTTGGGGATTTTCCATGGCTATGTTAAATAACCAGATGGTATACGAAGTTGTCTCTCAATCCCAAATCACCCTGGGAAATCTGCAAACAGCACTGCCGGAGTCATGCCGTAAGAAATGATTTAGTCAAAAGTGGACACTCAATTTCTAGAAACTCACCAGATTTCACTGGCCTTGATTTCTGTGTCCCTTCAATGGGTCCTTTAAAAATGGGCACCCCTTATGGAGACCCGACGTCGCAGTTTCTTCACTGGCGGGTGCTCTTACGCCTGGGAGCCCTGCCTGCCTTCGTCTTGTTTCTTCTCAGTCGCATGGCAGCGGGGGATGGGCACCATGAAATCGCCAGTGGGAATGAACATGGAGTAGCCCTCAACTACCATATCTGGTTCGTGGTTTGGAACATTTTTTATTTCTCCATATATTGGGAATAATCATCCCAACTGACTAATATTTTTCAGAGGGGTTGAAACCACCAACCAGATATGACCATATGGCAATTTCCATAGTGAAACGTATGACAAACCGAGAAGGAGGGGGGGTAGCCCATTTTCAGACAAAACCATATTGGAAATTATGATTCGCCAGTAAAAAATTGGGTATTTGTGGTGCAGTTGTGGTGATGTTTACGTATGGCTATTTGATACCATGCTGATGTCACTTCCATGAGTAGGGACATACTGTACATACCCCACATACCCCATATGCTTCTGGCGACAATAGCCACTTATCAAGTGGAAATAGCAACGGATAAACCTAAAGATGTTGGGATGCACCAACTGGTCGTGGATTAGATTGTGATTATAAATTATAACCCTAAAAATAGTGTTGCTTACTGATTAACCTTCAACATACTCAGATAATACCAGAATCTGGTGTGTATACTACCCGATATAACATGATATAACCAAATACAGATATATACGTACATTCACCAGAATAATGGTAACCAGATAGTACCTGATATAACCAATCAATCACTGTGTTGTACAGGGTCTTAGAGTGGTCTTAGATTTCCAACTTTTGAACGCCCTTAAAGCCATCCTTGAAACTACGAGGCGCAGCCTATCTCAACGAATCGCCCATGTTTCTGGCGCTCAAGGGACGAAATCATGAAGCGCGACATGTTGTGGAAGATATGGGGAGGCCTGGATCCTGGAAATATGGCATCAATGGATCCGTCAAACATTGGGTTGGCCATCGGCTGCCCTATTTGTGAGACATACCAACTGAATCCAACTGATGATGATACAATTCCTGAAGATGCACCAATATTCATGACTTTTTGGGGCTGAAGCCTGTGACCGACCTTTTCTCGTAGTTCGCTGTTGGTTGGCCCGGTTCCCGCAGGTTGGTGAATATTTTGAGCACCTTAAAACTAGAATGTTTGCATGCACCTGGTTTAAACCATGGCAAATGTGACGACCCCTATTTGGTCGTATTGACGGTTTAACATGATTTGTCTCTGTGGATGAGGAAATTCGCAGTGAAGTCACGATTGCAGGAGGCATGCTCTAACTCCAAAATTCACCTGGATCCGGACTCATGCCAACGATTTCGAATCACCTTCCCGGAACTAACTAGATGAAGGGAACACGTGCAGACTATATACACATGGAAGGTTTTTTCTAATTTCTTTGTTCTTTGCTTTTCTGCTTTTCCTTGCTTTTCCCTGTTTTTTTGCCTGCTTCTTTGCTTCTCTAATTTCTTTGCCCATCTTTTCTGCTTCTCTTCTGTTCCCTGCTTCTTTGCTTCTTTCCTTCTCTGCTTCTCCGCTTTGCTGCTTCTCTGCGTTTCTGCTTCTCCACCCTAAGCTTAAATAAACCTCAAACCACTACCATCGAAGTAAAACCTAAACCAGCCCTTAAAAAGAACCTAAAACTAACCCTAAGACCAACCCTAGAAAGAAACTAAAGCCAGCCCTAGAAAACCATAAACCAACCCTAGATAAACCAAAAAACAACCCCAAATAAACCCTAAACCAAGCTAAATGAACCCTAGGTGCAGGAAAATACCAACATACACAGTTCGAGCACCAAAATGTTGCAAATACATGCAAACACCATTGAAAATGGGAGGTTCGAACTCCAAAATGTTGTGAATACCGAAATGGCAGGAACCATATCAGCCATCTCAACCATCTCAACCATCTCAACCATGCATCCTTTGCCCCAAGTCAGGCTCAACCGCGCCAGCAGCGCAGTGGTGCTGGACTTTGAGCCCAGGACGAACAGCGCATCCAGTGGATCCCTGGTCTCGGAGATGGGACGACAGATGAACCTGGTCTTCTCGGTTCAGTTCATGGCTCCTCAGCCTGGGATTCCTGGGATGCGGCCAAGTCACCAAGATGAACCAAGATGATAAGATGGGTGAACTAAAACACCCAAACATGGGAATTTGCTTGAGAAAATGATGGGTGACCATGGTGTCAAATGGGATGTTGCTGGTCTAAAAATATTTTATGAAATGATCAGCTTCTTTAATGGGAATTATGGACTTATTAGCAGCAACCCTTCGAGCAACTAGTAGGCTTAGGGGCTGAGCGACTGAACTCTCGTCCCGTCAAATGTTGGCCCACCGCTCTTGCAGCCTGCTGGCATTGGTTTTCGGCTTGTGAGATTTGGGGGTTTCCTAAAATGGAGGTACCTCCAATATTTCTAGATGGATTTTCCATCAACCATCCAGCTATTGGGGTACCCCCATTTCAGGAAACCACCATTAAGGTAGTGACTATGGTGATCATGTCCGTGTGCTTTACTCTGAACCTCGTCTACTTTGGTTCCCTCTTTGCATTCCCTCAGGCGGCAGCTGCGTCGGAGCTGTTGTTAGCACGAAGATTCCTCGCCCATTTGGTTGTTCAATGCACGCACATACTATTCAACCATATTCAACCAAAACAGTCTTAAATGTTACCAAGGGCACACATATATATATACATATATATATATTATACTGTACATGTACAACTCAAGATTCAAGATCCATCTTTGTCCGAGAGAACGCTCTTGACAACCTGCCCTCCGAATCATCATTTTGATGAGACCTTCCATGTCCATACAATTCCTATCTTCGAACCCTCAAAGATCGCACCGTCCCAGCAAGCGAAGCAATATCATCAATAATCCCATCCCTCTAACAATAAATACTCCCTTGCAAACCATGGTTGGTTTAGTATTAGATGTATTCATCTTGGGGCGTAAGATGGCCCAAGCATTTGGGGTATTTAAGATTAGGGGAAAGGGACTGGTGATTGTCACAATCCGCCTTAAATCGCCAGTGAAAATCAAGATCCATCACAATCCTCATCAGGTTAATGGTCAAAACCCTCATGTTCAATCATGTTAAATCATGTCGAATCTCCAGTGTGTGTCAAAATCCCCATCAGGTTGATTGTCTAAACTTCGATGTTCATACATGTTCCATGACTTTCCATCATAAATCAATCATGTTCCATCATGTTCCATCGTAAATGCATGAGTTTCCATCATTTTCCCTGGTTTTTTCATGGTTTAAACATGTTTAAACCCTGTTTCACCAGGTGCTTCCCCTGCTGATGCACGGGCAAGCGGCCTCCGAACTCCTCGTGGGCGCCCTTTGGGAACTTCCGGGCTTGGCCATGGGTCGGGGGCTCCCAGGTGGGCTTTATAGGGCGGGGTCCCGGTACCATCGGGGTACCCCAATAGATGGATGGTTTACATGGAAAATCCCATGGAGAATGATGGCTTTCATGATGGCTGAGATTCATGATTTTATAGATGATTTTACCATATTTTAATATATTTTACCATATTTTATAGATGATTCATGATTTACCATAGATTTATTTGGTGGTCTTAACAATTTTATGGGGGTTCCAAAGTCATGGGCCCGGGGTACCACCAAATCATCCAAGTCATGGAGGACCATGAATTAGTCGTGAAATCTATGGTTTTGGGGATCAATCATTTAAAGAACCCCCCATATAAATCTATAAATGTTAACTAAACATCAACAAACAGCGACATCTAGAAATGTTTTTTGTTTAAAACAATATTCTTCAACAAACACGCAAATCATGGGAAAACTACATATATATATATATATATATCTGTGTGTTTGATGTGATTTGATGTGGCTTTAACCATTATTGCTTAAACAAAAACAACAACATGGGAACATTATCAACAAATGCTAAGTTCGATGGGATTGCATGGGGCTTTAACCATCAACAAACACAAAAAAAAACATGGGAAGATCATCTATAAATTGATTATAACATGTTATATCATATTATAACTACGTTTTTTCCATGGCGTTCAATGTGTCTTTTCTTTTAACAGCAACACACTTGAAGATGTGGAGATTTCACCCATAAAATTTCTGGACGTTTCACGCCAGGTTTGCTGCTGGGTATCACGGCTTCCAGGCGCCGCTACCAAGGTTTTGACCCACAACCATGTACCCTCTGGTAATTTAACATAGCTATTGAAAATGGCCATTAATAGTGGATTTTCCCATAAAAAATGGTGATTTTCCATAGCTATGTTAGTTTACCAGAGGGTATTTCAGGTGAATTATTGATCTTAAGTGTACAATGAACAATTCAGGAGATGCATGGCCATAGGAATGTGGTAGCATTTTGACGATTCATGGCCATTGAAATTTAAGGTTACACTCCAGTGTGAGCCAAAAAGTCATGTCGGAATTCCTATGATGTGGGCTATCCATGGCTATCCTTTGACTTTCACCGAGCGTATAGACCGAAACAAAAAAACAGCAGTTCTCTGAATAATGCAGTGGAGCTCCTGCAACATGAATATAGACATATAATACATATACTGTCATTATAGTTGTATCAATATCTCTATATCTGTATCTGTATCTAAGATTGAATATTACATATGTATATATATATATATACACAATAGTACATCTTTGAAGCTACGCTGCTTTTTGAGGCGCACGTCATTGAAATTTTACTTGACAGCTCTGACCTGCCGTGGGCTCAGCGGTACAACCTCCAAAAATCATGTACTACCCAAAATTGGTTTATAGGTACTTGGAGTGTCAAGGTAGCAGTAATTTTGCTAGAGGCTTTTCAATCATATCATGCTCGGAAAATGCCAACGGATCTTCTAGGCGTGGAACCAGCATGCAGATATGGCGTTTTATCTATCCAGGGCCTCTTTCACATTCCGTGAGAAAATTGATCTCGCCATCCACAGTAGATGTTCCTGCCACACTTAAGTTCTATTTCCACACGGCTTCGTCCGAAAATGATTCCATGGCTTCTATTTGATCATGTTCCAATGGTTGATACCCACATTTTTTGGGGGGGTATGTTTTGCCCCTTTTTGAAACCAAATACTAACGCAGATGGGTTCACAGTCCAAGTGTCCCCTAGGCTCCATTCTTTGCTTCATCATCGGAGCCCACGGACATCCTGACCCTGAGCTGCTTGGATACCATAAATGCTTGACCCCTGATATGGGGATGGGTCAAATTCCAATAAATTACATTGAATTACTATGAATTATTGAACCATGTTTGGCGGAATAACCATCCATTACCAGCTATTTTAGGGTACCTAGGGTACTTGTGTTTTGACTCACAGCAATATGGGAAGTGGATCAAAAGCTGTGTGAAATACGATACTTTGAGAAGATGAACAGCGATTTACCAACAATGATAACAATGTCTGGTGTGAACAGACGTGTACCAGGATTTTGACCCATAGCTCAACGGCAAGTTCAGTGACTGTCAGTGACCCACTTGTTGAGATTATCCTGTGTAGCTCCGGCTTGTTTTTGCTTGTTTGGACCCCATAGCTCCTCCCATACAAGCCCTTTTAATGTTGTGGAGACCTGGAGAGTGAAAGTTTATCTCAGTAGCATTGACGTTTTATCGCAAACCATGAAGTCCATCATCACTCTTACAACACTCTTAGGACGATAAGGATTTTTTTTGCTGGGGGTAGATCTTTGGAGGAGGATCCTTGTTTTTTTTCCTGCAACCAGGGCAGAGCTACCGTGTCGAAGGACAACCCATGGCCAGTAGACCACAGGTTTGGGACATATTTGCAGCCGTGCAGTTTTTTTGCGCTGGCGGCTCTTCAGCTGTTAATGGGGAAGCCAATCCCAGTTGAGAAATTTGTGGGATGGCAATGACCAACCCGAGTCAGAGTCCAAGGCAGGAGAAAACTATGAAGGTCTTCCTTTTCATGGGTTACTACGGTGGGGGGCCCAGTTATATCATGGCCAGTGGTCCTCTCGAGCGGACCGGACTGGGACCTTGGGACCTTGGGTTTCTGGAGTCGATCCACATGATCCGCGCTGAGGTATCAAGTGCGTTCCCAATATTGGCTTCATCGTAGCATACCAGATGTCTGCAGAGGTCTACCCCACCGAGGTAGGCGTTCCCACTCCATTGTGGTGGATGGATTCCACCGAGCTGGGATTACTGTATGCTGATCTGTCATTCTTTTATAAAGCAGATATAAATCAATATAGGACCATTTGACATTATATGTAGCTAAGGAGCAAAACTCTAGGAATGGGGATGAAGCTTTTTTTGCCATATGTGGGATGAACATCCACCAGGATGTTCACCAGGAGCCAGAGTTTTGACCCATGGTCATTGCGTTAAGTTAAGTCGTCCGGGTTTGTCTAAAGTCGTCCAGAAATCCTGTGCCCGTTGTGTGTTTTGGATGCTTCCTGTACGACTGTCATTTTAGGAGTTGTTGGGAGTGATTGTGTTTTTGCATGTGCCCCATGCATTTGGGAAGATGTTGGTGCGCAAGTCTGATTCAAGATTTGAGTGCCAAGTTTGACATTCTTGGCATTCATTGTCATGTGTCGACACCCCGACCCAGCACCCAATTACCAGCACTAGCACTAAGGGTCTGCTGACCCCTCTCCAGAGGTTTAATTTAGGTGTTTTCCACGTTCCATCCTTGGTCCAATATGGGCCGCGCAAATCCTGATGGTGTGGCAGTTTTGTTTTTCGATGTTCATCCATTTCAAAACATATCGCACGCATGACATATTTGTTTTTTGGAATTTCATAAAGACTTTCTTATATGGCACATTGGCTGTGGGTCAAACACTTTAAATCATTTGTGGACCCACAGATGGAGTGGTTATGTTCAACATTGTTTGTTCTCCCCAAAAGGAGTGGTGGGTGCCCGATTTTGACCCATCCCTGGCAATTTAATTTCATCGATCTACCCATGATTTCCGCCCTGTACTGTACGTGTATATGGTAATTCCACCTCATACACACGTACATATATATATATATACACATGCAGATTGTATCAGATGTAAAATCTTGAGTGAACTCTATCTCCTTATGTGCAGTGTTACGTATACTTGACTATAAACTATATTATATATATATATATACACAATTATATCATATTATATCCACATGTACTACATATATAAATCATATATCACATATATATATATATATACACCATATATATCATTTACATCAATAAGACTATATATATATCTTTAGATATGCATGTATATTTAGACCATGTTGATAAGAATATTGCCACCATTGGACCCAGGCCCGCAGCATGGGCGCCGGCCTCGCCTTGGCCTCCGGACGGTGCCCTGGCGTCATTGGTTTCGGGGATACGGTGAATCAACGGAAGTTTGGGACCAACATTCAGGATGAAGATGGATGAAGGTTGATTCACTTTTAGTAAGAATGAGCATTTTTGGGATTTTATGAAAGATACGGACCTGTTTTTTCCAGGAAGTTCTGGAAACTGGAGGTCTGTTTTTTCAGTGAAAAGATGATGTGTGGCCAGACTTTGGTGTCAGGTTGGCTGCCATGATCTCTCCCATGATCTATGAAGCTGCCGTGCTGTGGACTGGAATCTATCTCTTCTTTTTCCTCTTCATGGCTGCTTTATGCCTCAGCAATCTTTACATGGCAGCTCGGCAATGCGGATGACAGTGTGTGGGTATGGTAGCCACTAGTGTTTCAACATGTTGTAGCTTCGAGCCAGATGGGAAAATGGGGAAATCTGTAATTCGCGGAGCTGCTAGCCTTAGCTGCTAGATAGTTGCCAACTGGGGTGGGGATCGAACATTGTACTTTGGTAAAGTTGCCTGGATGGCTGGGTTAGGAACATTTTGCCTCAAAACTGTGTTGAAAGAAATATCGTAAACATAAGGTTTGGAGATGGGTCAAGTCACTGCGTCTCAAAAGAATATCCAAAGCACAACCGATAGGCGGTTTGTGGGTCTTAGGCGATAGGTCCTATAGGTCTTCATCCATCTCTGGTCTCATTGAGGTTGACCTGTTGCCCGAAGTCGCAGGGCTACAGCCTGACGGAGAGGCCTTAAAAAAAGACCAGGGGATCGGATTGTTTTTCCACATCTTGCACTATCCTGAACAAGTTTTCCATCCATCGGTGGATCAGTGTAATTCAACATGATTCAAAAGGATGTTTATTCTATGTCATTTGTTTCTCCCCAGCTGCACCCACCATTTGCTCGTCATGAACTGGTGATGCGGATCCCATGCCAACCTGCCAGTGGAAAACAAACTATAAGTTCATACTAGATCCATTTATAGATGCTTTACCCATCCACAAAATCCATTCCTATCCATTTATAGATGCTTTACCCATCATTAGAAATCCATTCATATCCATTCCTATCCATTCATAGGTGCTTTACCCATCAACAAAATCCATTCCTATCCATTCATAGATGCTCTAGCAATCAGCAAAAAATCATTCCTATCCATTTATGGATGCTTTACCCATCAACAAAATCCATTCCTATCCATTTATAGATGCTTTACCCATTAACAAAATCCATTCCTATCCATTAATGGATGCTTTACCCATCAACAAAATCCATTTTTATCAGTCATAGATGCTTTATCCATCGACAAAATCCTTTCCTATCCATATATGGGTGCTTTACCCATCAGCAAAAGTTTATCTCTATCCATTTATAGATGCTTTACCAATCAACAAAAATCCATTCCTATCCATTCATAGATGCTTTGATTACTGTAACCAGTGGTCATGCCCCACCCAGTAGCCGGGTTTACCAGCCTTCCTTTAGGCGTTGCCCATCAGTCCGGAAAGAATCCAGGTGGTGTGAGGCCAGCGCAGAATCGATAGGTGCTATGCAAAAAAATGAACGATATGCATATGGTATATTGTATTATGATAAATGGTATATATTGGTATACGCACTGTATATCATATATGGTATATCATCCAAAATGGTATATCACATATGGTATTTTTGCTGGTATATGATGATATATGGTAATTGTTGGATATATATATATAGTTATATATATATGATATATATGTCATATATGTCATTCACATTGTAATGCCACATACTGATACAGGTATCTATGCATGTAGGCAGCATATATCTTCATGTGGCATCTCAGCTTCGTTGGACTTCCAAAGGAAGTTCCGATGCCGGCGATTCCGGCGATGATTCTGACAGAAAAGTCGACGCCTCTTAAAGGGCAGGTCGGGGACAGCCCCAACAACTGGTTGGTGGTTGAAGAAAAATGGGATATATGATATATATATATTATTATATAATAATTATTTGGGAGATTGTAAGATATTGTGGGATATTCTCAGATTTGCAGAACGAAAACGGAGATGTTAGGGGTTATGCAACCAACAAGATGAAATTTGGATGTGTCTGAAAATGGTGTCTAACCTCAAATGGTCACGTGAATAGGGAACATGATGATAAACCATGGTATTTGGGCGGTATTCCCATCATTTTCCCAACAATTTTCAGGTACCAAAACCATCCAAAACCCATGTATTGTTGATTCTCTTTGGGATGATAATCCCGACCTTTTCGGATTCCAAGGCATGTCTTTATCCAACTGGAGATGTGCCATAGTTGTCCTAGGTTTTGGGTTGAACATGGGTCCAGTTCAAGGTGAAGGAAATGTGCCACCATCAACCCTTCGCAAGGGTGTATAAGTTGAAACCTTGGGAAGGGGGAGGTGGGAATATCAGTGGAAAAAAGTGGATGTAGAATAGCATCTTTCTTGGTTGGAATTGAATATCCTGTGGTAGAAGACTTGAAATAGAAGCAACTCACTTGGGCCAAGAAACATATCCCGGTTGGTTCTTAATTTAGGTTGTGTTATAACCGTTCAGTTGTAATTGGTTTAGCTTTGCACCGAAGGTCAAGGTCTTCCATGCTCGTTGCACGGCTTTCAAGGATCTGTGTCAGCAGCTCCTGAAATTAGACACTCCAATATGTATAGTTATAATAAATATAAACATACAATGTACGTGTATATATATATATATCTGTGTATTTGATTATAGATATTATACACTTACATGTATAGATGTATATATGTGTATACACATACACTCTAAAACACATCCTTAACAACCGCATTTAGTCACTTAACTTTTGAGCTGCCCCCCAACAGGATGCATTGGTGAGAGTCTAGATTGAAAACCAGATCCATTGTGACGCCACTGCTCCGCCACGGTGACCCCTTTTCCACGTGGCCATGGGGCAATCGATGATTCACTCTGCTCCGTGGCAACCTTAGAATGCTTAGAAAGCAGTGCTTTCTGAAAGCTGTGACCGATTGGTGGTTTTAGACAATTTTGACATATATATATATATTATACAGTGTATATATATATATGTATATATATATGTATATATATACATATAATTACTATATAGAGAGAGAGACAGTCCATGCATATATATATATGCATATATACACAATATATTCATTTATATAGATATATTTACATACACATAATATAATATATATATACACGCACATAGAGGCATAGTCATGTTTCTGTGTGTATGCATGTGTGTTTCCTGTTGTTCAGTGGTTTCAGATGTACATATATATATATTGATTTTCCATCCCCTGTGGGATTGCAACCATGCAACCCCAATGAACTCCTGTTGTCGATTGGTTGACACCAAAAAAATAGAGAGGCAGTGTTGTTTTGCATATCACCACCTATAGGGGCTTCACCACCTTAGACCACCGATCATGGATCATGATAATAGAAGTGCGCCTGTTTAATGCCTGTTTGGAAGTTTTTTTTTGTTTTCTTCGGTAATTGAATAATTCACACTTCATGTTTTATATGCATGTTTGACTGAAAGTCTATGAGTAGCTTCCATGTTGATCGGTCAAATCTCCATCATGTCCTGCTACATTTGGTAATATCCCATTGCTTGAGATCATATTATTTGTTGCCCTGTTTCAAATGGATTTCAACCAATAAGGGACATGTTGGGAAACCATTGGCATGTTCAACATGTTCCATCCAAATAACGTTGACGTTTCGGACGTGTCAACGTTCTCTCATGCTCTCTTCAATTCTGGGAGTGCGTTTCATGATGTGCTGATTTTGGAGGTGAATTGCCCATGATATATCCATATATATATAGGAGGGTATATTTTTTTAGGATTTTTTTTTGTTTTTTTTAGGTTTTTTTTTGTTTTTCAGTCTGGAGCAGCTTTCCCTGCTATTTGTTGCTCTTTGGAGCTAAAATCTGTGTTTTGCATGCATTTTGGAGCTAGGATCTCTCATTTGCGCGCCCACTTGGCTTTTGGCTTCAAGTGCCCACTTGGCTTTTTGGCTTTTGGCTTTTTGGCTTTTGGCTTTTGGCTTTGCTCGGGCTTTCTTTTGGCTTTTAGCTTTTGGCTTCACTTTGGCTCTTGGCTTTTGGTTATTGGCTTTTGGTTATTGGCTTTTGGCTTTTTGGCGTTTAGCTTTTTTGGGCCATGGCTTTTGGCTTTGGCTTCACTTTGGCTGTTGGCTTTGGGCTTTGGCTTCGCTTGGCTTCTGGCTTTTGGCTTTCTGTGGCCCCTTATCTCCTCGATAAGTCAAGAAAAGACATAATCTGGCTTTTGGCTTTTTGGCTTCACTTGGCTTTTGGCTTTGGCTTCACCTGGCTTTTGGCGTTTGGTTTTAGCTTCACTTGGCTCTTGGCTATATTGTTTTGAACTACTCCATTTTACGGGAAAGAAGGGAAATAAGACTCTTATTTCCCTTAATATACGTAAAAAAACAAATACATAATGATACTTGAACTACGTATTCCATGCTTCGGGAAATGAACGCAGGAAAATAAGACCTTTTGGCTTCGGCTTCACTTGGCTCTTGGCTTTGGCTTCACCTGGCTTTTGGCTTTTGGCTTATATACGTAAACCCTAAATAAACCCTAAACCAAACCCTGCATATAGATATATATATATATTAAATACACGTGTAAACGCACTGATCTACATATACATATAGTCATGATTAGTCATGCATATACCTTTTTACAGCTACAATTTGTAGTTTGCACATCGTGTATTTCCAAAAATAAATGAAAACTTCGGAAAAACCATGAAAACCATGTGCCTTATCTGTATTCCACATGTTTCCAGGGTGCATGTTGTGTAGTCTATACACCTTGAGTATCACATTCAACCCAGCACCTTGCATGTGAAAATGGGTGTTTCCAATCTGCTCTGCGCCCTCCCCCCCAATCCCCCCCCTCCCGCTTTTTTTAATTATTTAAATTCAAACTTGCACACTTTTCAATGCACTAGTTTGATTCGAGTATATTTATATTTATGTTTAAATATATATATATATATGTATATACATATTTACAAATACATATATATTTATGTGTATATATATATACATATTTGCATTTATATATACACTTATATATATATATTTATGCATAAATCCATATATATATATATATTCATATGTATATAAACATACATGTATACATATATATATAAGTATGTATCTATAAGTATATATAAGTATGTATCTATAAGTATATATAAAAATACACATGCATATTTACTTTTAGATATACTGACATATATATATATATATGACATATTTGTGGTTGTTTTTATACACAGCTTTGATCCCAAAATAGACTATAAATAATCACGTAATTATAGCTATTTGTATGTACATGTTGTATCCCTAAATACCCCCTAACCCAACCCTAAATAGATCCTAAACAAATCCAGAAGAAACCATTAAGCCAACCCTAAATAAACCCTAAACCAAACCCTGCATATATATATATCTATATATATATTAAATACACGTGTAAACGCACTGATCTACATATACATATAGTCATGATTAGTCATGCATATATACCTTTCTACATCTACAATTTGTAGTTTGCACATCGTGTATTTCCAAAAATAAATGAAAACTTCAATAAAAAACAATGAAAACCATGCAAAAATCAATGAACAACTCTGGAACCAGAAATGAAAACAAGTGAAAACTGAATGAACACCATGCACAAATTGAAGAAAAACATAGAAAAAATGAAGAAAACCATTGAAAAATGGAAGAACACCATGGAATATCGAAGAAACCATAGAACAATTGAAGAAAACCATAGAAAAATTCAAGAAAACCATGGACAAATTGAAGAAAACTCGATAGAAACCATTGAAAAAAAAACTGAAACCGGTCGAAAAATTGATGAACAGTGCAAATGAGAGATTTTAGCTACAAAATGCAGCAAATGAGTGATTTTAGTTGCAAAAACCAAGGAAGGGAGCCTGGACGACCAAAAAAAACAAACAAACAAAAAAATAAAAAAATCCCCAAAAAATGCGCACCCATTAATAAGTGTCCTAACTAGCCCTTTTAGGGAAAAAAAAAACGCATGTCAGGACACTTGTTGAATCTGGACTCCAACTATATTCATGTCATTTGGGTTGAGCAATTGTTGCAAGAAACTCAGACGTTTACTCGTGGGTTTCTATACATGCTTGTGCGAGAGGAACTAAAACTCTTTTCAACAAGTGTCCGGACTAGCCCTTTTCCATCATTGAAAACCCTTGTTTCAGGACACTTGTTGGATCTGGTGTGTATTGGCTTCTGGTGGTTGTGGCTTCGCTTGGCTTTTGGCTTTTGGCTTTGGTTTCACTTGGTTTTTGGCCTTGGCCGTTTTGGCTTTTATGCAGATATCTAATGGAAAATGAAGGAAAACTAAGGGAAAATGAAGGAACACTAACGGAAAATGAAAGAAACCAATTGGAAAATAAAGAAAAAACTGATAGAAAATGAAGGAAAACTAATGGAAAATGGAACATGAAAGAAAACCAATGGAAAACCAACGGAACAACTATTGGAAAATGAAGGAAAACTAATGGAAAATGAAGGAACAGTAATGGAAAATGAAGGGAAACTAATGGAAAATGAAGGAACACTATTGGAAAATGCAGGAAACGTAATGGAAAATGAAGGGAAACTAATAGAAAATGAATGCAAACTAGTAGAAAATGAAGGAAAACTAATAGAAAATGAAGGACAACTATCAAAAAATGAAGGAAAACTAATGGAAAATGGAAGAAAACTAATAGGAAACCAAAAAAAAAAGTCAAAAAAAAAAAACAAAAAAAATCCTTAAAAAAATATTCGCCCATATATATATATATATATTACATTATATATATAATCTAATCTAATATAATATAATATAATACAATACGATATAATATAACAAAATATAATATGATATAATTATATATTATATAATATATATATATATTATAATATATATATATATACATATATATATATAATTATATATTATAATATATATATATATATTATAATATATAATATATAATATATGTATATATATTATAATATATAATTATATATATGTATATATCCATTGTTAGGGTTCCTTTCCTATAACCCAACCGTTCACAATGCTCAGCCAGGGCCAGCTCGCTGCCAGGCAGTGGCCGCACAGGATACCAATATTCTGGGTGATTCACCGTCCATTTTAAAGGTCCCTTTTAAAGGTCAAACCCTCCCAGGTTTGTGACCCGTTAAGGCATGTGTTTGATGTTGTCTGAAGGTACGCCAGTGAGTTTTGTTTAAGTTCTTCGGTTGATCCAAATTGGTTCCGAAAGTAAATGGTGTTTCAAAGCTCCTACTTTACTTATTGTGCTATATATATATATTATACATGTGTATATTTATACACACCTAGGTTAGTTTGCCTTTTGTGGATTATTGTGGATTCACTTTCAGTTCTACTTGAGCAGTTCCCAAAGAAATGTTGATAATTGTTGAGTGCTTTGTTACCTTTGTCTATCTTTGTATAATAATAATATATATATACATATTATATTGGTAGTTGTTACTTATTGTTCATGTTTTATTTGATTGTATATATCATGCACAGGACATACATATACATAATACACACAATTATTGTACACAATGTAATATAATATATATATAAGTTGGGATTGTCGGAACCCAATTTTTGGAGTCCCCATGATCCAATTTTTGGAGTTCCCCTTTGCTTTGGGTCTGCTTGAGACCTTTAGAGATTGAGGGGGATGGGCTAGACATCACAATGTGAGGGAATGGAGTGCAGGGTAGCCAAGCCAGGGTTGAATTAAGTGACAGTAAAATTGAGGTGGCTGTAATCACATCACTCTCCTTATTGATCGCTAGTTAATCATAGGATATTCCCAGTCCCCCAGTTGTTTGTCAGAGGGCTCATCATAGGCTCACTTATCGTGGTACTTGGAGGAGGGAGAAACCTTTGACTAATATTCCACAGCAAATTGTGGTGTCATTGGTACGCCTGTTTTGAATTGTTTTGATCTATGGACAACCCCACAAACATATTATTGGCTCTGCAAACCCATTATATAAATCCCATTGTACATCCATGGTAGGTAATTGTGTCATAGGTATTACTGTATGCTCAAGAATCACCTCTCCCAACCCTGGAAGCTGGGCAGGTTCCAGCCTAAGTAGTGGGGAAATTCCTTCGGTGCAACCCGGATTGAAAGTGGAGGAGGGGGGGGATGGGGATGTGAGTTTCATCTTCAAGGATCTGGGTGAACTTTGGATAGGCTGGATATAGTACTTTAGTAATTTGTTTACCACATGTTTGCCACAAGTCAGGATATTTACTTACCAACTCCAACAATTGCAGGCCTGCATTGCAGGGTATCGATGGTATGATGAATCCCAAGTGGCATGGTCATTGGTTCGTTGGTTATGCCAGATCTTTGGATCGGGTTTGGTAGCAAATCCAAGACGTTACCGGAAGTACATGGAACCATCATGAACCATGAACAGAATACCCTCTGGTAATTTAACGTAGCTATGGAAAATCACCATTTTCAATGGGAAAATCCACTATAAATGGCCATTTTCAATAGCTATGTTAAATTACCAGAGGGTACCTTTGTTGATTGGTTAGGGCGGGACTTGGCGGGACTCCAGTTATAGCGACTTTACTGCCCGTCTCGTGGGGATCCCGTTTAGACAGGCACCATGTGTTTCTGTGCACCACATCACCTGCAGATGGTGGAAGAATTCCCTGCTATTGTAATAGACTTGTTCAAAGACTGATGAAATATGATGACATCATCTCTGGTGTTTTGATTGAACAGGGAAAACACACACAATGAACAGCATTTCTAGTGATTTGATGATTTCGCCCTTTAATCGATTCCTGACCCTAGGGATCACTGGCACACTGGTAATAGATTCATAGATGGTTAAGATTCGGCACCTTGGGTATCCTTTGTTTATCTGATTGATCCCCATATCCATCGCCGTCATTGGCCGGATATAGTTCCATATATTCCCATCCGCAAACGGTGGTGATAAGATGGGGTCACTGAACATTCTCATCATATTTCAATATGTTTGTGGTTGTTATCCCACAACACCCCACACAATAGTTCATTGTGTCCTGATTAAATCCACAATCCCCCAATTTATCGCGATTTATAAGGTTGGTTTGGGATGTTATCCCATTATGTCTCATTCCATCCCCATGTTTTTTGGTTTGATATTATCCCATAATTATTGATGCTTAAAGCACCATGAGCATCGTTAAAACCAACATTTATAGTACGTGCCCAGCTCACAGAGTGGGGGAACATCCATCATTTTGCTGGTTGAATCCCAGATTTCATGGACAAAACTTCATGTTTCTTCCTTGACTCCCGCGTTGACAGATCAGCATTTTTGAAAAAAATCACCAGGGCGTTCACCAGGGCGTTCACCAGCTCATCCTTAGATATCCCTAGCAGATCGGCAGGATGACCACTTCCTCCGCGGCATTCTCTTCGTTGAGAAGGCCATCTTCGCCTGTCCACTGCCTGGCAAGGCATGGATCGAGCTCGGCCGCTGGAACCCGGTGTCCTTGCTGCTGCTGGTGCCGGCCTGGTGTGGGAGCCCGGGAAGGACCAGAAAACCAGAGATGTGTGATGTATAGATCAAGGCGAAAGTGTCAAAACCAGAAGATCAAATCTAAGTTTTTTTGGGGTCAGAAACTGGTTTGTCTCAAACTCCAACCAGCTTCAACTATGTGTGTTGTTCTTGTCCAATGACCTTGCCTGAACACCTTTTTACTCTTTATGTTATGCTAAAGCGGCGGCCACGGTCGCCTGGTGCTCTCTTTCTTCAGATCATTTGCCGAAATGAGATGGTGAAGTACCTGGTGAAGTATCCAAGAAATACTCCCCGGACTTCTATTGGTTGCTTCTTTTTCTTGGCCTTTGTTCTGTGCTGGCAGAATGAAACCGCAGTCGTGGCCCCTGTGCAACTATGTGAGAAGATGTGAGAAACTACTGGGCCAAAGCCACATGAGCTTATACCCATTTGCAAGGAGTCTTACGCAAAACATGTGCAACTACAATATGCAACGGTTTCCCGTTGGACCGGTGTATGCAAAGTGTAGGTATCTGTATAGTATGATTGTTTGTTGCTGTAGGGTATGGACATGAGTTGGTGAGTATCCACTAGCCGAAATAGTCGATATGCTTGGTACTTTCACTAATATCACATTTGGATAGGCTGTAAGACACAAAAAGCCAGCAACAATGGGACCAAATGGGTAGATGAAGATCCTTGAAGATCACGTCCACATTGCTCAGGTCCTACCAAGTGTCTGGACCGGCAGATCACTGGTGGTTCGTCGCCAGGAGTGCCAACAACATGCCAAAACCTTACACGTTGAACTGCTTGTTTCAGCTGTCAGATGATGTGTCGTAACCCACCTACAGACACGTGTTATCACATGGTTCGCTTTGAACAATCGTATCCAGCCAATTTTATCAACCAAACTTCTATGTCTTACTCAGAGTTTCTAGATCGACTTCATCTGAGAGCGTTGCAGTGCGCCCCGTTCGTCTTAAGGTACTTTTACGCAGCACAGTTCTGTATGGATGAGACTGGCAAGAATCATGTAACAGGCTGGTTGAAACTCCTGCAGCCAGGGTGGTTTTTTGTAGCATTAAAATAATATATATATATAATATATTATATATATAAATTGAGATATTGTTTTTCTATGTCTTTGTTCAGATCGGCCCCCAAAAAAACATGGGATTGCTTCATACTGAGAATTAGCAGTCAGTTGTGGCTCAAAAGAATAACGACATAAGATGACGTGAGGATGTTTCTTCGGAGATTGGAGTACTAATATGCTTTTCGTTTTTCAGAAGGCGGCAGCGTCCCCTACAATTCTACTGATGCAAATAATTAGGCCTTCGTACTCGCTGGTGTATATGCATGACCTTGCAAAATGTGACCAAGAAGCCTGGGATGTCACAAGAATGCTGTGTGTATTGATTATACCTTTCCACAATATTATTATATATGAATCATATTATAGTAATTATAATTAATATATATATGTGTACATGTATGATTGTATGTACATGCCATGTTTCTCATGTATATAGATGATAGTGGTTGGTGGTAGCCATAGTTGTTTTGTTCAATCACTCCCTCGGATGGGTTAGAATTAACATTTTGAGTACTTCAATAACGTATGGCTTCTGCAAAACATCCACAAACAACACAAACTTAGTGGTCTCCTTTGCCTTTAAGTGTGAGCACATGTCTGGGATGGGCTGAACATGCTGAATCAAACCTGTTTTGGCCCTGCGTATCAGGCTCCGTCTATTTGGGACTCCCGGGTGCTGTGGCCAGCGGACTTCAATATCCAGAGGCATCCCAGATGGGGACATTTCCCCAAGATCCGAGCCACAAGTTGCCATTTTTGGAGGGTTATACAGCATCAACGAACAAAAGGGGTCGGTCAGAAGCGGGATAGTAATTACTGCAATGTACTTGATGGATTTTTTTCCTTCGGATCTTGCCCACGACTCAACATGAGATGGTTGCAGTTGGAAGCGTGCTGCATATGTCCATTCTTGCGCGACAGTGCCATATGTCGGCTGTCGGGGGCAGAGTATCCAAAACGATGTTTTTTAGCAGTAGAGCTGGTGTAGCTGGATATCTACCTGCCACTAGTTACCTGGAAGCAGAAAATCGCCGATTTTCTTGTGCTTTGCGCAATCTACTCGGACATCTATGCAATTTTCATATATGTTCATCATTTTTCCAGCAGGTCCTCGGGATTGTCCATGAGGTTATAACCTAAAAGTGACAGACTGGTCAGCAGGTGGGGGATCATGACAGAAAAACATGATTCCATTTAGAATATAATATATATATATAGGATACCCCAAGAGTTTACAACCCGCCCATATAAGTACTTTTACTGTATCATTTATTTTATCTGTTTGTATCATATTGTTTTATGTGACTATGGTAGATCATATCATTGTATCCAGTTATAAGATGTTATAAGTTAAGTTATAAGTATGTTATAAGTTATATGACATTCTATGGTCTGTTTGACACACATCACTCCAGTTGCTTTTATCACCATTACCATACGCTAATCTAACACAGTTTGCTGGAACATTATTCCTTGTATATATATATATATATACGATGTTGCTCCCAGCTCTAAACCTCCGTTTCGTTCGGGGGGAATTCCCAGCGGCCCGCCATGTTTGATGACCATGGTATGGATGACCGACTGCCACAGGATGTCGTAGACATCGCTTCCCAAATCCTTCAGGCGCAGTGTTGGCTTGCGAGAGAGTGGGCACCCTGCCGACAGCCGCGGGCCAAGCGCGATTTGGACAGGCCGCGAGTTCTTTTTCCCACGACCTGGGGATAGGTACCCAACCTGGGGTCAACATGGGCCGCTGGGAACAATGTGGCGTGGCAAGACTTGGCAAGTTCTGAGAATGCTAACCTCACCATAAATGATGGTTCATTACGGATCATCCCAAGCCAATTGCTTGTTCCTGCTTGGGTGTCATATAGCAATTAAAATCCCCCGTTGCCCGTTGGGTGGCCGCCAAATTTGGCTCACACCACACAAAATGTGAGGCAACTGTCAGGCTCCAAAATTCCATTCAAACCCCTCAAGACAAATCTGGACATGGATGAGGAAAAACCTTGTTTTTTTTGTTCAATCTTGTGGTTAAAGAATCCAAAAGAATCCTTGGCCAACTGCGCCCCGTGATGAGAGTCATTTAATACATCTCCGAGTCGGCAATGTTTTGAGATCTGGCATGCTTGCAAGGATCAGTATTGCCAAGCTGATAAGTGATTGAAGATATGGTGTTTCACAGGGGATGACCATCCCATACAGTTTCCAGCTGAGCAGGCTGCTGATGAAGAATCCCTCAGCACAGCTGCCCTACAGTTGGATGGACAACAACTGTCAACACTTCGCGGTGAACCTCTACGTGAGGAACTTAGACTTGGACATTTCAAGTGCCATTTTGGGACATCCGATGGAGAGTACCAGAATGATTCGGACTCAGTACATTTTGTGAGGCTTCTAATGACCATCTACGAATCTACAGATAGGGATCTTCCACATCTTCCACTGTCAGGCTTGATAGTTGGTTCATGTTGGTTCCACATTCCAAGTTTCCTCCATCGTTCCACCCAGGAAGGTGATCATGAACACATTGTTTGATGAGCCCGCCCAAAGGGCGGGCCGGCCTGGCGCAGCGATGAGAAGTTTGGAAAGAACGCCGAATTTGAGTGGTGGAGCACTCGTTTAAAAGGCACTGTTTGAAAAGTTGAATGGTAAAAACATCAAGACTTACCGAAAGACAGTGAGTCTAAAAGGTGCAAACTTGAAGTCGCTCCAGCCAAGAGCTAGAAAGACATAGACAGCAGGCAACCAGGCAAGAAGTTCTTGGTTGCGAAACAAGTGGTTCCATCGGGCTTTTCTGAAAATGGGCTGACCTTGTACAACTGTCTCAAAAACAAAATGCTTGTTTTACGAGGGTGTAAACCAGTGCAGGTCCGTCCAATTTTCGGAAACCATGACACTTAGGGAAACAAACCTCCAAGATCTCAAAGTGAAAAAGCTACTGTAAGATACACTTAGTTAATTGCGTAGAATCTCTTGGTTGTATCCATTTGTATCCATTTGTTGGTTTCCCGGAGGGTACTGTAGATTACGCTAGTGTTTCTGGCCCACGTCGAAAAGAGCATCAATGGCAAGTTTGCCAGGGTCCGTGAAAACATCCCTTCAGCAAGATGACCGGAGCTGTTTCCACAGATTGCCATGGAATTTTCGTCATGCCTTTGTTACCTCCTTCCCGCATTCTTCCCGCAATCAGTGGCCGGCTAAGAAGGCCCTTATTGAGGCTTCATGTTGAAGAAAGTCGGCCCTTCACAGGGCCAACCATGGAGGGCAGTTTCCAGAGTTTCCATGTCGGATGTTTTGGCTCAGAGAACTCGTGGCTTTGCGGAACTTGGCGCTCACCAGAGGACATGCCGCAACCATCTGGGACCTCGGGCTGTCAACAGAATTCCCCGGTTTGGGTTGCATTTGGCAAGTCATACTACGCGGCAGCTGCGGTTTTGCATGTACTTGAAAACTAGTATCAATGAAATGAATTAATCCCCAAAGGTCCAGTGCTATGGAATATATATAATAATAACAATAATAATAATACTATAGTAATAATAATAGTAATAATAATAATAAAATACATTAATAATAATTAAAATATCAATTTAATATATGCAACATATCAATTTAATATATGTTCACAAAACGAAATATAAGAAAATACGATAGTAAAATGTAACATGTAATGTAATATCAACAAATAAATATAACACAATATGATATGATTCATATGATATGATATGATTCACATGATATGATATTATTCATATGATATGATATAATATTATATAATAAAATAGATTCATAGATATGATATAATACAGTATGATATGATAAATAGATCATACATGGTGAAAGCCCTAAGTTGTCTCAGGCAGCACTTTGTTGTCTCATCTCGGTGTGCCATGCGAAAGATGTGACACAACCATTGGAATGAAGTTGTCATTTGGTATGATCTTTACAGCACAACGCATAGGCACGCAAGGATTCTTAACATTGCAAACATTAGTTATATCCATTTGCCTCCCTAACAATCTCTGGGTTACTTTTATGGAGTTTATGATATGATAAATTATTGAATAAGTTTTAGTAATATATTATAATGCATACAGGAAGGTGCCCCCAAGTTATAACTTAGTTATGGAAGTTAGAACTAAGTTATGGAAGTTAACTTGAAGTTATGTTAACTTATCTTAGAGAATTTACAACATAAGTTATAACTAAGATATATCTTTCGTATCTTTTTACAGAGTATGATTTGTGATTTTTCAAGTAGGGAATGGAAATCGATGTGCCAAGTTAAGATTTGCAGCGAAAGGCATTTTTTGTATGCTCCAGCCATGCATTTCAAGGTAAAACAATGAAAGTATCATCTTTGGAGCTTATCCATGTGGGCAGACATGCGTTGGGCAGTGATGCCCAGTGGACAAAAGTCTTTTCGTTGGTCCTCTGAAATATTCTGGTTGCAGCTGTTCGCGTGCGCAGCAATAGCTTCGAAATGTGCAAGAGGAGTTGGCCGTGGCGGCACAGGAAGAAATTGATGATTGCTGCGTCAGTGCGATGAGGATTCCAAAGCAGGACGTCGCCTTCTTTGAGTTCAAAAAGATTGAACTTGCATCGTGAGCTGAGGCAACTATCTTGAATCCCTGTGGTTGCCTCGACCTCTTCAGCAGAAAAGGGGTTGATGAGAGCAAAACCTTCAGGTAGAAAAGGCGTCGCATTGATCATTTCGACAAGGCGTAGCAGCAGTCGTGGCATGAGGTGACGACTAAAGGCTTCGTCTGATTCACCATCAATCAGGAATTGATCCACCATGTCGGAAAAAAGTCCCTTGTAGTTTTGATGCGCCGACTCGACACCCCAGCAACTAATCGAAAATCCAAGTCGTTCATATTGTCGGCCAAGATGAAGCCTATGGTGGTGTTTTGGCCTGATATAGTCAGGCCAAAGCCTGGCGAATTGCTTTTGGTGCTCCTCTTGTGCTTCGTTGAACTGAGACCAACCAGATTTTTCATCACATAGATAGAGTGCGTCGGTGCAACAGCACAATTGTAGAAAGCTTTCTGCGACCTCCTTTAGTTCCGGCTGTCGCAACCAAAGAACTTCACAGATCCAGCGCAAGAGTGGCAAGATGTTGTGCGTCTGTTCCGCGGATCCTTTGTAGCTTTCCTGCCCAAACAACGGCTCTCCAAACAAGCGGTTGATTTCCGATTTGCCGGTTAGACTGATTCGTCTTTGCCAGCCAGCATCTTTGACTGCAGTGCATAATTGCTGCGTGGTGATTCTTGTGTGTCGGTAAGCTGTGTTGAGCAGCAGGGCGATCTCTGTATTGACGATGCCAGTAGAATAGTAGTTGTGCATTGCATCGTTGAGTCCGATGGACAATGTGAAGTGCGCTCGTGCGACCGGACAACCCCAGACACCAGCATCATCCAAACGATAGCCCAGGCAGCGTTCTCTCATGTCCATTTCTTGTTTTGACATGAGATTTTTCTGCTGCATCCAAGCGACAATCGTGTCGCGCAACTGCGCCGCGTCATACTGCTTGAACGCAGAATAGTCATGCTCAATGATGGTGACGAAAGATGCGTCTCTGTTTGGCGCATCACTTCCACGCATCACAACGTTGGCGCAGAATAAACATGGTTTCAAGCCAGCCGAACCCTTACAGCTGTACGCTGCCCGTTGACTTTCTCCATCACTGAGGAATGCTTTCAGGGTGACCGTCACGGCAAGATTTTCTCTGACATGGAACGGTGCATCTAATCCTTGCGCCACCCATTCGCGGACGAAGGCCGCCGTGGCGCCCCCCAGGCCACCTTTGCAGGAAGACAACTGTGCATGCGTGAGCGCAGCAACTGGTAGCCAAGATCGGCTACTTGCAAACGTGTCACGCAGCAACGAAAATGTAACGTAGAATAGACAGGTTTTTTGCCTTTGCAAAGGGTTCAAGACGTTGCCCGCTGTGCACTCATCGTGCGCCAGGATAGCAGTCAGTGCACACGCTCCAGGGGTCCGGACAAGAGCTGCGAACGATGCGCAGCGATCCACCAGAAGGGTTAGCATTTGTTTCATATTGGCCATATAAAAGACTATGTCTTTTCGACCTTCGACCGCGTTGGGAATGCTAACTTCTCGATAGCATGACCGGAACGGCCCTAGGACTTGCGCAGCTTTTCGCTTGAACGCGCCCGACTTCTGCTTCGGATGTTCTTGCCCAGCAAGCAATTTCTGGATCGCATAGACACTGCGTTCACTGTACCGTGCCATTGCCTGCTGCAGGCCGGCAAGGTCGATCTCATGTCTGCCATGGGGACGGCTACTCATTGAGCAGTATGTTTTTACAAAAACTAGTATGCTGCAAATGGCTGCAAAGTAGACATGACTGTTAATTATGGGCATGAGCTGGGGAAAGCAACACTCACTTATAAGGTAGGAAAGGGTAGACAGAGGAAAAGGCGGAGGCTTACGATTATTTTTTTCCACGCCTGCTGGGTAACCTCGTGGTGAACTGTTAGACCGCCAAGTGATACTCTAACGTTTCTAAGAAGTCTTGAAGCCAATTCCAAGGCTCCCCGTCAAATGCCTTAGCATGAAGGGCCAGGAAGCGTAAGCTGCTTTGGATTTCCTCCAGGAACATCATGCGATTGGGATGCTTGACGTTCCATACGGAATTGCCTCCGACCTTTGGCATCTTGGCAAGCGGCAAGGTTTGCATTGCAGGCTTCAAATAAGTCCAGTCGAACAGCACGGCTCGCAGTGTGTACAAACAGCAATGACAAAAAGACACCGCATCGCTGTGATCTTGATAGATCGGATTCACGGAAATCTGTCCCAAGATTTCCTTCATGACTTCGACAGCATCTGCTATGTCGTGCAATTCTGCCTTTGTCTTTGCTGTTTCGCGGAGCGCGGACGCTACGCTCTGCGCGATCGTAATCGCACACAGAAGTGCCATGACGTCACCGGGAAGGCTTCTATGATTAGTGCGGGCGTTAGTTCGAACCAAAAACTCGATGACGGATAATATATACATGTTACGGCTGCCATTGGGACGACGTGGGAGAAACGACATATAATATTTTCTGTGCAAACTTTCAACAGACACTATATGAAACCTTTCCATGATTGATTTCGAAATGTACAAGACTGTTTTGACTTTAAGTGTATTGCACGCTACCTGGACACAAACATACAACAATTTTCATGCCCGATTGCGCTACTGCTGTCGAATTGACCGGTGCAGCGATGCTACGACTAAAAGTCTTCAGAGCAGTGCGTCACTGCTACTGGAAATCCCATGTCGAGGGTCTCAGTGTGAGTCCCCGCCAGGCGCGAACCGTGCAATTCACGCAACATAGCGTACTCCGACAACCAGAGCAGCGTGTCAACAAACACGTGCTCGTTTTCTTGGGCAAGTCAGCCGTTCATTTCTTGGCTTTTGCTTTGGCAGCTTTCTTCGGCAAATTTTCCGTGTTGACTCTAATGAAAGCTTGCGCCATGCGAATGGCGGCATTCCCATCCTTGACCACGGTACCCAGGTCCTTGTCCGTCGCCAGCTGGTCGCTGGGCACCACACTGAGGGACCCGCCTTTGGCCGTTATTCCAAGGAGCTTGGTGCAATTAGCCAAAGCTGAGTCCAGTTTTATCTGGGCAGCGTCCAACTGTTCTTTGCTGGCATCCGGGAGAGCCACGACAGAACTCAGCTCTGCAATCTTCTCATTGCAGCCAGCCATCTTTTCGTGACATGTCTTCAGCGCCGGGAGCAGCTTTGCGGCTGCGGCGCATGCTGCCGTCTCCGTCTTCCGTCGCTTTTTGTCTGCCATGCGCTGTGCCTTTGCTTCCTCCTGCAACGCCTTCTTCTCATCAGGTGTCTTTCTTTTTTTGCCACCCTGCGGCGCGTCTTCAGGCGCCTGTGGCAAGTCCATTGGCGCGGACAAAGGGGCTGCTGGCGCAGTGCGGGCCAGCACCCTTTCGCGCGCATCCGCCTCCATCTGCAGGATCCGTTGCTCCGTGACAGAGTGGATGCGCTGCACACTAGTCGATTCAATTTCGACTTTGTAAGTCTTGCCCAGCAGCGGGTGGTCGCGACATTCTGCGCTAGCTTCAATCTTCTCAGTGTTGTAACCCTTCAGCTCCCAGAAGCTTAAGGGCTGAAACTGGCCGGTTTCCCCTTCCGAGGAAACCTTGGAAGCCGATTCTATCATTTCCTGCTTCAAAACTCCACGTGCCTGGCTGTAGGCCAGCCGCTGGTCCGCGGAGTTCATGCGAGCCAGCTTACACTTCTGAAAGAATACCGTCGACTCCGTTTCGGTCAACACGGTCTTGAGTTCCACCCCGTGACGGTTCAACTGAGTAATTAGCGCGTGGCATGCTTTACATGTCCAGCGCAAATCCGCTCTAAACTTGTCCTGACACAGGGCTTCCTTCGGATCCGTTTCCTGGTTGCAGCGGCGGCACACCACCTTCTCTGCCACCGGCGACGGCTCGCTGCAGTCAGAATCAACGGTTGCAAGTGCGGCTTCGTCCGTAGACGCCGCACTTCCCGTCGAAACTTCCTTCTGCAGCTCCCCGTCCACTGCAGCCACATCAGGCGTCACAGTAGCCATTGTGTGCAGAGCGCTTTCAGACGCACTGAACTAGAGGCCAAAGTCGCTTTGAGACACGGAAAAGCTGCGGCAACAGCGTAAATCCACAAACACATAAAAACACATTTCTCATACACACGCGTTTCCTGCTCATGTATGGTATTAGTTGGGAAACACATGCGCGTTTCCTACCGTGTCTCTACCTTTTCCCTGGAAACACATGCGCGTTTCCTGTTTCTGATGGAAACACATCCCAATTTCAAACTCAGCATGTAAACAGTGGAAACACATTCCTCATACATACGCGTTTCCATGTTACATGTTACGCTTCTGCTTGTAAACACATACGCGTTTCCGTACTTTACTCTGTTTGGGGTAAAAACACATGCGCGTTTCCTATGTGTTTATGTTTGTTTGCCAAAAACACATGCGCGTTTCCCCTTTCGTTAAGTTTGTTTGCAAGAAACACACGCGCGTTTCCACCATTCCCCATCCCTTCAAGAGATATGTGCACCCCATCCTTTTTTTCCGCAGATCCGCAGTTCTGTTGGCGATGTAGTCATCGCAGTCTGTACAAAAAGAAGGGGTTCCATGCCACAGCGCTCACATGCCACAGTTGCTTGCTGTTTCCATTGCTGTGCGGAGCAAGGAGCTGAACATTGCCACGCGGTTCTCTTGGTCGTTGGCTTTGGGATTTGCCGGAACCGCCGCCGATTGCTTCAGAACCGTGCGACTCTTCTCCGGCTTCTTCTCGCGAGGCTCCTCAGCTGCTGCCTGTGTGGCACTGGCTGCTGCAGATGTCTTCTGCGTCGGGTCCTTGGAGTCCTCTGGCGACGAAGCCTCGTCGTAGGTATAAGTATACTCAGAGGATCCGTGCGTCTCTTCACCTTGCTGGCGCTGCGACTCTTCACGGCGCGCATCTTTCCCCTTGCTTCCCTGCGCAGCCGCAGGGCGGCTGGACTTTCGCACCTCTGCCGCGCGCACGCGGTGTTCCTTCTCAGTTTTCACACGCTGAGAGTCTGCGTTCTTTCCATCCCCGCTACGATCGCGCTTGCGACGACGCGCGCGACTGGTCTCTTCGTCCTGATCTCCCGTGTCCTTGCGCGACGACCGGCGCTTCCGATCCGGACTGCGTCGCTCACGACGATAGTCCTCTTCGTCGTAGCGCCTGTCCCCATGCTGGCGCTCACGACCAGAACTCTCAGCACGCAGCTTGGGCGGTGGACCCTTTGGCTCATTGGGCATCTCCTTCAATCGCACCGTCTGGCCAGAAGTCCACTTTTGCCACTCCTTCTGGATCTCATGGTCTGCAAGCTGGAAGCACTGCTCCGTGGACCCATAGCCTCTGTTGTATAGGCGATGGGCGCGACAGTGCCGCGAATCCCAGTGTTGATCCCGCGACGTGCGATTGTCCTGTATGACTCTGTAGCACTCAGGACATTCAAACGTCCCAGGCGTGCCAGCAGCGCGGCGATTGCGAACCGCTCCTCCACCAGCAGAGCGGGTTCGCACCGCACGCGCTTTGTCCTCGAAAGAATCCTTCCTCGTTTCTTTCTTCTCCGGCACCTCTTGCTTCCATTCGTCCCAGCGTCCTGGCTGTTCCCCTTCTGTGGCTTCTGGCGCAGCAGACGGCGCCTCCGACTTCTCAGGCTTCGAAGGCTTCTCGTCTCCTTCTTCCTTGCGGCTCGGACTGCGCTTTGCCGAGCGACTGCGAGACACGCTCGACGACGCCATGCTGTAGTTCCACCTGCAGCCGGGAACAAAGAAACAAAGATAGGCGGATGTATGGCAATGTATATTTTTTGGCATATATATAGATATACTTCCTGTATCTATAAAATATATATATATATTACATATATATATATGGTGATAAGGAAGCAAACGCAGCAACTGCAGCTTGGACTCGCTGGCCCGCAGGCGCAGCTTCGTAACTTGCCCGTAGGCGAAGCTTGCAGCAGCTGGCCCGCAGGCACAGCTTCGTAGCTTGCCCGTAGGCGAAGCTTCTCAGCTTGCCCGCAGGCGAAGCTTGCAGCAGCTGGCCCGCAGGCGCAGCTTCGTAGCTCGCCCGCAGGCGAAGCTTCTCAGCTTGCCCGTAGGCGAAGCTAGCTGGCCCGCAGGCGCAGCCTCGTAGCTTGCCCGCAGGCGAACCTTGGAGCAGCTGGCCCGCAGGCGCAGCTTCGTAGCTTGCCCGTAGGCGAAGCTTCTCAGCTTGCCCGCAGGCGAAGCTTGGAGCAGCTGGCCCGCAGGCGCAGCTTCGTCGCTTGCCCGTAGGCGAAACGTCTCAGCTTGCCCGCAGGCGAAGCTAGCTGGCCGCTGGCCCGCAGGCGGAGCGCGTTTACTTGTAACCCTTATTGGTATATCCCTTTACTCCTATATATAATCAAACCATAGATGCATTATATCCACCCCTGCAGCTCCGGCCTCGCGTCCTCAGTAGAAAGCCGCAAGGCAACACAGCGACCGAGCGGCTGATTTGAGCCAAAGGAACACAAGCATTCAACTCAACATAAACCCCGTCCAAGTCAACAAGGTAGCAAACAGTTTCTGCAAGTTAACTTTAAATCCCCCATACCCCAAAAAAAAAGCACAACTTCTTCTCTGCGCCCATAACTGCGACCACATGAGAAACCTTTTCTCTCATCTTCGAGCGGCATCAAAAGTACGGATGCGTTCATGCACCGTCACCAATGCATTGCGACGTGATCAGGTATCATCTAGATCGCACAAGTATAAGTACATGCGCGCCAGATCGAGTGTCTCATCTGCAGCCTTTCTGTCAAGATCCGGATCCATCCGCAGAGCATCAGTTAAAGCAAGAAGCTTTTGATAAATTGGATAATCATCTAAGTCGTTGAACTCTTCTGCGCACTCAACGCGTTCCTCTATCTCCTTCATGCACTCTTTCGCAGCAGCATGAACAGTGCGTCGCCAACCCTGGAGACATGGCTGTGGCTCTTTCCTCTCCGTCTTGTCAACGACAGGCATCACTTCCGGAGTCACTGGCGCGACTTCCGGTTCTTTTTCCTTCCACACTTCCTCCAAAGCTTTGCTATCGATTTCCACTCGCTGCGGACCACTGACGACCGCAATTGTACCGTCCTCACAGGTTGTCAAAGTGATTTCTTTCACTTCCATTGAGCTTGATGCAGCCATGCCGACAGAAAACGGGCAAAGCAAAAAAAACTTCACAGCAAAGCCAAAACACCTACCACATGAACCTATCAAGGCAAAAAAAGCCGCAGAACAACATGCACAACACGCACGAAGTAAAACAATTTCATATATATGGAGAAAGAGAATATAAGAAACATATCTTTAAATTTCTCAAAACGAACCTACGGAACAAGAAATTGAACTGCACCTTTTCCAAGCAGCATCCGCATCTCGAGGATCAAAACTTGGACGCTTTCGCCAACAGCGCTTGTCAAAAGTACAATTTAATCTGACTGAAGATGAACTCTATCAAGTCAACACTTCATAGCCTCGCTTCTTCCAGCACGAAGGACAACAGCCAGGCGTCTTACGGCAAGTGGCGCATCCATGTGGACGCTGCCTCATGCGCTGTGCTTTGGTCACTGTTTTCTGCACAGATGGCTTACTCTGAGGCATCTGTTTTGCAGATGGCTTCTTCATACAAACAACTTGACGTGACGTCTCCTCAATCGAAACCGATGGAGAGCTCACAGCAGCCGCAGGCTTCTTCTTTGCGTTCGGCATGCCCGGCTTTGCAGCGGGGCGCTTCAAAACGTTCGGCGGTCTACCACGCGGCTTCGGCGGCCGTGGCTCCATGTCCAAATCTTCTCGATAGTGCGCCTTAGCCAATTGAGCCACGGCAGAAGCAACTTGCGGAGGCGCTTGCTTCACCAGCACCGCATCAGCTCGTGGAGCCTCCCCATCGTCTTTCGCTGCTCTTGGCAACTCCTGAGCGTCTCGAATGCTGTCTCCCGTCACCAATGGCTGAGCAATGTCAGCGCGTGAGGCACTTGGCTGTCCATCCACACCCGCAACATTCCCCTGCTGCACTGCTTCAGGGCGCCCGTCCATAATCGCAAGCGGAGCTTGCGCTGGTGCGGGCATTGCAACCGAGGCCACAGATGCAGCTTCCATCTCATGCCGCTGCAACAAGTTCTGCAATTGACGAGGCTGTGATCCATTGCTTGGAACCAAACGATTCCCCGGAAAAATCTGCAAATTCGACAAACCTCCCTGAGTCTCAGCAACAGGCATGCGCAAGGCCGCGGATGCCACTAATGCAGCAGCTTCCACAAGCTGGTTGGACATTACTCCAGCAGCTCCTCCAAACTGCAAAGGCTGTTGCATCTGCCTCTGCAGTGCAACTGACCTATGAGTGTTGCGCAAAGGAATGCCTTTGGCATGTTGCAGCACCTCCGCGACATTCACTGCATCTGGCGGCGCCACAATAGCAACGCCAACTAAATGTTGGCGAACCACGGCCGGAAGTTCTGCGAAGGTCGAGGGCAACACCTCGACATGCAACCCACCTGGCACAGCCAAACCTTGCTGCGCAGCACGGCAAATCGTGGTCCGCAAAACTGTCTTCAAGGTTTGCAGAGAAGCAGACAAACGACTGGAATCCATCTCAGTGCGACAAATCAATGCGCACATGACTGCCATGGTCTGCTCTGAAGGGTTTCTCATACCTAAAACATTCACCAAGAATCTGCTCAGTCTCTCCATTCGATTCTTTTGCGGCAACCCTGGAGTTTCTTCCAAATGCTTCCATATTTCTTGGGTCAAGAAGAATGGAAAATTGCGCCAATCTTGCATGTGCGCACGTCCTGGCACACTTTCAAGTGCCACAGCCATCGCAGCATAGAAAACCCAGCGACCAAAGCCAAAAAAAGGCTCCGAAATCAGAAACGAACTGGATGCCCAAAATGCAGACATGCAAAACCTAACTTTGCTAACTTCTTTATATCTTTTTTTCCGTTTATGTTATAAGAAAGTTATAACTTCCTATCTGACTTATAACTTCCACATGAGTTATGAAACTTATAACTCAAGTTACCCCCAGTTATAACTTAAGTTATCCCTATTTATAACTTAAGTTATAACTTGGGGGCACCTTCCTGTACTATATTGTTATTAATTATATATGATGTATATAGTATGAGAGAAAACAAGATATGTTTTGACATATTGTTTTAATATATAATATTGTCTTTGTAATATTCATCTATAAAATAGTGATACAACATTTCATCACGTTAACATACATTTTATGGTGTTTTATTTGCTCATTACCTCATATTTCATTAGATTACGTTATATTATATTATGTCATGCTAAGTGTTGTTATATGTGATTACATCATATTGTAGTATACTAGTTTTCACAACATATATGTTGTTCTATTGTATCATATTATCTAATAGTATTTTTTTATTATCTCACATTTTATGGTACTATAAGATATGTGAAAACATTTTTGAATTATATCATACCAACTCATAGTGTCTTAATTTATATTATTTTATAGTGCATATAGTCCATTATAATATAATATGTTGTGTATATATATACATGTTTTATTGTATATTATTGTTTACTATGTTATTATATCATGTTCTATTATTTAATAATATATTGTCATTTTTGTTAATATAATGTAATTACAACTGTTTAGTTATATTATGTTACAGCATTTTTTAAACGATGATTGATATGTTATATTCTTTTGTGTCATATCATGTCGTATTATACTATACTATATGATACATTTTATTGTGTGTCTTGTGTTTTAGTACGTTATATTATGTTAGATGTCGTTATATGTGTTTATATCATATGTATTTTAGTATATTTTATCATGTTTTATTGTATCATTTTATTTAATAGTATCGAGTGTTTTATTATATCATATTTTTTTGGTTTGAATTATAGGATATTATTTGATATGAATTGAATATAATATAATTTAATATAATATAATATGGTATAATATGATATAATACAGTTCAATACAATACAATATATTATATATATACAATATCATATTGTATTCTAATATTTTGTATTGTATTATATTATATAATATTATTCCCCACCTGCCAGGTGAGGGTTGTTAGATTTTATCACAGCTGTTCCGGCTCCTCCTCCTCCTCCTTCTCCACCTCCTCCTCGTCCTCCTCCTTCTCCTCCACCACCTCTGCCTCCACTTCCACGTCCACTTCCGCCTTGCCAACTCTTCGCCAATCTCTTCGCCAACTTCCGCGCGCAGTGGGCACTGCTGGACCTCAACTGCCGGCTTCCGTTCTGAGTGGGCACGGCTGGACCTTAACCGCAAGGTTCTGAGGGCAGTGGGCACCGCTGGACCTCAACCAGGGACCTCCCGAGTTCAGTGGGCACCGCTGGACCTCAACCTGGGACCTTCCGAGCTCAGTGGGCACCGCTGGACCTCAGCGGCCAGATGGAATGCCAGAATATATGCCAGAAAGACTGCCAGAATATATATGCCAGATAGACTGCCAGAATATATGCCACATAGAATGCCACATAGAATGCCAAAATATATGCGAGAAAGAATGCCACATAGAATGCCAGAATATATGCCAGATAGAACGCCAAAATATATACCAGATATCCTGGTGGCCATTTCCTCTATAAAATGGTCGCACCCGGGTACCCTGCTAAACAATTTTGTTCAGGCACTATAAAATGGAAAACAGAATGTTTGGAGTGGTTCTTGAATGGTTTATCAGGATATGTATATCTATTTTCTTTTTGGGCAAGTACTACTTTATAGAGGCCACTTGGGGTCTTACTGCAGGAAAGCTGTTCATTTAGTAGGGGTGGCACAGGCCTCCACTTTATAGCACAATGTTGGCTGTGCAATGTTGTGGTGCTATTTTATAGATAGGGTGTTTCGATGTGTGGTGTGGCTGAACTTCCACTTTATAGAGTGCCCGTTTGCATTGTTTTTTTCAAGGTTTTGTATCAACATGTATCAACACAATTTGATTGCAGCGGTATAAAGCGGTATGCCGTCCGTTGCAGCAATGCCAGCAAGCTCAAAACTGCACTATATGCCTTTATAAAATGGTAGGAGAACCTCTCTTTTCAACCAGGACCACTATAGAATAGAAAACTGCACTATATGTCTTTATAAAATGGTAGGAGAACCTCTCTTTTCAACCAGGACCACTATAGAATAGAAAACTGCACTATATGTCTTTATAAAATGGTAGAACAACCTCTCTTTTCAACCAGGACCACTATAGAATAGAAAACTGGATCTGAAGGGAACGGTTCTTGGGCAGGTAGCCTTAGACGGGGAGACATCAGGGAAATGCCAGGGTAGACAGCCAAATCCAGTTGAAAAGAATCCAACAGAATAAAGGATGATCCAAAAAGTAAATCCATTATGTAGAGATATGTAGGGTACTGGGAGCAGCCCAGCCAACAAACTTCCATTTTATAGACAGAGAAGTGGGATATATACAGCCTGAGAACACGGGAAGAAAAAATTGGCTGGAGCCTGCTGCAGACTTGTGATTTGCCACTTTCACCTCTATAAAATAGAATCCAACCAGAGACAGAAATGCAATGAAATGCAATGAAATGCATAAGTTCCATCAAGCTGGAAAATGGTTTTTGCGACTGGTTTGGGCAAGGAGCATTTTATAAAGATGATTTTGGAAGCCTTGCTGAGAAGTGTGGTTTGCAAAAATGAAACCTGGGTACCTTCCAGTTTATAGGCCTGTGATTCTACAAGTGTACCCCAAGGAGTACTTTATAGAGGGAGTACCCCCCTGACAAACCATTTTAGCATTATAAAATGGCAGCTACCCAGGTTCCACCCCTAATTTACACATGGATTACCAGATAAAATGCTGGAAGATATGCCAGATAGAATATCAGAATAGATGTTTAATAGAATGTTAGGTAAAATGTCAAAATATATGTCAGAATATATGACATGAAATGCCATGGTGGGGATCACTCGAAGTAAAATTATTATGTATTTTTTAAAAGATTAAATAATATTAGTTGATATATATATATATATAATATTTGATATTCTTGACATACATATGTATTTAATATGTATACATGTGTATATATATATATAAACATTTACTTCCAACATGGTTCGGTATTGTAGGTGTGTGTATATACATATATATATATATATCGTACATGGTTATACATAGAGCAGATGGGCAGGAAGGAATGGCGCGCCAATCTGGGTATGACCGCCACATTACCATCTTTTCGCCCGAGGTGCCGGGGCAAGTGCCAAATTTGTCACCCCTTCCATAGCCAACCATTCAACTATTGCCCAGCTCCATATGGCTAAATTGGTTGGTGTGGAATATGTTTTTCTCAACTCCAGGTTGGGTTGATGATACTGAATCCAACTGACTAATTAGTCTGTTTTTTTGGAGTATTCCGGGACCAGCAACCAAAATCAGAAAGTACAGCCCTGGATTTCCGGGCATCTCGTTCTCCTGGACAGGGCCGCTTGCACCAAGTAGAGTATGCGTCCGGGGCTTGGCTGGATTCGAAGTGAGAACTTGTGGCACTCCCAGCAATGGTTTTTGAGTATATATATAGTGTTTTTTTGCCATATACATCAATCCAAGGATCAATTTGATTGTTTGTTTGTGTTTTTGGACGATGGATGCCTGTGGCAGGGTTTCTCTTTGTGTCAGGCCTTGCTGACTATGGAATGGTGGGTGATTCCCCTTTAAAGTCCCGAAATTCGCTGACCCACTCATACCTGAACATTCCTTCGATCAATTATATTTGGTAGTTTTGCATAGTTTTGCAGTATGACCTAAATTGCCCAGTTTTCAGAATCTCGTCTAATTTTACTAGTTTGCCTGGTTTTGCTTCCTAGTGGCCACACTATCACCACAAGTGACATTTTGAATATGACTGAACATGGCCTGCATCCTGGCTGCGTCGCAGGGACATACCAGGCCATTCTCATATCCCGAGCACCAACGCATATAAATGCACATAGCTGCGCCCAAAATTACCCGCAAAACGCCCGCAAAAATCCGCAAAATGCCCGCAAAAACCCGCAAACACCTGCAAATCCAAGAATCTGGTAAATTTGTATAATTTTGGGAGCGCGCAATTAAACAGAAACCAGCTTGGATGTTCAAATTGAAAGCAAAATACTGGTGAGAAGACTGGGAGGATGGCCATTCCGATGGGAAACACAGCCATGACATACCACGCCTAACTTTTTGGGGAAACGCTCGATACGACCATAAATTTGATGAAACGCCTGATTGTGCAAAACGACTGATATTTTTTAGGAGTTGGAAGGCCCAGGTACCATCAAGTGACAGACTTTAGGAGTTCTCAAAGACAGGACATAGCTGGCGATTCCACCGATTTTTACGAATTTACTTTGAATGCTGCATGTTTCGAGACAGATTGAGAGGCTGAGAGGGTATTGTGGTAACCCGAATAAGAAACCATCCCATTCACCAACTATTTGGGGGTCATTTTACATCATCCCAGTGCTAGGGGTATACCCAAGAATAAACCCCAATTAGGGATGGTGGATCTGAAGTTCTGAAGTGATCTGAAATAATGGCTGATCGTTTGACCTGCAGCCAGCTTCAGTCCGTATGTTTGATGCTCCTTGGGTTGCCGGTAGCTACCTCCCAAAATGGAGGGCTTACTCTCTACTACGAGCGCGAACCACATCTGGGCTTTGAGTTTTGACACAACATTATCTACAACAACAACATCATCATGATCATAATATTCCCTATTATAATCTTACCTATTATCATCTTACTTATTATCATATTCCCTATTATCATATTCACTATTATCATTTTCCCTCATCATCATCATCATCATCCTCCTCCTCATCCTCATCCTCATCCTCATCCTCATCCTCATCCTCATCCTTCTCCTCAGTACTATCATCAAGCAGGTGAATAATCTCATCGAACCAGTGAAACCAATCAAGACACAGGGCTGGAGGTTTGGACTCATTGTTCTCCCCAGTTGCTCGGATGACTGTCAATTGACGAACTACAACTGGGTTGAAATCTCGAGCACTAACCAGGAATTGGGTCTTGAAACCCTCAAGGGCGCCTTGCATGGCTGGAGGTTTCAGGCTGTGAAGAAGAACCAGAATATGACATCAGTGGCTCTGCGAGGAGATGACAGTGTAGGGCCACCCAGATCACCGCTGTCCCATGAGGAGCGACATGATTTGTCGCATGTCGTTTTTTTTTCTTGCGACACCCATAAGAATCCAAGATGTGGTCCAGAATCCAAAGTTGTTGTGTGGCTGTTGTGCTTCCATTGTTTGGGCCTGTGAACAAGAACGGACATAGTTGATGGCATGGTTATGTGTAAATTTCGGGAAATCATCAAATGTAACTTCACATCACAAAAATCATGTTCAGGTGTTTTCATGTGGTTTGCTTTATGAAAAAGTGCTGGTTGAGAAAAATCAGCTGGTGTGCCATGTTAGTTTCAAAACCCACAGTTGTGGTGGATCTTCAGTGTTCCTGAGAGGTAGTTGTAGAACCAAAGGGATGATGCCTGGAAATGTCCCTTGCCTGCTTGACGCATCTTGCCTTTTGATGATACTCTGTAGGTATCGTCACATGCGCCATGGTTAAAACTTGGGCATATCTTCCACAGTAAGGTATGGTCTTCAATTATAATAAGGATTCATATACGTACCCCATCATAGGAATTTCCATTTTGGGATGAATGACAAAAGCCTATGTACCATGTTTTGACCATGGCACATATCGAATCATACCTGCAAAAGTTGGCAAAACTACCAACCAACTGGGTTAAGCATAAATAATGTATCATACTGTTCCAAAGAAAAGTTTGGGAGTGAATTGAGTTGCATCCCCACTTCCCACTGAACCTGGTAACAGCCAGGTTGTTGCAGTGACACAGAAGAAAGTCCCTGACAAGCTGATGGACAAGGACTGAGCTTAAATTTTGTTGAAAAGTGGGAATTCCAGTCGCTACGTTTAGTCAATATAAGTTGACATATTCTAAGCTCATGTAAAAACGATTTCCAGACATAACGGAGAAGCAACCAAGCCGAGAATGGTTTTGACCTGCTGCAGCTTGAAAATCATTGTATAGACAAGGCTAAGGTCGAGAGCAGTGGGGCTCTCGTCCGTCGTAGATGTTTGTTTTTCATGTTTTCCCGACTTCCACAAGACACAAACACATTTCTATCTTAGCCATCGATAGACCCATAGCTAAGCATGGACCTGGAAGGAGATAAACAGACCACAAACGTGCATTCACACAGCCTGGTCATTACTTTTGTTTGGCCTGCGGTTTCAAATGAGCTTTTGTAGAAAATAATGAGATAATATATATATAATATATATAATATATATATAATATATATAATATATATAATATATATATATTATATATATAATATATATATAATATAATATATATAATGTATAATATATATAATATATATAATATATATAATATATATAATATATATAATATATACACCTATACACCCTCCGGGAATCAAACGTGACACTGGAAAACCATTCATTCGTAGATGATTTTCCCAATGAAACCTCCATTTCGGATGGATTTTCCCATTGCCACGATAGACTGGAGCTAGGGAGACACCGGATTTGTCCAGCCGAACTGTTTTTTTTGGGTTGTGTCCAATAAAAGGAGCCTTACCCGCAAGGAGTTTCAGAAACACAAACATCATCATAACAGATAACAGTCACAGAATACTGATAGTGACAGAAAAATCCCATCCTTTGGAATTGGCGACCGAAATCCTGCCTGTCCTGGAGGATTTCGGCACACACCTCTACAACATCACTCCCAACGTGGGGTGCCTGATGACGGGCATGAGTCCAGATGCTCGAGCTCTGGTGTACAGGTGCCGTTTCGAAGGGCTGAGTTTGGTTGTTTTTGTTTACAAATTCTGTAGGAACCCCCCCCTATATGTGGGGATAATTAGGGGATATTTGGGGTAAAAGATATAGTTAAAGGCCTCCATTTTCCGATATTCCCTTGAAGGAATCAGTTTGATTTTGTCCAGGCTCACCTTTTGAAACGCCAGGGCAAGAGAGATTGCAGCCAAGTTCAAGGACAAGAATGCCTACGAAATCCCGGTCGGAAGCTCAGCGGAAGCTGGGGAAGCTTGGGGCAAAGACTGAGAGCATCCGGCACAGAAGAACAAAACCTAGTTTATTTTTTAATGGTTTGACTCATATTGACTAATCTGTGTCAATATTTGATTGCTCTGGCTACTTAGTCCTAGCATCCATAGAATCAGAATCATCATTCCCAATCTTTGATCACTTTAAGTGCCATGTCTGATGGGTCAAATTTGCACAACAGTAGGAGGGCTCCAAATTTCTCAGGTTCACTACCTGGCCTTGAAACTGGCAAACATTGCACAGGTGCTGGGTCGGAAGGGCCAAGAATTGACGAAAAAACGGACTGAAATGTGTCAACGGAGCTGGGAATTGAGTTGATTGATTTTTTCAAGGCATGGCATGGTTTCTTTGGGCACCTGAAGTCAAACACCAATTTTCAGTATTCTGTGAAAAGGTATTTGTCCGCTAAAAATGTTTGATGCTAACTTTTCTGATTTTCATGGCAGTGCCGATATTCGCTCCAGGTCTATACCCAGCATGCCTACATGCGACCCTACGGTGTCAGCACCATGCTGCAACTTGGCGTCAAACTGTTTCCAGCTGGTGACCTCCTGAGAATTTTAGCTATGGAAGCCTGGCCCATTGGATCATGTAGTTCCATGATTTACACCCTCAAAAAATGGTGATTTTCCATAGCGAACTGTTAAATTGCCAGTTTTGTTGCCTTTGGTGATGGCTTGGCAGCGACGGTGCGGTGCTTCAGGCTCTCCCTTGATGATGAGAAGGGCCCTTCGCTGTACCAGGCTGTGGGGGAAGAGTTTGGACATCCAAAACTCGACATGTTTGGCAATTCCCAACAAAGGATACAAATGGCTGTGCCTGAAGTTGGCAGTTTCAATACAGCAAATGATTATTAACCGCTGGTTTTGCGATGTTTCCCCTCAATTTTTAGACACCCAATATGTTGCTCATATCCCAACATGAACCCATTATGAACCCAATATCATTCAATATATCAGAATATATCATTCCAATGATTAAACCATAATATCTTCATGTATGACACATGAGTCCGCCATCTCTGCTGCCAATGGCTTGTGGTGATGCCCTGGCGAAACGGAGTCGTATGAAGAGGTAATGGAAAGCCGGCCTTGCATTGTTTAATATATTATATATATATATAAATTATAAATATATACTGTACGTATATAGGATACATAAACAATTTTAGGATGTTATATATATATATATATATTGTTTCATCTTTTTTATAGGATTAATTTCTTGAAGAAAAATATTATATACTGTACATGCACCCCTGTAAAGGCCCTGACCTGGATGTGTAGTGTAAAACTTGTTTTGGGCAGGGTGAATAAATGTCATCAGATAGGGCGATGAAGGGAATTATCTCCCCCGCAATAAAAAAACAAACACTACTTGTATGAACGTCGGAACTTCAGAAGGCTTTGTGTTTGAAGATTTGGTCATACAACTTTTATCTCTTCAAAGTTCTTCAAAGCATCAGACGATTCAAGGGAACCTTAGCAGTATTCCCCCTTGTGTCATGGAAAAGACCATGGTTTGTAGTTTCTTTACCCCAAGCCATCGAATAAGTCGAAACCTCTGAGCTCAGACCTGAGCAACTGAAGGATATCCCTTGTTTCGAAAATGGTGTAATACCAGCAATTCATGGCCATTTCATATCATGGGAATATAAATATATATATATACATACATGATGAACTAGTTGAGTTGGGGAATAGCCATTGTTTACGGACAAAGCCATTGAATGGTAGAGAATGCGAATCCATGTCACCTGATCTCCCCCTGGCTGTGGCTCAGATTGATCCTGCTGGCCAATATTTTGGATACAAAGCCGCTGCTGCCGGGACGAAGGACCAGGAGGCGGCTGGGAAGCCGTGGATGATTTGATTGTAGTTGACATAGTTGATACATGTTTACTGGGATCTCATTGTACATCGTAGATGTCATTAAATTATCCAGGACATTCCTAGTGAAGAATCTGATTGTAGTTAGTTTTAGATCTTGGAATGTTCAAGATGATTTTGATGAGGGTTCTTTTGCGTTTATGATGGTTTTAGAATGGTTCAACTAGTGGGCTTTATTGGTTAGCCTTGTCAAAGAAACATCGAGAGTGAGCGGAACCGCGCCCATTTCCCTGAGGAATTACCATGTTTTGCCATGCAAATGCTGCGCATTTTAACAATGCTTCCCTTGAAGTCATCATTTGTACTAAGGACGATTGAAAAAACAAACCCAAAAAAAACACTATCTCTATGCTATATTTATGTATTCATCAATTCTAACCTGTGAATATTAAATATATACACTGTATATTATAAACAATAGGAACCCCAAAACAAATAGAGAATTAAAATCCCACGGAGATATTGATTTGCTTTTCTATCGTTTTGGGGGTTCCTTATATGTATATATATATAGAATTATATAGATTTTAACAAGAACAATACCGATCCTGTCTTTGCTGTCTAAAGGCCTGAACCCCTTCAGATGTTATGAAGCGCTCAAGACACTGCAAAAGGGACCCAATCCAAGTATAAGCATATTATATGTTAATATGCATTTCTGGATAAGTGATAACGACCTCACTGCCACGTCACTGGAATGATGGCTAGTAGGGTAACTATCCCAATATAGGCTTATTTCAGGTCAGTGAATTAGTACAATTTATCCAGATACATGGGTGTGTCCGAAAATGTGAGATACTTCCAAAACAGCAGTTTAATCAAAAAAATGATGATCCTCCAGTGGAGGCCCAGAACGCCCTCGAGAAAATCGTGAAGAAAAAAATCCAATTCACTGAAGCAGAGACCATCCAACAGGCGCCAAGCAAGTCTGGGAAAGGCTGACTCTGGGGATTTAATATGATTTGATCACTAAACATATAGGGCTACCGCCAAAATTTTGGGTCATGGAAAATGATGTTCCGCACTTGGATGAAGTTAGGGAATTTCATAATAAGGCAACAAGACTGGAGTATGGTGTAGAATAAGACAGAATAAATTTCAACTGGATATACTTTTAGTATAGGTATAATATGAAGCTTAGGATATCTTTGCTTGAAATGTTGCCAGGTTAAATCAAAAAGTTCTGCCGAGAAACAGCTTCCAGCTGTCAGTTTGGAAGCACCAAAAACAACGGCTGAGGCAATTGGATGCCTGCAGGCTGTCATGGGTATGGACTTCAAGGTGCCAAGAGTGAAACACTGGAACATCCTGGGACCTCAATTTACTGCATACCCTTTGGTAAACAAACAGTTTGCTATTGAAAATGGCCATTGAAATAGTGGATTTACCAATTGAAAATGATGATTGTCCATAGTTATGTTAAATTACCAGAGGGTATAGTTCTCAGCACTTTTCAATATCTCTTTGTCAAGTTAAGAATGCCTCAGAATCTGGGCGCCTCAAAACCACGACAGCCTCACAGGCCTCCGACATCGAAGTTGGAGTGGTGTCCAAGTTGGAACCCCAGGGCCCAATCGCTGAAGTCATAGGGGTCTCGAGAGATGTGGAATCCGCAAAAATCAGCTTAAAGTCTGTCTCCACTCTTGGATCTCCAAGATGCTCAAAAGTTTGATCCATGTTCATCCACTTCATAATCCGAAGCAACGAAGAAATTTGCCCAGAATTGGACACGAGAGACACAAAAAAGCCTGTTTCCTCAACATTTCGCCTGCAGATTTCCTTGGAATCACTCTAATAAAATCCATAGAGATTGGCCGCGAGAAAGCGTGTTCCGAGGTCTAGGAGGGGATTCTACCGGCTCACTGAAGCCGAGATCGATGGCCACCTGACCGTCCCTTGCTCTTCATGTGGTAAAATGTGGATTTTAGCCGACAGAAATGGTCAGCAACAAAAATGGTAACTTCAGCAGAGGAAATGATGGCTCTTGACCAACAGTGGGCTTTAGCACACATGGGAGCTTGACCAACATGGCAACATGACCCAAATGACGATCATCCCAGTGGATGTCATTACCACGTTGATTATTTATAAAAGAATTATATGGTTTATGATGAATATATCTATCGTTGTTTATAGGTGATATATCTATAGTTAATGGGATTATATACCAATCTATATTGTTTATTTATAATGAGTATAGGCTACCTGGACATCCATTTGTACTATAGAAAAAAGTGACATGAATTCAAAAGTTGTACTTTCAACAGTTTGATATTTTGATGATGTTTCACAAAAAAGTGGTCGCCCGCCAAAAAACTAAACAATGTTGTTGGTGGATTTTTGCAAAGTGTACTACTTGTTCAAATTGCGCTCCAAATGGCGCAAAATTGCGCTTGAGTTGCGCTATGTTTTTCTGTCCGTTTCTCCTTGGTGCCACTACAAAGTAATGCGTTTCAAAAAAACGATACGAAGATCACTATTTTGACAAATTCTGAATGATTTGCATATTTCATGCGTTTTCATGAAAACTAATTAGTACGAAACCATGGGGATGGGTGCTGTTTTCTAGTACGAATGGATGTCTAGGTAGCCTTTTTTGTTTTGGTACGAATAGGGTTAAATAGAAGAATAACCCATTTCGGGGACTTACAAACTCTAAATTGGTTATCCTAATGGCTCATAACTTATAATAACCATATTACCCGTGGCATAAGTGGCATATGCCATTTAGGGGACTTATCAACCAAGTAATGATCCAGTATGATGTATGGATCAAGTCGATGGGAGACAACGGATCAACACTTGGGGCATTTGGACGCACAACCGACAAGTTCCTTGAAGGGGGACACGAAAAAACGGTAAATTCCAACCTGGCCGCCAGTTAGGTACGTTGTGTGAGGTTTGAGTACCACAGGGTAGATCATGTTTTTTTGAGATCTGCAACTTACGAATGCTTTTCACTATTCTTGACGAATGGAGTATGTTTTCCATGTTGCTTCCTAGATGTTTTTAGTATCTAATCCGAGATCATGGGTCATTAAATGTCCCCATTGAACATCACCCAACCATTAGGTATATGGTCTATAATGGCTACTATAAGGTGATGTCCAATATTCCCAAAATGGGACAGTTACCAACCCCTGGAGATTGCCCATGTTATGGGATGACGATCCGCCACTCATCACCTTGAGCAGCAGCTAACCCAGGCCATCGTCGAGAAGGATGCTTGAGCTGATGCTGAGCTGGCGGGTCATTGCTCAGACACAAGGCATGCAGAAGTACGTGTAGCACAAGACGGGACGAATTATGAAAATTTATGATATACATATAATATAATCATATATATATATATACTATGTGATTATATATGATTATTTCTGGTTATTTATATATATATATATGTGATTTTATATGATTGAACGCATAGCTGAGCATGAACCAATAGTTCGAATGGTTGAATGATTTCAGGAGGTATTTGTGTTCTCACATCAGAACTTTCCAACTGAGCACCTCAGAAGTCGCAACAAGCAGTTGCGATTCCCAACCGCACAGGCACGTAGCGCTGCCCTGGCAGTAAAAAGGCTTCGGGAGTCACTGATCCATCTATGGATCCAAAAATCTTGCCATCTTTGGGGGTGCAATGGCTGGACCCCCATCAGTTGGCCTCCCATTCTTGGCAGCCATGGCTTTCCAAAGGTTTCCAGATTTTCCCTGGTTCAACCCTCAGCATCTTCCCTCAAGTCCTCGCTTCCTCAAAACGCCGCCATGGGACGGGCGCGATGCTTGGCACCCTTGGCCATGGCCCTTGGCATGGCCTTTGTGATGCCTTTGTGTTTCAGTTGGATGCCGCAGGGTGCGCAGGGTCCGCAGGGTCAGGGTCAGGGTCAGAAAAGTCCCAGATCCAAGGTGAGTCGACAGATCCAAGCCAATGACGCTTCGGATTTTCACGCCATGGATCCCAACTATTTGGTGAAGGAATTTTCGGCCATGACCAAAACCGCCTTCAGACGCCGTATGGCCTTGCGAAAGCCCCTGCCGGAGCGGCTGGCTTTGTTTTTCCCAGCCATTGAGGGAAGAGAAGGCAGGGCTGCTGAACCATCCACACATTGGGAAAAGATGGCGGCCAAATATGTGGTCCCTTTTAACATCGTATAAGTATGTATAAGTAATGTAAGTATATATCTAAGTAGCATTTTGATTCAGATGTGGTCCTTTTACATCCCTTTACCTCTTTTAACCATGCTTTTTAAAGGCCAGTTCTCGCCAGGACAATCCCAAGATGCGCGACTGATGAACTTCAACATGGCGGGCCAAAGTGTCGAAGTCGCTTTGCCAATGGAAGGTTCCAATGGATCCGGGATCCTGAAGTTGATCGAGAAGCACGCATCTTTGTGGCGTCGCTAGCTGAGAAGGGATGGCCATGGCCGACATTTTACGGGCTGATTTTCTCTGTGCTGACTTGAAGTTGGAAGGAACAGGACTTTTTGAAGTTCTTTGATTTGTTTAGATTTGATTCTTCATTTAGGCTGACTACTTGATTCCTTTCCCAGCATGCAGCCAGGAAAACTTGAGACTTCAAATCTGATGCTGCAATGTTGCAAATTAACAGTCATATGTTCGCTCAAGAGCCCATACTTAGCTGGAAGTATATCAGCCGTCCTGAAAAAAAAAAACTGTGAGGGCCAAAACTGGTCAAACTTATGTACCCTACAGCAATCATGGCAGTCTGATATCCCTTTTCAATGGGCATGTAAATGGAAACATCATGTACAACTGTATGATCTGTATGCAAAACTGGTTGGTGGTTTCAAACATGTTTTATTTCCATAATATATGGGATAACCCTTCCCATTGATTAATATTTTTCTGAGGGGTTGAAACCACCAACCAGATAATTTCAATTGGATATACAATTATGATTATGTCTGACACTTTTTATGGTTTAAGGATACTGACTGGATATATATATATATATACAGCATGAACAGATGTGTATATGAATTACACACACACAGTAATTTTATACACACATAAATAAACGCTGAAATGCTGTATATGTTTTTGTCTGAAAATAGGGTAGGCCAAGTTCTACTGGTTATTCATCATTTACCCAATAGGAAATAACTTTTTGGGGGTGTACATCACATACGCCCAAACGTTGATTACATATCCCTAGGGGCCCTTATTAGATCCCAAAAAATCCCTGTTGATGATGTTGATGACGTTGATGGTTAAACCTCCATGACGTTGATGGTTGGTGATCTTATGTTATATCCCCATTCAATACGAATTAAACTGCTGCCAGTCTTGCTGGTGAAACCTTCATTTTGACATGGTTATCTGAACATCCCGATGTATAATTTATAATCCAATAATATCCAATAATCCCATCTATCCCAGGTGTAGTCGCATGAATCGCATGAATGTTGATGGTTCAACCCCCAGTCCCAACATTTGTCGCCATTTTCTCGGCATCTCAACCGCAGCCTTCATGTGACCTCGTTTGAGGCGTGCACAGCTCCGAAGTGCCGCAAGTTCCTCCGGGCACTTTAGTGCAGCTCTATGATGCCACGCCCAATATGCAGGTGCAGATCGTACGCAGATCCTCATCCGATTCAAGAATGGATTTCATCAAGGACAAATGGTGATTTATCCAACGAAGAGAATGGATTTGCGTAAATTTAAGCAATACAATTCTGATTCAACCAGAATTTGATTGGGATTTGATGAAGACAACTGATGGATTTATTCCAGATCTATGACACTTTTAACTGGGAAAATCCATGAAACCCATCTAAAAATTGGCAGTTTCCACGATGATTTCACTTAAAAATTCGGGATTTCACCGCTCCCGGAGGCGCCCCAGTCGGCCGAGACGCTTGGCGCGGTGAAGAGTAGCCTGCTGCAGCGGTCCTCGGCAACGGCTGGAGGTGGGGGTCGTGGCTTTATCTAGTGATTATATAATATATATATATATGTATATATATATATATGTGGGTTTCTTGAAATGGGGGGATCCAAAGGTCATGGGTTTCAATATACTACAATGCTCTAATTTTGGATGGCTTGGGGTACCCCCTCATTTTAGGAAACCTCCATATATATTATATATTATTGTTAAGCAAATCGCTAGAGTATCTAAAGTGCTTCAACTTGGGATTATTGATTAGTAATTGTTACAGTCACGCGATTGTGACTGTTGGTGAATATTAGGTGATTATTCAGTGATTGTTAATGTGTTTTTTCCCATGATTGACCAATAAACAGATCTTTAGTGATCATCATATCTTATTAGTGATCCTAACTTTGTGATTATTTTCGATTATATATTTGTCATGAACATCCAATTCTTGGTGTAATATGTTGTTTGTCTTCTTGGGGAGTTGCTATATGAAATACAGCCGTACCGATATATATATATATAATGACAATTTAATGGGATATGACACATCAAGATTATCAAGGAATCTACTTAACTTTTATAACTGCTATAGATACATATCCATCAAGGAACGTCCCATTTTAGGCGCGGTTTGAACCCGGGATTAGTACGTAGTTTGATATTGAATATTTTGCCTTTCATAATAAATGTGGTAATACCATACACAGTTGCATAGTGTGTTTACAGGGTTGAAGTATCCCAGATGTGCCATGCGAACATGAATTGGGGTTGATTTTACATGTGCATGTATATATATATATGTATACCTGAAGGAGGTTATACCATTGATATATATATATACTTGGAAATGTGTCAATGAACCATGGTAAATGTTCCATGAAGTTGGCAGTTAAAGCATATCCTTTCTGGGAACAACAGGCAAGCAGCTGGGTCAAATCCACCCGCCCCGTGCAGTCAACTATCCGTTCACACCCAGAAATGGTTGAACCTCATCAAATGTGGATTGAAAACCCTCGTAAAACCACTAAAATCCCATGGACATATCATATATATCACCATTTTGAAATTTGAATAGTTAAACCATCATGGGATTTTATCAGATTTATTTTAAACAATCATTGGGTTCCCAGTGAAATCCCAATGCAACCATTATCACATCCACCTTTGATCAGGCATGGCCTGGAACGGCATGGCTGGTTTCAGCCCGTCGAGCTGTCCCAGGGACTTTGATGGGGTGCACGTGGCCTATACGGTGCCTCGGATATCAGAAACCACCCAGGGCCCCAGGGGGGTTCCATAGTCATGGGGGTATCCCAATAGCTGGTTTACAATGGAAAATCCCAATCTAATAGCTGGATGATTTAGAGGTACCCCCCATTTTGGGAAGCCTCTATATGGATTCATGAACCACCATAAACCATTTTTTTGAATTCATGATCTTGAACAAAGATCAACAAAGAAGATGATGTGGGGAAGCCAATACTAAACCTACCACTTGGGGACGGTCTATACTAGTCATGAAATTGTGGTGATGACTTGGAGATTGTTTATGGCATTGGGTTTAACAATGTTAGTAAAGCGATGTCATAAACAACCCATACGGATTCATTGTTTATACCACCCATAGAAACGATAAAAATTGGTGATGGTTTACTACTGTTTTACTAATATGACATATGGATTTTTGGGGGATCATGTGGTGCCTCCAAACTTGATTGGTTCTCATCATTCCACTATTGAAATGCCAGGCGTGAAAATAGGAATCCCCATTTTCCTTGGACTACCCCTTGGAGTCCTGAGTGGGTAACCACTGGTTTGTCCCATTTAGAATCGCACATACTGTATATATATATATATATCTTGGATGATCACTTGCAGTTTTTCCATGGCTTAGGAATCTTAGGAACCTACCAAAAAAAAACGTACGTCGGGCATGGAAGATTTTCCAGTTGGATTGGCCATTGGTGGGTTCTACACCGCCACTTGCCAAGTGGGATCCGCTTGTAGAACTGATTCCGCTGCAGTCTATGGTGGATCGGGATATGGTACAACTTGTGCATTTAAGCAACCAAAATTGTGATAATGGGTATGACCAAAATTGAGATGATATCAGGTCTGACCATAGAAAAAAAGTGAATGATGCCATGATGCACCATGATGCAACTAAAGTTTGACAGAGATTAACAAAGTGGTGAAAACCTTCAGGTCTGTGACGTTAAAACATTGGATTATATTCCCATACTGGAGGATGATGATTTGCCCATTCAAAGGGGTTCAGATACTCATTGCAAGAAATCCCTGGTGGGGTGACCATACACCACGATGATCCACGATGTAACTTGACCGTGGCACACAGAACTCAAGTTGTCAGGATCCTTTTGAGCCGTATAGCCTTCAGGTTTGGGATTGCCGAGGAGCTTCTGGAACTTGCAATATGCTTTCAGCCGCTTGGCCGTGGCCGTTTGGGATTGCTCGTATTGTGGGGAACTCTTGGAGGATATAACATGATATACCCTCAGGTTATTTAACATAGCCATGGAAAATCACCATTCGTATCCATTTTTAATAGGTAAACCATCTATAAATTGGCCATCTATACCATGGCTATGTTAAATAACCAGATGGTAACCATCCAATATGAAGATTCTTTTCTCCGGTGGACGTTTGGCTGATGGAGTTTGGTGCTTTGAGGTCGCTAACGACCCAGTGCAAGCTGCAGGGGTTAAACCAATGATCGGTGGGTGGTTCAACCCATCATCCCAGGTAGAATGGCACATAGACAGTATCTGATGAGTGGCACTTTAAATACTCATGTGACTCATGTTTCATAAGGAGCTAAAGTCAACAACAAAACATCCAAAACATCCAAAACATTTGCTGTTCATGAGCAACACTTTAAAATCAACAACAAAACATCCAAAACGGCCTCAACGACCAGATCGAGCCTCGTTGACCAAGGAGGGTGAAGACGAGGGCGCCTTGGTCTGCGAGTTTGGTGCCATGAAACGAGGCTTGTCGACGATGATCCCCGGAGAAAGCCGTCGATTTTGGATCTCCAGCGAGGTCAAGGAGCCAAAAATTGGACCTTGGTGGCTTTACCCATCAGAAATATGCTTTTCACATGGTTTGACCGCGTTTTATCATCAAATATGTGAATTTCAGAAGTTTTCAATGCAACAATACATATGATATATGATATCACCGGTTGGTGATTCCCAAGCTGTGTTTCCGGGCCTACCTGCTATGATGATCCCCAATTGAAGATATAGTGTTGTTCAGGGAAGAAAAACCAACAGCCTGTGCAATAGTTTCAGGTGGGACGATGCTTGAAATACTTTGCTTCGGTTCAAATTTACATGGGATGGGGGCTGTAGCCAAACTTCACACATGTTGTTGCTTGTGGTTCAAAATCGGACATCAAGAATGGCCAAAATTTCTTAGTCCCTGGCAATTAAATGTTGGCCCGCAGTCAAAGAAGATAGGAGGAGCATGAAAGCATCTGTCAAAATGTGCAGGCTCTTGGTTCAGAAGGTGCATTTTTGAATTGGAACAGTTTGTAAACTAACACATGACAAAAAACATTTGGAAACAACCCAGATCAACAACAACTCAGTATATGCAACAAGCATCCTCAAAAAAAGTTGAATCAGATGGCTCCGTCATGGAGCACCGTTGCCTCCAGGACCGTCGCTTCGGACGACCTCCTCCCGAACGCGCCCTTCCGTTTGGAGATGTTGTGGTGGACCTCACGCTGCTTGGAATCGAGCGCTGCTTGACGGCACGGGTGGCTGACGGCTACGGCACGGCTTGAAGGGAAGATGAAGAACCATGTCCATTTTGGTACTTGGGATGAAGATTGTATGACAATACATACATACATACATATATATATATATATGTATGTATGTATGTTTGTATGTATGTATGTATGTATGTGTGTATGTGTGTGTGTGTATGTATGTGTATGTGTATGTGTATGTGTATGTGTATGTGTATGTGTATGTGTATGTGTATGTGTGTGTGTATATGTATATGTATATGTATATGTATATGTATATGCAATTATGTATATATATATATATACATACACATAATTATACGAATATATGATATTTGATTGAATTATATGTTTGCTATATTATTGTAAACACATATAATATGATATACATTGATATACATATTTACTACGATATAAACAGCTTATACAAATACACTAATATACATGTAGACAGTTGTGATTTATTTATTGGTTCGATCAAACTGATGTTGTAATGTGTGTTCTTAAATTTGAGCATTGAATACATTGAATCTGTTGACACCCTAGATGTGCTTCACCCAAAGATCATTGCTTTCAGGTGAGGCGGTCTTTGAGTACAAACTCTCTGATGAAGCGATCAAACTGGGTGAAATGTCACTGGGCCACAGTGATTTGACGCTTACTTGTTTGATTGGTCATTGGCTACCCAGCGCTTTGGATGGTTTGAAATTCAAGTTTGAGATCACGTTTGATCTTTGGGTCAAACTTAAAGAACTTATACCAGCTGAGTCGCAGTGATTTTGATGTTTTACAGTCACTTGAAAGGCCCTGGGGGATGAAGCATCACCTGGTGCTGAAATAGCGAACACACATGTATACGTAAAAAAGATTATATATAGTCATAAGTTCATATAATCATATAATTTGAACTTGTATAAATTGAGAGAGAGGGAGCAAATGAAAATAATCCTATTCGTCAGAACCCTGATGAGGCAAAAAGGACCCGAATGCCCATCAGCCTTCAGGAATGTGTTGGTAGGGGAATTGCTGAAGTATGCATCAGCAAAGTCACCGCTACCAGTTAGGCACTTTTCAATGCGGGGTTTCAACATTTGGCATTCACGTTAAGAATTGTATAGGAAGCATGACATGAAAGAACAGACCAGTTACTACTGTACCATATACTACCGTATACATATATATATATATATATATGTTTACTACCCTATATATATATAGGTATACCCATATATTTACCCCCCCCTTAGACCATCCTTTGCGTTGCGTTGCGTTGCTGTGGCGTTCTTTTTAAGGCGAGACAAGACACCCGCAGTGGTGGCCCAAAGGGCCTTGGGCGTTGGCATCCAACTGTGGACATGGGCCTTAGTCTATTCCTACTACCAGCAGCCCCAGGTGCTGCGCCACAGGGCATCCCCAGGGGATGGGAGAAAATGGTTGCTTACGACCCCTGAGAAAATGGTTCCCTGAGGACCGAAGATTTTTTAATCTTACGAATCTTATCAGATAGATGCCTGAAAGAGATGAACAAATTGGGTCGATGTTAGGTTGCTGAGTAGCTTGATAGCAATGATTATATATTTTATGATTCTTATGTAGGAAACAATACTTGCAGGGTTGTCACCAGGCATGAAAAGATCAATCAAAACTAAGTACTGCATACACAGGGGGATGATTTACTTGCTGCAAAATACAACCAGTATCAACCAGTGCGCACAGGGGAGAGTAGCTTTGCAGGCCAAATTGTGCGTTATCAAAGGAAGAACAAGGGTTGGCAGGTGTGCGGTTTGGGTGATTTTTAAGCATGGCATTGAGAAAGTTGATATGATTGATGGCAGCTATTCCTCTTAGTGGGCCAGAATGATATTCATGTAAAACTCTTCAGCACTTTTGAGGAATCAAAAAAACATCATCTGCAGCTGTGCAGCTGTTAGGACATGGACATCATTGGCTTCTCGCAGTCAGTACACCTATGAACAGCTGTTCCAGCCTAGTGGCCCGGTGAACAGGGTCATGGCACCATAAATTCGCGCAACTTCCGCGGAACGGGATGAGATCCCGGCTGGCCGCTTTGGCGGGCACTGACTCAGCTTTGGTGCGTGAGTCTGTGGAATTCCAGCTGCAACGACATTGCTGCACCCATGTTCCAAGGGGAACTCTGTCAGCCGATGGCGCAGAGTGCAAATTGGCAAGTTGGCAAGGAATCCATTCTTAAGTGAAATGGGTTCCCAACAGCAATGCCATGTACAAAAAATGTTGGTGCACGCAATAATTTCAGTATTATTCAGGGATGCTTGAGCATGTCACAGATGCGAAAGCTGTTAGGCTTGTCACCTGCGCAGGCAACTTGGCATGAATTTCGACCATCGCCCCAAAGGCTTGCATGACCAAAAGTGAAGGTGGAGTGATACGCCCTCTTCTGATTTCAACAGGTTTATTGATAGAGATTTGGATATTATATTATAATTATGATAAGTAAATGTATATTATACAGTTTCAACATTCAAAACCTTCAATCTTCAATCCACTTCCAGTTCAATTTCTGCAGAAAAGATGGAACAAACTTAGCCCTGCATCTTCCTGGACCAAATCTTCGGGGTGCCAAATGATTTAAAAAGGCCTGAAGTCGTGTCCGCGCCGCTTGTCTGGAGAAACAAGTCGTGATGCGCCAGAAGTGGTGCGCCGCCACAGACCTTGGTGCGTGGCAAGATTAAGAGATGCACCAGACGATGTACTCACTACCCTCTGGTAAACTAACAGTTTGCTATTGAAAATGGCCATAGAAATAGTGAATTTACCCATTCAAAATGGTGATTTTCCATAGCTATGTTAGTTCACCAGAGGGTATACTTTGCAATGTTTCAGTCACGTGAACTTGCCAGAGGCTACATTCGCAGCCTCTCAGGGAAATCCAGTTGACTCCTGAATTTTGCGGCTTTAGACTTGTAGTTGTCATAGATAGCAACTCACAGGAAGGAAGCAACCGCGGCGATTCCGCCATGTAATATTTGGCACAGCCTGGCCAAGCGAATCAATTTTGGGGAGACAAGATGCAGGAAGTTGGTTAGCAACAAGAAACAGAGGTACTTTGCCCTTACAAACCAATTTAGGGACTCTTGCGCTTTGTAATTATCTACACAGCTTGCTCCGGGGACCATTTCAAGACAATATTTTCTTGAGCTAGTTAAAGTGATCAGGAAAGTGAACAAAAACACTGTCCCTCTAGAAAGCAGTGGCAAAAGCACTTTGGATTTTTCAAACATGACAGGCCAAAAAAACTTCCGGGATCATTCCAGCTAGTGAGCCTGGTGCTCAAACGGTCCCCGAAGGGCTTTCCATGCCTCCAACTAACATGACGACCGAGGAGTTGGGGGTTAGTTTAGACTAGTCCCAGGGCCCCACCAAATGGCATCCCATTTATGGCGTAAATCAACCCGGTTACCCTGCGGAAATCAACCATGGCTGGAAAATCCATATTTTCGTGGATTTTGAAAGTGCCATGTTTGATCACAAGAGGGTACCCTCTGGTAAACATACAAAAAGCGAACTGGAAAATCACCAGCTTTAATAGGAAAATCAACTATCAATGGATATAACTGGGTCATTTTCAATAGCTATGTAACAAATTACCAGAGGGTACAAAGCCATCAGATTCGTATCCGTGGCTCCCCCAGAGATGCTACCCACCATGGCACCTGGCTGCGCCCATCCTGTGCCGTGGCTGAGCGCTCCATCCTTTGAGAGGCCAGGGCGTTGGGATGGCTGGAATATGCAATGTACCAACCAGAGTAAAGGATTTCCTGTGTATATATATATAATAATTTATCTATAGTTATGTATATATATATATATGACTATATATACATAATGGAATTTGAATATGGATGTATATGGAATATTATTTCATGCATTTCAATGATATTACTTACGTCTTCTACTCTACTGGGAAAAAACAACTCGTACTATATACTCGTACTATATACTCGTACTATATACTGTGTATACACTCATATGAACCTCTGGACCCACAGATGGATCTGTCATTACCCAATGATGGGACCACACTCACTTAGAGCCGCACTGATACCTGCAAAAATGGCGTCCAGACAACTGTGTGACTGTTAGACGTTTCAAGGGATCCTACGACTTCACCGAATGGGTAGCCACTGGAGTAGCCACCCGAAACATGACCTGAAGCTAGGTAAAGCATTGTACAATCACATATCTAATCATACGTACGTACGTGCGTACACACAGACAGACAGACAGACAGACAGGCAGGCAGGCAGGCAGGCAGGCAGGCATGCATGCATCCATACACAGACATACACACAAACACACACATACATACACACAGACATACACACTTTCATACATACATATATACATACACACACACAACTATACGTACACACATACATACACACATACATACACACATACATACACACATACATACACACATACATACACATATACATACACATATACATACACATAATATACATACACATAATATACATACACATAATATACACATACCAGTAGTACCGCACAGGGCGGTGGCGGAAGTTTGAAAAATAGGAAACCTATAGGAAGGGTTGGTTGTTGTGACTCACGGATGGCAGAGCGAATCTACTGATGGACCGAAAGGTGGTTGGAGTTGTGTTTTCTGGAGTGGTTGCAATGGTTGCAGTGGTCATCTCACCACAACTGCTGGATGTAGTGTGGTGTAGTGCAGTTGTAGGTGTAGTTGTAGTTGTAGTGCAGTGGAGTTGTAGTTGTAAGTTGTAATTGTAATGTAGTGTAATTAGTGTAGTGTGGTTGCAGTTGTAGTTATAGGTGTAATTAGTGTAGTGTAGTGTTTACATACACATACATACACTAGACAAGAATGGATCATTATATGATCCGGCAGGAACTGAATCCTGAAACATGCAAACCAGCCTAGGTTATTTGATGAATAAAAGAGCCACATGAGGTACTTCTCGAAAACGATGTAGGGCATCCGAAATTGTCAAACGTAGTCATAACCAGATTTCATAGAGTTTTTTGACCAGCATGTTGAAATCCAAAACGATGTTTCGGCGATTGTTTCCCAAAATAACCCATAGTTCGTCGGCGACAGGATCTCGGCGAAAATAAGTCAAAAAACATAATACTGTCGGCGATATGGTTTCGGCGAAAATCTGAGAAAGGTTCTGATGCATGTAAATTTCAAAATTGATTCCAGATTGCGACAACAGTGCAGCAAATTGTATAACATTGTGGTTGGGGTTCTAAGCTTGGCCCCTTGCTATTTCGGAAAATTCGAGCTGCAGGTACGCATGGCTGATCAGGCCATGTATCACCAGGGAAGCCAGAGTGTTTTCGTTGGTGGTAGACTCTGGACCCTGCTACCACCCCCTGCAAATTTGTGAAAACCAATCAGAAGTTTTACATCTGTTCAGATGGTACACACACATACACACACACACGCATATACATATGCAAATGCATTTGCATATACATATACAAACATACTAACAAACATGCATGCATGCATGCACGCATGCATACATACATACACACGCACATACATACATGCATGCATACATGCATGCATACATACATACATGCATGCATGCATGCATACATACACATATACACATACACATGCACATACACATTGACATACTTACATACACATACATGCATGCATGCATAAATACATGCCCATGCATGCATGCATTACAGACATACACTACACACGTTACATATATGACAAACATTACATACATTACATACATTTACATACACTACATTCATTACATACATTACGTACATTACATGCGTTACATGCGTTACACACGTTACAAACGTTACATTACATACACTACATACATTACATACATTACATACATTACATACATTACATACATTACATACCTTACATGCGTTGCATTACATACACCACATACACTACATACTCTTAATACATTACATACGTTACATACCTTACATACTTTACATACATTACATACATTACATACATTACATACCTTACATGCCTTACATACCTTACATAAGTTGCATATGTTACATTACATTACATTACATTACATTGCATTACACATATTACATACATTACATTGCATTACATTACAATGCAATACGCTACACTACACTACACAATACGCTACACTACACTACACTACATTACATTACATTACACTACACTACAACTACATTACATTACATTACACTACACTACATTACATTACATACATACATATATACATATATAGTTGACATATATATATATATTTATTTATATTTATACATATCATATATATATATATACACATAGGGCTGCAAACATTGTATATCAGTAAGGTTCATAGTATGAATTTGAAAGTATGAATATGTCTACATATCGCCCGTTTTGCTCATTTTCCAGTCATGGCCATCACCATCTCCAAGGTCGCAGGCGCGGCTTCGCCGTGCTGCTACAGAGTTCCCAGCGGACTGGCTCAGCACAAGGGATGAAGTGTCAATCTGCCATTCTGGCAGACTGGAATCATCTTGATCATGCATATATATATAAATATATAATACATAGATATAGATAGATATAGATAGATATAGGTATAGATATATAGATACATAGATATATGTATATGATATATATATAGGTAGATTTAATATAGATGTTTTAAGTTTTAAGTATCTATTGTATATGATGGTATTCATGGGATATATATATATAGAGCTTATATTTTTTTATATATAGCCAGCAAGAATGGTGATGCAATGGTGATATAGGGATATAATGGGAATATACCTCCCTTAATCAAACATGGCAATGGGAAATCCCCAATAAATGGAGGTTTATAGATGCGACAATCATCTATACATGGTGGATTTTCAATTGCCACGTGTGATTACCGAAGGGTAATATATTGTGTTTATTATCTATGTGTTTTGTATAATTATCTATTCAGAAAAAATAACTGGATTGTTGGAATACTGGGTGACATGAAGGTAGCAGGTCTCAATCTCTAGATGTACCAACTTGCCAGCTGTGGCCCAATAAAAAAAGTTGGGAAGGCCTCTCCTGGATATCAATGGCGTCATGAAAACCATGAACTTGAACCCAAGTAATCCTTGGTTTTTGAGGATGTTAACCCAATTATGTATACATATATATATATTTACATATTGGTATAATATATATATATTCATATATATATATATATATAAATATATATTCATATATATATATATTCATACAGGTATATATATATATATATATGTGTGTGTGTCAATGATGTAGTGTCAACAGCTCACTGTCCAAAATAAGGTTCAGTTGTTTTGGATAGAGTATCTGTTTATACACACAGACCCACCGGCATTGTACAGATTGTCCATTGATTTCACCATGAATCTTCCAGGTGCTACCTTTGCCTCACACGCTCCAGGCTGGTGGTCAAAGCTTGTACTTGATTCCCAAACATCAGAAGACAAATTCAAGAACATATCAAACGCAAGTATCAAAAACGAATACCATCGAATACCCTATATATTTGATCTATATTTAGATAGTTGATATCTGACATACAGTATTTGTTTATGATTGATGCCATTCACTTTGACAGATCTGAGTTTATCCTTGGGCTCCCTGGCCGCGTTACAGGCGGCCCGAAGAAACGGCCGAAGATCGGGCGCCCTGGCCCTGGCTGTGGGTCTGCGCCGGCGCCGAGGCAATCCACTACCACTGAATTGGGTGGTTAATCATGGATACCCTCTGGTAAACTGACAGTTGGCTATTGAAAAATGGATTTTCTCATTAAAAATGGTGATTTTCCATAGTTATGTTAGTTTACCAGAGGATAATCATGGTATTTCCCATTGAAATGGCGATTTGATGGGTCACCATTTTCAGAAACCCAAATGGGTTTATGGGGTAATAACAACCCCGGATTAGTAAGTCCTGGTTGATTACTTGAGGGTAATGACCCAAATAGTGACCATTTGCTACTACAATTGCAGTTGACATTAGACCCCCCCAAATAGCATCAAACAACCATTTTAACAGGGAACATCGCCCATGGGACTTGGGGGTATCAGACTTTCAGACCCAAATGAGCTATGTCAAGAGACACTGACTCGGGCAAATTCCAAGGCACTCATCGGAGCTGGTTGGTCTGAAATGGTTTTGACCTGTTTCGACCTGTTTTGACCTGTTTCACATCCTCAGGTCTACGTGATCCCAAATGATCCTATAGCCACTTTTTAGCCACAAAGGTGGATCAACCACCAAAGAGGGACTTACTGACTTGGCTTTGCCAGGATCTTTTTCTGCACGACCGTCACGACTACAGGCGGAGCAAGCCAGCTCAGATTCTGATGTGCAGAAACTTTGGGACTTTGGGACATTTTGGGACCCTGCAAATGGTGTTATGAATTACAATATGATACTGTATAAAGTACTACAATTTACAGTAACCATATTTAACATATTATTTTAATGATATACGGTAGTAATGTAATTGCAATGCAATGCAATGCAATGCAATGCAATGCAATGCAATGCAATGTAATGTAATGTAATAATATGTACTGTAATTAACATAATATATTATAATTAATTGTAATGGCATGCTCGGATGTTCACCTGGCCATTGTTGGTGTTGGAAAAGATCGCCCAAGACCTCCACACAAATATGCGCTTGACTGTCAGGCAACTTCAGACAAGAAGGCGAGTGGACCGACTGCCTTTTTTGAACCTCCTCACACCAGGGATGTACCATCCGCCAACTGACATAGATCCTGCCATGAGTTTTTGGGCTTGGAAAACTACTGTCCCCTATAAATGGCTGATTCTTAGGATTTTTGTTTGGGGGATGGTACTGTTGATATATCTATTGATATATCTATATATTGATATATCTATATATTGATATATCTATATTGATATATCTACATTGATATATCTATGAATAATAATACATCTATTTATCTATTGATATCATCCCGTTTTTATTCACCCAACAACCACCCAACTGGGTGAACCCCACCCCTTACCGGGATGGCAACAAAGCCTGCTGGTCCCTGCAGTCAGGCCTGGGACGACACGGAGGATGCAGATCTATGGGAAAACATCCGTGGGCCGCCCCCTGGACAGCTCCATGGCACAAAAACCACCATGGATCGTTGGAGGGTTTCCCAGCTCGCCAAGTTTGATTCCCGGAGGCTACATGGAGGAACTTTCAGAATTCATGTAAAATGATGTAAAATGTATGAATTGAGTGTGGGATTTTGGAGCAGTTGTAATTCTAACTGGGTATGTGTGAATCTTATTGGCGTTTAAAGTCACCACACTCCTTTCTATCAGCCTTATTTTTTGTAAAATGGACACTATATTCTGTCACTTGGCGGATGGCTAAAAGACAGCAGGCATTGCCATGACAAGAGTTTTTCTACCCACTTCTCTGTAGACAGAAAACCCGATTGCAGGCACATTTGACCCTCCTGCATCTGAGGATCAATTCTTTTGTGCAAGCCTCAGTCCTTCGGGCAATATCAATGGGTTTGCCATGTATGAGTGTGGGAGCGAGCCCAACATGCCTTAGGCTTGTGTATCAAGTCGTTGCCAAGCCCCACTCTCAAAGATCTCAACTGTTTGGTGATTTCTGGGAGTGATTGGATAATGTTGCTGTAGCCCTAGCTCACAAAGAGTGAATGATGCGAAAGATGATGGTGGCTGCGGCTCAAAAATGCATTGACTCCCAAGACAGGATCATACAATATATATAGGTTTGTCTGGAAATCGGATACCCCATACGCCCCTAGTCCCGCGGGTTTAATCATCATTCCTTGTTCCCTGTTATCTGTTAAAATGGCTGTTTGGGGGTATATCCTCCATTTTCAGGCACATCCATATTATATCAACAACTACAGGGACATTTCGCCATGTACCCATCAAAACAATGGACCAATCTTGATCATTAGGTTCCTGGGGCCTCGCTGAAAGATGCCAAGAACCTTGGTATGCCTTGGTTAAATTGAGATTTTCCGGGCCTATGTTTAGTGATTAATGTGGTTAATCCATGTCAATCCAAACTATTCAAAGATCCTGTTGTGGATCATGATCATGCCTTCATGCCACCAGTCTACTGGACATTTGTCCCATGAGAGATCCCAGTGGATCATCCCATTAAATGATGCATGGACTGCCTTATGGTTGGGCCACGAAATCCATACAAGGTTAGCAGCTGGATGTGCTGATACGATTGAGACTGGGGAAACAGGATGTCTACGTATTGCAGCACTGTCATTCAATACTTGAAGCATGTTACATTGCGGAATTGTATATAATTATGTATGAATATATAAATATATATATAGATACAATTTCCTGCAGCAGTCGCTGACATGAGTGCACAGCCACATTTTCTCGATTCAAGTTCATTAAATTCCAATAAGTGTTGGACGTAGATCGATCCAAGGATTTTTGCTGCCACTCGCACCATTGCAGTTGCCCCTTGGTCTGAGGACAGCAGCTCATTTTCTGGAAGAAGGGAAACATGCTTGGCGAAATTGAAGGTTATTCAATCTATGTTGGATTGATATAGACAATTAGAACAAGCCAATATTCATTGTTCTTTACTCATTCCTGTACTGAGAAAAATCACGACCATGCGGGATCCACAATCATAGTCGCCATCCCGAATTTATGGTATGTCAAACTGTGCCACAAGCCCCACAAAACGGGATGATTTTCTCTCCCTGGATGAAGGGACAATTTACAACACATCATAATATGTTTGGGGTAGAACACGAGAATTTGGAATTCTCCTTCTAAATCAATCCGCAGCAACTCCAAATTCTATATCCTATTCTATACCCACTATCCTTTAGTTTTTACCATTTTATACCCACACTTTGTTTTATTTCAATGCATGGATTCTCCCATTGAAAGCACCGCCGTTTCGCTTCAGTCACGTCGCAGGACGTGACGCCCAAACCCATCTTTGCCATCTCGGATGGTCCGGGACTGGTGGCCGAACTGGTGGCCAAGCCTCTCGGCGCGGGGCCATGGAGGGATGAGTTCAGTTCTGTAACTTTTCGAGCTGTTTAAGGGTTTTTGTATGGCTGGTGTAGTTTTGGGTATTTTTGTATGTATTATAAATGATTGTAAATTATTATAGATGATTATAAATGTAGATTACACATGCTTTTGAAGTTCAAAGTGACCCATGGGTGCTGAACTGACCATTAAAGTAAGGTTAGGTTACCTTACTTTAGGTATGGAGATAACTTTGAATCGCCTAGTATATGGGAAGTTGTCACAGAATGGGATATACCCCAAATCCACTGGGAATTCTATTCATAACTCATCATTTTCCCAATAATATTTCATTTTTGGGGTCGGTCTATGCACCCACAAGACTGCCACAAGGGACCAGTTTTGGGATGTTTCCTGAACTTGGCCATGCATGGTTTTCCAATTAGCAGCACATGGCTAAGTTGCAAAGATGTGATACATCAATTAAAGTGTTCTTACAGTTGGGTAACTCGTATATGCATGTATATGAATATGCATAATATGTATATATATATATATACATACATAGTCTATAATGACATATAGTTTTATATACCTGGATTTGATGTATATATATATATATTATACACATATGTATATAATCAGTACTCGACATTTCTTTATGTTCTGCCATGATTTGGGATCATCTTCAAGTAACCTGTACAAGACGTGCCACTGAGGATGGGTTTCAGACAATTTGGCACCTCGGATCTCAGAAAACCGCCGGGTGGATCAAAAGCTTTCCAGCAGTGGAAAATTGCGCCATGTTATGTAACGTTTTCTTAGACATCGAATCTAATACCATCCGATTCATAATGATTTATAGATATCTCTATAGATGATTTTCCGGGGGGATTTCCCCAGCCTTCCCAGCCATGTTTCATTACCACAGGGAAAGAAGTGTGGTATCGATTTGGTGTCGCTGGCCCAACAGGTAGGAGCTTAGAATAGGTTATTTCGATGATGGATATCTTAAACTATACATAAGTATATATGTTGATAATAAACTATATACAACTATACATCTTAGGATGTTATAACTATACATGTTGCACAACTATTTTGATGGATATTATCTTGTTTTTGGTAAAATGGTGATGTTTGATTTTCCCACTCGTTAATCCACCATTTGGAGGAATCCGTTGGCATTTCTTAAGCAAATCCAAGTTATAGGAGGTTACAACTGGTTACTGGTTAGTACTACTCTTTAACCTTCTTGTTGGAGGATCGATTGTCCACGAATTGGATAATCCAAGTGTAGAACATATAATTCATATTCATGAACGATACTCCATAAACTCATATAAACTCTGGAGTACGACCATCGAAATTGGATCATCCATTGGTTCCCCAGGGCCCCAGGTGACATCTCCAAGTCCATGGTCGAAGTCCTCGCTGAAGTGGAGACCAAGGAAGATGTGAAGGCAGCCATCGACAAGGCCAGGCAGATGAGCCTGGGATGGCGCATGGACCCTGATTTTTTCACCATTTTTGAGTGGTTTCACTAACTAATCTTCCAAGCCCTACAGTATCTGCCAAAGTCTATGTAAATTTACTGGAGGGTACTCCAGAATTCAGCCACACTCTGAGATGTATCCCGTTCTATCCCCGTGAGGGTGGTTTGATACTCTTCAGCTAGTTCGAATGGTTCTCCCATCTTCATTATTCCCAAGCTGATGCTACCAAAGCCTCAATGCCAGCGGTTTCCTGGTGATGGTTGGTGCGTTTTTCACAGCATCATTTGATTCATAATCCAAAAAGAGTATCCTTACAGCTCAAAAAAACACTCAAAAACGGGTCCTGAGGAGCATTCGGATGTATATTCCATTTGGGATGTGAGCGAAATGTTTAAATGTTGGCATAATGTTGGTAGCAAGGTGTTAGCTGTTGGCCCAAAAAGGGTGGAAGCCTGGATACTTTGAACCATCATTTGCACACCGGGAAATCCTTGAAAACACATGATATGTCTATCATCCCCAGCCCCCAATGCCCCAAGGCTGCCACTTTGGCCCCGGAAGAGTCCTTGGCCATAGAGCCCCTTGGCGCTGGGAAGATTGGGGAATCCTGAACGGTGAGAGACTTGAGATAGTGTGGCTGGGTATGAAATAAAGCAAATCATATTGGGGATAGAATGGACACTCTGAGATCGCTATTTTTAAGCGTGATACTGTAATTTCCTGATATTTTTGGCCATATGAATGCTGATAAACCATGACTTTGGGGTACCTTATTTTCAGACAAACCCACGTTGTGAGGATAGTTTTGATGAGCCGTTGAAACCGTGGAGTCCATAAACCAAACATGTTTCCAGCAACAATTTGTGGGATTCATTGATAGATTTGTCACTGGGTGACATGGCTCTCTTAGATAAATATCGCTGAACACAGTCCACCAGTGGACCCCTTTTTGGTATCGTACACCATCCAATTCTGGGTCCAACAAGATTGAAGCATTCCAAAATGACGAAGCTTGGATCATCAACGTATAACATATTTTGAAGGAAACATGCCATCAACAAACTTGCGGAATTGTTCATGTCCCGATCCAACAACATGAAACATGATATGACAAGCAGAAACGGAGAACATGAGTTTGTATGGATGTACTTGGCACATTATATACCATTTGGTTATTTAACATAGCCATGGAAAATCACCATTTCTAATAGGTAAACCATCTATTTCTATGGGCCATCTATACCCATGGCTATGTTAGTCATAACCAGAGGGTAGTCACTTTCGCCATCCTTTTCACCATGGCATCATGGGCGACTGAGGCAGGCCGGTGCCATGGTGATCTTCTCCATGAGCGACCAAGAAATGGCCGAATTTCTGGTGGCGGAATGCGGCCAGCAGGGTGTGCCCTGGTGGATGAGTGGAGCAATGATTGAATCCATATTGGATGGGTCTAAGAAGTCTACGTTTTTTTCCTGGTTTAAAGTCGTGTTTCATGGAAATCCACGAGTTATAGAATAAATTAGAAAAAAATAGAATGTAGTTTTTTTAGGGAAAGCAGGTGACTTCCATATATATATACATATTATATAATACATAATGATATAATATGATATATATATATATGTATATATATAATGCATATGTCAGTTTACCTCAGGGAAGTGATGGGGATTTTGTATCTTAAAGATTGGATGGTGATGGGATAAGTTGATGATAGTCAAAAAGATGGTTAGATCCGGTAGGTTACGTTCTGGTGATTTAACATAGCTATGGAAATGTCACCATTCTATACATGGGTAAATCATCTATTTCTATGGTCCATTTACCATAGCTTTTTATCGACTTCCCGGATTGTAATCATGACCAACCAATGGGTAAATCATCGATTACTGGGCCAGATACACAACAGAACATGATTATTCCAAGGAATTTTCTGGGGGTTAACAGTGCTTTTTGTGAGAATGAGGAATTTCTGGTCCTGGCTTCATGGCTGAAGCTCTTCTTTCAGCTGCAGCAGATGTTTTTGATATTTCCCAGAACTGCAACTGAATCATATGAATGTTCCCAACTGTCTTTATGGTTTGCTATTGGCAACAAAATGATTGTGATGAAGCAGTCTTGCAAGCCTTGTGGGAGTGCCCCGATGCAACAAGATCGACCTCAGGTGCCTTGCATCAATTTCATGGAGAGCGCATCTCAGATGCACAGAGCAATTTATCCTTCCTGGTTGGTGGTTTGGAACATGAATTTTATTGTTCCATATATTGGGAATAATCATCCCAACTGACTAATATTTTTCAGAGGGGTTGAAAGCACCAACCAGCTTCCATTTTTATTTTTGTGATGAGAATCGGGCTAGAAACAGAATCGGACTCGAATTGGCTGTTTAGCAGCTTTGAATTTGATTCGGTCTAGGGTGTCAATCCTGTTGGGAAAGCACGTTTTTGCAAGACAGGAATCTTTGGAACCAAAGTGTTCTGCCACCTTTGCCGCAGCAGTTTTTTCCAATCAAAGCTCTTTTTTTACGCAAGGTTGGGAAAATGTCCAGAATTCCCAGGAAAATTGAGTATTGAGAGTAAATCAGAGCCATGCTTATGGATTTGCGTTTTCACGCGCTAGAAACGACAGAGTACATCCCATGTTTATCCCCTTAAATTTCCTGCATTGGCTTGATGAAGAGAAGATGTACATGCAACGTAGGGAAAACCCCGATATTTGCATGGTCAAACAAGCACGTTTTGGGTAGCCTTAAGGGCCTCAATGACTTAACCAATGCAAAGTGGTAAACATGGCTAATGTGTTCAATATTGCCCACATGGTAAGATTGGGTGAAGGTTTATGAAGATTTACGCCTTGGCTCAGGTGGTTTTGGCCCTTGAGAGTCGCTTGCAGCTGCCTCGTGGTTGCCTGGTCGAAGAGACTAACACGTCCTCTGCTCTAGATTTGGGGGAAAGGGCATCTAGGATTTGCAGCGCTAGGCACTTTTCTTGTTCTTTGCTGCAATCTTACTGTATTCCATAATACACTGGTGAATGCCCATCCATTGTTCATCAATTTTATGGTCGGAGAAAGAGTTACAATTCAACATTAGCTATATTTGCTGGCAACAAGTCAACCTGCCCGTGTAGTTGTCAGCAAACATTTTTCAGGTACTGACCGGAAATCCAAATTGTTGTTTGTTAAATAATGCAACATCTACGTGTGTTCATGAAAAATATGTTCCCACTCTGCGGATGTCGTGGAAATCCCCATGTTTGTTTGTCAAATCATAATCTATGTGTAAATCCCTATGTTTTTTTGTTGGTTACATATAATGCACGTCAAATATAAGCAAATCATGTCAAATCCTCCTTTCTATTGGTGAAAAACTAACTTTCATCGCTTCAATATGCCTATTCTTACTGCAGCATCTTTGTAATCTATGCGATTTTCTCCATTGTCACTGAGTGAAATTCCACATTTTCTGGCAAAAATCGAGGTTCAATCTTTTCACTACAAAAATCCATAAACATCCTATATCCTCATGATTTCTCCATGACTTCTCCATTGTGTTCCCATTTTTTGATCCAGTTTTCTCCATTTTTTTCCCGGTGAATCTCGCCATTTTTCCCCAAGGCTCCAGGGACTCGCCCGGAGCGGCATCGCGCTACGGCGTCTTCGCGGTGTCCGACAGCTCCGCGGAGGCGTCGTATCGCATCAGCTGCAAGGCGTGGCCAGGAGATCTTGGAGATTTCTATGGGATATATATGGTGTATATTAATGGGATATATATATATATATGGAGCTGTATATTATATATGGGATATATGGGAAAAGATCTATTCTATTATATATATATATAAATATTATTATGATATATATGGAGCTGTATATTATATATGGGATATATGGGAAAAGATCTATTCTATTATATATATATAAATATTATTATGATATATATGGAGTATATAATGGAATGTATAATATATAATGGAATAGGTTATTGGTGCAACCAACCATCATTTCTCTACCAAAACAACAAACTGTGAAATACGGATCTTTGGGGGGGTGAGCATATTATTGTGTGTATATATATATACACATACGGAATATATAATGGGATATATAAGATTATAAGATCTTGATATTTCATCTTATGTTCATATATGGGATATATATATATATGGGATGTCTATTGAAAAGACAGGATACATACATATACATATATATATATTAGAATATTAGAGATGTTGGAAAGGATATTTCCATGTATGGGATGTATATGATATATATATATATATGTAAGATTGTAAGATCTTAATTTTAATAGGATATAATAATTAATCATTATGTTGGACAATTCGACAAATATGGATCTTTACAATGAATTATAATGTTTTTTTTACAAAAACTATTATTTACCTTCATAATCTTCATATATATCTTGGGACGATATTGTCGAATATATGGATAACTATGGATTACTCAATATAATATACATAAGGGTTGTATTTAATAATACGGACCATTATGAATAATTAGAAATACTATCTGGGTGAATGAATATCACATTTTTAATGATCTATATAGATATTATATTGGAAAATAAATACTGCAGTATCTGAGAACATAATACAATACAATATTGTATCCCATTGGGAAATCCCATTGGGAAAAATATGTATGTATATATATATTTACATACATACATTGGAACATGAATCCATGGAATTTCTATGGACTAATGATCGGACCTTCATTCCCACAATGTTCCCGTATGGAATAAGGGTTTCGAACATGGGAGTAGTGTGGGAGTAATTTTATAATATGTAATATGCCAAACCCAGCTATGGGGGTCTATGATGGGATATATGATTGGTATATGGTATACAACTTATCTACATGGGAAACATCCTCCCAAATGAATATATGGATGTATAATGGGATATACGGGATATACACTGGGTACACTGGGGCGTAGAATGTATACATATTTATACATATTTAACATTTTTAATATGCATATGTAAATCGATTATAGCATGTTTTTGTTGACCCAACAGGTGCTTGTTGTGGGAAATTTAGCAAGGTTGATGTTCTACCCCTAAATCCATTCATGTTGATCATCCCACTGCATTCGCGACAGGCTTTGAAGCAATTTCCCAAGGCCAAAGTTCAACAGATCACCTGTTGTCCTGGCGTCAAGTCTTTGCAGGTCACATGACGCAACCTTTTTCGTGTTTTTTTTGGGGGGGAGGGGCGGAAGGGAAGCACCATGAGAACGGAGATTTTTTGTGTCAGATGTGGCCAGATACGGAGAAAATCGATGACCAATAAACCTGGGAGATTCAATGTCCAGAAAATCTTGGTTTGCTGAGTGGTGTTTTGTTCTGGTTCCTTTTCCAACTGGAAGACCAACAAAAACAACTGGGGAATACGTTTACTTTTTTGAGGCCTCTCATGCAAATTCAAGATTTGAAAGAGTTTGGGAGATAAGCAGAGATCCCCTACAAAGATGTTTTCAAAATCGTGTTTGTTGGGAGCCAGAAAATCAGACAACAATTTATAGCAACCCCCACAAAGGTAGAGGATACAGTTTGCCCACCAGCCATTGAATTACCTTAACAAACCAGCAACTTTGGATATGACAGGTTGGTTGTTCAGTGGGGTACAGTAGTTTCAAAAATCAAGTAGCCTGAAAATCCTTTGGTTTATCATAGTATAGCATATTATATAAATAGTTTAATTTCTTCAAATTAAACTATATTGTTTGTAAATCTCCAATTTTGGACGACCCCAAAATTAATCGTTGGACATTGTTGGTCAAATATATTTGAAATATTCATATCCCATCCTTTTTCGATTAAATGGCCATAGATTGGGAGACAGTCCAGCCATGTTTCTTGGTTCAATCTCCCATTTCCGCGGTGAAAACCAACCGGGCACGAGTTCCAACCCTAGGAGATTGATCACATCGTGCAGGAAGCCTTACGCAGAAACGGTGCCTCGACATGTGTCATCCTATACTTGGTACACTTGATGTGCACCAAAATGTGTATGACGGTATGACTATGGTCATGACGCGCATAAGTTAAACAATAACCCCTACGATTATACTTATATTTCCAAGTAATTATAACTAACTGGAACTTGCACCCCTGAGCTGGCACGTCAAGTCTGATCAGTGTCGATGGATCAACAAACTGATCAACCGTTGATACATGCTACTCTGCGTGCAACCTATCCCCCAGATGCCTCCGAACCTGGCACCCAATTGATCCAATTGGCGATCCGCAGGTGACATCATGTAACTATTGTGACTTTCCTCGTTCATTTCGACCAATGAAGGTTTCCTAAAATGGTAGCCCTAAATCATCGATATTTAGGATTTTCCATAGGATTTTCCATAGGATTTCCAATAACCATAAGCATCCAGGACCATCCAGCTATTGATCCATGGGATCCCCTTATGGAAACCATGGAAACCACCAGATCTACCGGTAGATCCCTAGGTGTGATCATCTACACCTTGGCATCGCCTGGCATGAGCCGTTTCCTGCGGCAGCAATGTGAACGAGCGAAGGCGGCAGTCCATGGTGGGTGTTGGGCTCTGAGCGGCCAAAAAACGCAAAGATTGGCATGTGACCTTTATATTTGGTTGGGGCTACTATTGCATTATATTGTATTGAATAGCTTTATTTTTCTCTATCCATTTGGGGATTCTGCTGGTTTTTGTCCAGGAATTGCAATGGATGGCCAATCCAAAGGACTGGATTTGTCAAGACCCAACACACCGGAGAAGGTTTTGTTGACTTTGGGAGCTGAAATTGAGAGTGTCAGCAGGTCCATCGATTACATTAGATCTATTTGATCAACTTGTCGTAGATTACTTCAATAGATCCAGTAGATATCCGTCAATTGGGTGTCAATTTTGAGCTCCATTCAGCTTGGCCAGTTGACAGTTGACACCCTGGCTGATCATTGTTTCGGGGGGTCAGGCTATGGCATTGGAAGGGCTATAGCATGGTCTCTGGGTAGGATCTTCCTCAAGGGCTTGGATCATACCCCATCAACTAAGCAGCGTAGTGAAGAAGTTCACCCCAGATACAACGGAAGTAGAAGCAAGCCTTGAAAGCAGATGGAGCTGTGAACATGGGCAATTTTCAGTTGCACATGTCTGGATTATGGCAACCTCATCGTGCAGCATTTATTTGGGGTTGGCAAGGGGACCTCCTCAAAATCACCTGATTTCAGGTGGCTGAATCATTTTGAACTAGTGTCCTTCAGCCCCTTCTACTGCTTCGTTGATAGGGGTTCCTGTATGGATCAGAAGAACCAGCATTCGTGATGCCCTTACCTTCGAACACCATGGATTCTGGGCATTGCTCAATACTCCCTGGCAGTTCAGCAATGTCAAACCAGTATCATATACTTATCCCCGGTTCATTTATTTGGGCAGCCCATTTTGAGATTTTCCTCTCCAATGAATTAGCAATCTGTTCACCATAATTTTTCGTTTCAAGTGAATAGCATTTTTCATGGTCCCATCTTTTGTGCGTCCAAAAAGCGCACAGTTTCCGCCAGAAAAAGCCCCCAGGTGCCCTATGCAGATGTCTTTCAGCCTGTGGTCATTGCATTGAAGAGATATCTGGACTACCCCCCAGTAGGTGCCATTGGGGCCGGGGAAGAGCGGGCCAAAAAAAACACCAGGGAAAACAAGATGAAGCCCACGAACCCGAATGCTCACACGTATGTTAATGGTACAGATGTCAAAACACATGGTTATGCAGTCACGCACAATACCTTTCTGCAATAGTTTGTTTGAATAGTCCTGTGTTACCAGTCTGCAGTGTGGAGTGGAAAGTGTAGAGCATGGAGAGTGGAGTGTGAAGTAAGGAATGTGGAGTGTAAAGTGTGGAGTGGGGAGTGTAGAGCGTGTAAAGTGTAGAATGCGGAGTGTAAAGTGTGGAGTATGGAGTGTAAAGTGTAGAGTGTGGAGTGTAGAGTGTGGAGTGTGGAGTGTAGAGTGTAGAGAGTGGAGTGAGGAGTGTTGTAAAGTGTGGAGTGAGGAGTGTGGAGTGTAAAGTGTGGAGTAGAGTGTGTAGTGTAAAGTGTAGAGTGTGGAGTGAGGAGTGTAAAGTGTAACGTGTGGAGTGTGGAGTGTAAAGTGTAGAGTGTAAAGTGTGGAGTGAGGAGTGTGGAGTTTGTAAATTTTAGAGTGTGAAGTATAGAGTGTAAAGTGTAGAGTGTAAAGTGTAGAGTGTGGAGTGTAGAGTGTAGCGTGTGGAGTGTGGAGTGTAGAGTGTGGAGTGTGGAGTATAGAGTGTAGAGTGTGGAGTGTAAAGTGTGGAGTGAGGAGTGTAAAGTGGAAAGCATGGAGTGTAAAGTGTAAAGTGTGGAGTGTAGAGTGTATGTGTAGAGTGTAAAGTGTAGAGTGTGGAGTGTAAAGTGTAGAGTGTAAAGTGTGGAGTGTAGAGTGTGAAGTGTAAAGTGTGGAGTGTAAAGTGTGGAGTGAGTTGTGTAAAGTGTGGAGTGTGGAGTTTGGAGTGGAAAGTGTGGAGTGTGAAGTGTGGAGTGTAAAGTGTGGAGTGAGGAGTGTAAAGTGTGGAGTGTGGAGTGTAAAGTGTGGAGTATGGAGTGTAAAGTGTGAAGTGTGGAGTGCAAAGTGTGAAATGTAAAGTGTGGAGTGAGGAGTGTAAAGTGTGGAGTGTAAAGTGTGGAGTGTGGAGTGTGGAGTGGAAAGTGTGGAGTGTGAAGTGTGGAGTGTAAAGTAAGGAGTGTGGAGTGTAAAGTGTGGAGTAGAGTGTATAGGTAAAGTGAGGAGTGTGGAGTGTAAAGTGTGGAGTGAGGAGTGTGGAGTTTGTAAATTGTGGAGTGAGGAGTGTAAAGTGGAAAGCGTGGAGTGTAAAGTGTAAAGTGTGGAGTGTAGAGTGTATAGTGTAGAGTGTATAGCGTAGAGTGTGGAGTGTGGAGTGTAAAGTGTGGAGTGTAAAGTGTAGAGTGTGGAGTGTGGAGTTTAAAGTGTGGAGTGTAAAGTGTGGAGTGAGGAGTGTAAAGTGTGGAGTGTGGAGTGTAAAGTGTGGAGTGTGGAGTGTGGAGTGGAAAGTGTGGAGTGTGAAGTGTGGAGTGTAAAGTGTGGAGTGTAAAGTGTGGAGTGTGGAGCGTAAAGTGTAGAGTGTGGAGTCTGGAGTGGAAAGTGTAGAGTGTGGTGTGTAGAGTGTGGAAAACCAGAGACTCGAGACGAGGCACGTGGGTGCAAAAAAACGAGCATTTCGTGCGAGACTTCCTCCAATTTTGATTTTTTCCACACGTTATCAAACAGGTTGGAATGTCACAAAGTGTCACGCCTGCCACGCAAAACGACATGACAACCTGCTTGGACACATTCGAATAGGAGAGGTTTTCCAGCTTCCCCCATAGACACGGCGAGGACTTCCTCCAATTTTGACATTTTCGACACATTATCAAACAGGTTGAAATGCACACAGAGTGCCACGCCTGCCACGCAAAACTACATGACAACCTGCTTGGACACATTCGAATAGGAGATGTTTTCCAGCTTCCCCCATAGACACGGCGAGGCCACAGGAAAACCAGAGACTCGAGACGAGACAGGTGGGAGCACCAAAACGAGCATTTCGTGCGAGACTTCCTCCAATTTTCATACTTTGCAGCTCCAAAATCGACGTTTTCCTACGAGTTTTCCTTAGAACCTGAAAATTTGTAACCTCAAAATCGATCTTTCGTGCGAGGCTTCCGTCAATTTTCAGCACATGTCAGAAAATGCCACGCCTGCCACGGAATTTGCACCTTGTCACCACTTGACGCAGCCCTGCCAATGCGATTTACAAAAAACACGCAACAGGACACGTCTAAAGTGCTGCGCCCGCCACGAAAAATGACGATGGACACGTCCAAAGTGCTGCGCCTGCCACGAAAACTGCAACACATCTTCTGAAAACGTCACAAAAGTATTGCGCCTGCCACGAAAAACGATTTTCAACACGTTGCAAAACACGTCTGAATGTCACGAAGTGCCACGCCTGCCACGCGAAACGAAGCAACGACACGTCTGAAACCTCCAAAAAGGACCACCTCTGTAAAACTTCCCATAGGCACGGCCATACGGTCCTCACGCGAACGGTTGCGGACGGTTGCGAACGGTTGCGCTCGCGAACGCAACGTCGAGCGAACACACCCTCAACCCCCAGACCCCCAGAGTGAAACGGGAACCCTTGCTACGCATTCGGGAAAAAATTGCCCCCTAAAACAATTGGTGCGAGGGGCTCGGAGCTGTCCATGATCGCCGGACGATCATTGTTGATCGGGACGGCGGGGTTAACGGGCTCCAATCAACTTTCTGCTCCTTCTTCTCGCGGTCTCGAAGCCAGAAGATCACCAGAAGCACCACCATATCCTCCTGGAAGCCGCCACGGCGGAGCAGCATGGCTGCCGACCGACTGCGCACGGCCTGCTTGGCGCTGCGGCTCAAGTCCTGGGCTGGCTTGCCTGGGCGCGTTGGGGTTGTTTGGGCCTTGCGGCGAGAGTCTTCTGGCCAGCAGTGCGCTCGCCTTCGCCTTCTGCTTTGCTGCCGCTTTGACCTTTGCCTTGCCCTTCGGCTGTCCCATAAGAGTCTCCCTTTTTATTTGGGGGGAAAAAGGTTTCAGTGTCCAGGCACAGGAAATAAGTTAACTTTATATCATTGGAAAAAATGATTCACTCAGAACGCGCGTTCTGGAACGCGAGTTTTTAAAACGCGCGTTCCGAACGCCCAACCGTACCGAACGAACATGCTAAGATAGCTATTGAAAATTGCCATTTATAGTTGATTCCCCCATTAAAAATGATGATTTTGATAGCTATGTTAGTTTACCGTAGGGCACCACTTCGCTGCAATTCAAACCAACATGCTGAATTGGGTGGTTGTGGTCCCGCTGCGGCAAAAACGCTGCCGATGGTGACATCCTCATGGTGAAATCTGGTGATTTCTAATGGTGATTTCTTGCAAAATGGTGATAAAATGGTGACTTATTTGATTGTAAGATCCAGGTGCTTGCTCCTGAAAATTACCCTTTGCTGATGATTCAACAAAAAACATGCTTTTGCTGGTATAAGCCACACGTTCCCTTGTAGAATCGTGTTTTTCTTGTTGATGAACTCCTCCTCACCATGGGCAATCTTTGGTAGTTCACAATTCCTTTGCTGGTGATGGTTATTTTCCATTTGTAGCAACAGACTCTACAGTTAAGGCCCGGAATACCGGTCATATATCATTAAGTTACCCCATGTATGGAATGATCACCGCATAAAAACCACCAAATAAATCCAAATAATAATCATTGATCACTAGTGATCATTATTAATTACCATTAACCACCAACAAATCACAATGGATCACCCTAAAATGTGGAGTGTGGAGTGTAGAGTGTAAAGTGTAGAGTGTGGAGAGTGGAGTGTAAAGTGTGGAGTGTAAGGTGTAGAGTGTGGAGTGTGGAGTGTAAAGTGTGGAGTGTAAAGTGTGTTTTTTAGTGTGTAAAGTGTGGAGTGTAAAGTGTGGAGTGTGGAGTGGAAAGTGTGGAGTGTGAAGTGTGGAGTGTAAAGTGTGGAGTGTGGAGTGGGGAGTGTAAAGTGTGGAGTGAGGAGTGTAAAGTGTGGAGTGTGGAGTGTAAAGTGTGGAGTGTAAAGTGTGGAGTGTGGAGTGTGTAGGAGTGGAGTAAAGTATAAAGTGTGGAGTGTGGAGTGTACAGTAAAGTGTGGAGTGTGGAGTGCGGAGTGTGGAGTGGAAAGTGTAGAGTGCGGAGTGTGGAGTGTAAAGTGGGGAGTGTGGAGTGTAGAGTGTGGGGTGAGGAGTGTAAAGTGTAAAGTGTGGAGTGTAAAGTGTAGAGTGTGGAGTGCGGAGCTTCCCCCATAGACACGGCGACGCCACAGGAAAACCAGAGACTCGAAACGAGACACGTGGGTGCAAAAAAACCATTAACCATCCGTAAAATGTGGAGTGTGGAGTGTATAGTGTAGAGTGTAAAGTGTAGAGTGTGGAGAGTGGAGTGTAAAGTGTGGAGTGTCAGGTGTAGAGTGTGGAGTGTAAAGTGTGGATTGTAAAGTGAGGAGTGTAAAGTGTGGAGTGTAAAGTGTGGAGTGTGGAGTGGAAAGTGTGGAGTGTGAAGTGTGGAGTGTAAAGTGTGGAGTGTGGAGTGGGGAGTGTAAAGTGTGGAGTGTGGAGTGAGGAGTGTAAAGTGTGGAGTGTGGAGTGGAAAGTGTGGAGTGTAAAGTGTGGAGTGTGGAGCGTAAAGTGTAGACTGTGGAGTCTGGAGTGGAAAGTGTAGAGTGTGGAGTGAGGAGTGTAAAGTATAAAGTGTGGAGTGTACAGTAAAGTGTGGAGTGTGGAGTGCGGAGTGTGGAGTGGAAAGTGTAGAGTGTGGAGTGTGGAGTGTAAAGTGGGGAGTGTGGAGTGTAGAGTGTGGGGTGAGGAGTGTAAAGTGTAAAGTGTGGAGTGTAAAGTGTAGAGTGTGGAGTGCGGAGCTTTCCCCATAGACACGGCGACGCCACAGGAAAACCAGAGACTCGAAACGAGACACGTGGGTGCAAAAAAACGAGCATTTCGCGCGAGACTTCCGCCAATTTTGATATTTTCCACATGTTATCAAACAGGTTGGAATGTCACAAAGTG